ATGTCAGTAGATGGCACATTGAAGGTGTTAGTATAGCCGTTCGGCGGTGGGATGTTGAAGTCTGGCCGCTGGTGCGGGCACGGTCCGTCACTGGAAAGCTCTGGTCAGTTCACCACGATGGGAAGGCCTTGTGGTATCATAGCATCAACTCACCCCGCTGCACTGTCATGAACAGCAAGACAGGAGTCACAAGAGAATGACCACATCGATGCTGGCCCCATGCCGTTCGAGAAACCAGAAGCCATGAGAGCCAAATTGGTGTATTCGGTCTGGGTTGTGGTATGATGATTTGAACGAGTTGACGAATTCTCCAGGATATTCGTCGAACGAGAGACAAGAATGAGAGTGACGATGACAATGAGAATGAGAATGACTTGAAGCAGACACACACTACCAATTAGAACTTGCTAATAAGGTTGGCGATCTGGGATATTGAGACATGAGAACGATCAATGTTATATAGAAACGAAAGGCCAATGTGAACGACGAAGCGATGTAAACAACTGCGCCTTGAGAGACGGAGTGGAGGAATCCTTCGTGAGACCCCTGAAGGAGAGCCGAGGCCAATTGCTCACCAAACAATCTTCCTACACATGCAGAGAAGGAGGGCAACAACAAGGAGAAAGTACTAAAGCATGCAAGTTGTCTTCAAAATACCAATGACATCAAAAGTAAGCCCAAAAATAGATGACATGCAAGCCGCAAGCAAGGCTATGGACGTGAGGGTAGCAGACAAATACGGTTCCTGTCAACCGTTGTAACGGCCCTTGCCTTGGAGCCGAGCATCACCTCGGCGCTCTGGACGCTAGCCAAACAAAGCTCTGCCACATCAACCAGTCTTCTTCGAGAACCAGACTTGATGGAAATGGTTGGGCACTAGGAAAACTCGGGGATGAACCAGTGCTGCCTCCGTTGGGAGGATAGCCGCATGTGAATGGATGAAGGGACAGTCATTCCCCTGCAGCTGTCTCGGCAGATCTGGAACATTTCAGATGAAGGGCAGGGGATATGATGGAGACGCAGCTCAGCCACGACGTGCGAAAGCTAGTGACTTGAAATGGTGTAGAGATGTAGACCACAGGGCGAATGAGGAAATGTTCTGGAAAAAGTCTGCACAGGGTTGACAGGAAACACCGACGGACACATGCATGTTCGAAGAGACTACTTCATCCCAGTGATGCATGTTCTTAGAGTGTGTATTCGCAACTCTCGGTCTTGATTTGAAGAGCACAGCGAGGACTCAGGAGCTAATGCAAAGAAAAGGATTGTTCGTCGAACCAAGTCTGACAGAGAGGAAACGAGTGATGGAGGAGCAAATGATGTCGGGCCAACTTTCAGTGCTGATGCCGACTACCGCAGGGTTGGATTGAAACGGACTTAGAATTGGTCGACACCGGAACTGCGCCATGTTTCCACGAGAGAATTTTCAGATTCCCCAGGTTATGACGGCCGGGAAGTAGTAGACATTGAGCAAAGAAAGGAATGCAGGGGGAGAGGGGAACAATAGAGAGGGAGGGAGGCTGAAGTGGCCGAGAGGAGGTGGTGTGCCTCGTCTTTTTGATAGAACCAACATGATTGGTTGATGTCACTCACTGAGGCTGAAGTTGGAGTACATTTGAACGTTGCAGACTACTTTGATGCTACTCTACAATTGCCGGGGTTCATCAGCCACAACATGTACGGGGAAAGTTGTACTGGCTACTGCACACTGTTGAATCCTTCCGAGACGGAGAAGAAGATAGACATAATACTGGGCAAATAGGGCCAAGTCGGACTTCGCGATCCTGTGGCTGGCAGAGGCGGCTCAAGCATATGGACAGTAAGAAAATACCAATTCATGCGGCCTAAGGCGCGAAGAAGGAGGGATTTCTCGCCCGAGCTGCACAAAGCGTGACGATGCCGTTGGTGTATTAGGCTGATGACGACGCGGCTGGCATCCTGGCTACACCAGGCTCTTCTGTTGCTGGGCGCAGAGCAGGCACTCACTCGTCCAGCCTGTGATACCGCGTTTACCAAGCCACACATTGCCCGGTCTAAGCTCCCGGTTCCTTTGGAGTTCGGCCGAACACCTTTGACTCCCAACTAGCTGAAACACGAAGTCTCTCGTTTCATCGTTGGTTGACGAAGAGCCGGCATACCTACTTCGAGAAGATTTCGAGCTGTCACGTTGCTGCCTTGGAACTGCGTCTCTTCATGGGAACGGAACCGGCGTGGCGCATGCACATGCCGCGCTTTTTGCCGAGTCTGAATTCATAGGGCCATCTCACCGAGAGGTGTCCTCCTCCAGCACCAGAGCCTTATCCCACACTCCGAACTTCATGTACCTTCACCGCTATAGCCACACTCTAAACCATCGACTAGCTACCTAGACTCACCGAATTTACTCAAATGAAGACGTCTGTCGTGCCTTTCTGACGACATGGAGACGGCCCAAAAGGCAGACAGCATCGGCGTCATTTGTCTTCGGCCGTTATCCGGTACCTACCCAGGTGGACATCTTCCGCTTTCCTTAATCCGCCGAGAAAGATGACCAGCTGGATATCAGTCGGACCTTCCCACAACATTCGATTCCAGGCATCCTTCTGTGCAACCTTGAACAACCTCAGGTGGCTTCAACAGCGAGGCCCGTTTTGGCGACCCTCGCTATGCAACACCGTCCTTGATCTCATTCGACGATTTCTTGCGATTTTGATAGGCTACACTCCAATGAATTGCGACGACGAGGGGATTGACCGAGAATTTTTGGGGGCGGTGCTGCAACCTCTCTATCACCACGATCTCACTTATCGAAAGCTGCATCTTCCATTGGCTGGGATGATACACACCACCTGCCAGCCTGCTTCCAAGCGAGCATGATGACCTTCTTCGTTAATTGGCCGTGGCATTCATCTTGGCTCCATTTTTGAAATCCTCCTCTCAACTAAGGCTTTGCTAAGGAGATACTTGATCCTCCCTCAGGACAGGAATTTCGGTCCTAGATAAGACACGAGCCATTACTTTGGCCTGGTGTCGACGATAACGATGTCCTAACCACTATAGATACAATCACAGACTAGCGGGAACCATGATATCGTCAATGAGGCCTCACGCGGTGTCTGTCAGACCAAATCGAGTCTTGACCCTGGAGTCTGCCTGGTGACGCACGATCGCGTAGGAGCAGAAAGAACGCTGGCCCGAGGCACAATAGTCTCATCAATCATTGGAGAAGAGGTGCAGGATTGTCTTCGGCCGATAGAGTGCCCTTGATTTGGAAGTGATGAGGGAGGGAATCGATCCAAGCTTTTGGCCAAGGAGCCTCTCATCCACCCTTATTCCTCTTGTCTCTACGCACTGGGCATCTATAGCGAGGAAAGGTTGGAAGCCACATTCCAGTCTTGCTTCTGGTTTCTATAGCACAATGCCGCGGATCTGCGTACTTGGCCATTCATAGCCGTGATCTTCGCTATGACATTGATAGACTCGGCCGTACTGCAAACTTGAGCCTTCTCGGCCGACACTTGTTGAGATGGCCTTGTTCGGGGGCATCTCAGGAGCAAGTCGGGGGGCAGGCCCCTTATTTGCTCGAACTCTACGGAGATAACGATGGATCCATGAGAAGTCTCATAATGCCTCCCTGGGTACTCGAGGAGATCATGCCTCAGAAGACTTGAAACGCAGCAAGCTCGTGGGATCCTTGAGGCAATAACCGTTAAGCTCCTGTCAATCAGGAGCAAGGCCTTTGTCCTTACGTGCGAAGGCCGCCGGACCAAGACCTTGGGACCAGAACTTGGTTTCTCTAACCTGAGTTAGGAATGGTATCTCTGGCTGATCTCCCATTCTCAGGGACGGGACGGCGTGAGTGTCTTAAAACATTGCTCCAAGGTCTCCTAGGACCACCCGCATCCCTCGCCCGCAACACCATTGGTCTGTTTGAACAGGGAGACATGACTGTGCCGTAGGTCTAATGACTGGTCTTACCGAGTGCGAGGTTGACCAGTGCGACTAAGAAAGCCCGGTTCCACTCCGTCGGAGCTGGCACAGACGAAGAATGCTAATCCCCTTTCCCATGGCATCTGCATGACGGCCGGTAAAGCGGACTGCGTGCGTAACACGGACCCAAGGCACAGGACGTGGCGCCGCCCTCAGCGGCGCGAGTCGTGGCAGGTGAGACATATCGCGAACGCTTGGGCTGCCAGGTGGCCCCAAACGGAGTCGATGTGTTGGTCGAGCCCAGTGCATGCCTTGGTTATTCCTGTTCGTGCAACACATACTCTTAGGCGGGGAGCGAGGAGGCTTCTCAAGCATCTTTTAGGCCAACTCCTCAAACTCCATTATTCGTAGAGCGTGGACCTCAGAATCACCCACTAAGCAACAGTTCTTAATAACTGTTTGAGAATGATCACTGTTTCAAAAGATGTTGGTCTTGTGTTGATTCTCCGCTTTCTTTACGGCCGGGGTGTCCTAACGGCCGAAGCCAGTGACGTTTGTGGGTTAGGCGATTCCTCCACGCTAGCGAATGCGAGTGCGACGGCGTGGAGTGACGATGTGCCCACTTCGAGCCTCCTAAGATCCCGACTTAGGCTCATCACTTTCTGGAATATTTCTAAGACGGGCATGCATTTCTCTCTAACATGTATGAAAGTAATGGAATTAACTCGTTGTTGCGTATCCGTCGGTGCCGTAGTCATGCATTCGCACTGCAGTTCGCATTGCCCTTTGTCCTGGGGGTGTCTCCATCCGAGAACGAGCACGGAGAGCATGATATCTTTTTGTCGGCGGAACTCCTAACAACCGTTATTCATCCGATGAGATGACTCAAAGAAGAGCTCGCATTTGGCAAATCTTTGTTCTACCCATCTGGAGTACAGTCGCGGATATATAGCAGTGAGACATTTGATCTGGTTTCTGCTCATCGGTCGTACAATGCGTTACCCTCGCATATAATGTCCTCAACGTCTTGACGTCTTCACCATCTAACCCACTCGGCTTCTATTGGACATAACTCGCCGCCTGCCGACATCATGGTCGGAGATACATCACCGGATTCTGAGAAGGACGACGCCGTGCGCGGATCTCATGGCGGAGATGAAGCGACACGGGTCCTTACGGACGATCTCTTCAGGGACACGACCATTCCCCCTTTGCGCTTTTGGCTACTAAGCGTCGGGTATGTGGGAAGAAAAGTGAACATAATGAGATGACATGCTAATAAGATCAACAGTATTTGTCTCGGTTTGTTCATGTCGATGCTTGATTCCTCTATCGTCGCGACTAGCTTATTCACCATCGGCACGGAGTTCAACGACTTGGAGCGTATGAACTGGGTCGCTCTCTCCTACACCCTTTCGTACCTGGGCTGTGCTGTCTTCTTCTCCCGCATGACCGATGTCATCGGCAGACGTGATGCTTTCCTAGTTGCTTTCGTCATCTTCTTCGCATTTTCGCTCGGCTGTGGCTTCTCTCATAGCATGGACACGCTCATTGCTTGTCGAGCTCTCCAAGGGGTTGGCGGCTCTGGGTTGTATTCGGTGACTATGATCACCCTTCCCGAGCTCAGCCCTGATCGCCTTAGAAAGTGGATTGCGAGCATCATCGGCATTGTTATTGCCATGGCCGGTGTTTTGGGGCCTGTTCTAGGGGGCATCTTAACAGAATACGCCTCGTGGAGATGGGTCTTCTGGGTCAAGTCAGTCATGCTCTCTCACACATCTGTTGAGACCTCGATACTAACGACAACGCAGTGGTCCCATCGGTGCTGTTTCAATGGTCCTCTTCTATCTGACCTGGCCCAAGAAAGAGTTTCTCCCCAATATCGAAAAGAGATCATGGAAGGATCTGGACTTCCTAGGCTCCTTTCTTGTCATAGCTGCGTCTGTGCTTGTCGTCTTTGCTTTTCAGAATGCAGGAAGCAACGTGGGAGAGGAGCCATGGCGCCAGCCAACATTTATTGCTGCTGTAGTTGTCGGAACTCTTTGTTGGGCCGCCCTTTTCGCGTGGGAGGCATTTTTTGAGCGGCGAGGGAAAGACAAGATGGCTGCGTTTCCCCTTCGTCTCCTCCGCAATCATGTCTATGGATTCGGCGTTCTCAACACGATGTTTCTGGGCTTTCCTTACCTCACGACCGTCTACGCATTGCCTCTCCGTCTTCAGGTGGTGAATGGCAAGTCACCACTGGATGCTGGAGTCATGTTACTGTAAGCAAACTATTCCATTTACTCATTTGCGATGTCTTCAGAGGCTCAGGTCGTTCCGGTCTCTGATCCATATCCTCTGAAGTCTATTAAGACTTTTTATTGCTATTTATTGCTTTTTATGTTTCCCAGTCCCGACTCAAGGATACTAACAGAATCGTGCAGGCCGATGCTGGGGGGTGTTGCCATCGGAAGCTCTATGGGAGGAGCCATTAGTGGCAAGAAGAATCGCATTTTCGAGACTCTTGTCGCCGCCACGATTTTGATCATGGTTGGATGCGCGTTGGAGACGACAGTCTCTGATTCTTACAATTTCGAGCCGAAAGTTCTAGGCTTTCTGGTCTTCATAGGCTTTGGCTTCGGCTTGTCTGCGTCATCCTCAACCATGATGACCGTCATAGAAGCTTCGATCCAAGACCATGGTAAGTTATCCTCGTTCCTTCGCGGCTGGAGTCAAGCTAACAGATCCAGCCCCTGCGCAAGGCATCTTGGCACAGACCCGTATTTTTGGGGGTAGTATCGGCATCGCATCATCTTCAGCCATCCTAGGCGTGAAGCAAAGAACTCAGCTTGGCGGAGTGGTGTCCTCGTCGGCGTTGACGGGCGGCACTCAGGACCTCACGTCGACGCAACTGAGTGCCATCCGCAAGGCATACAACGACGCTTTCACCGAGACGATGATGGTATGTGCTATTGTCGCCGGAGTTGGCATTCTGCTCACCTTGGGCGTCTATCGACGGAACCGCATGACGATAGAGGAACAACGTAAAGAGCAGATAAGAGAAGAGACGGAGAGACGGAAGGCACAAAGGGATACTGTCTTGACGACTTCGTCGGGACAGTCTGTTTAGGTGCCGGGCTTTCTTTGGCGCCGATCCGGTCGAGCTGGGCTCGATGAGGGACTTCTCATGACATGACCGACATGGCATATGCCTCCTTTTTCCTGTCCATTTATTGCATGGTGCATCATCAATCACGATTCATCACCGGAGGTATTATTGCATCGCATTGCATCGCATCACCACCCGCATATGTAGCATATGTAGCATTGCTTCGGCGTTTCCGGTAAACAGAACACATGAAGACGATTTAGCAGAATGCATTCAATTTACCGATTGCCGCTCTTCTCCGTGCCCCTAGCCCCTGATAACCGCTGTTTCGCCGGCCACCTGGTGGCAGGCTTGGTGCCGTGTGGGGTAGCTAAGGGCTCGCAGCGCAGAAGGCGACCCCCAAGACCCCCAAAGAACCCCTCCAGTTGGCCCTTATCTCACGTCCTGCGCGGGGCTAATCGGGGCTAATCGCCTACTTAAATCCAACCCGAAACTCGGGCCCCTTAAGCCGCGGGCTCCTCCACCGGCGCCGCGCCGATTTGTCATTTCCTCATATCAGGGCCCGATTGCACGATTCAAAACCCAGCGAGAGACAATCTTTCACACACGGGAAAAAGCCTTATGTTGTTCACGGCCACGAGAAGCAGCACCAGCACATTCTTCAAGACCCTACAGCATCTCGCCCGCCGCCAATTCCCCTCGTTTCCCCTGCAGTCCAGAGCCACAATGTCGTCCGCAGTCGCCAAGCGCCTCGAGGGCAAGACCATCGTCATTACCGGCGCATCGTCCGGTATCGGGCGGAGCACCGCGTTCGAGTTCGCCCGCACGGCGCCCAAGGACCTCAAACTCATCCTGACGGCTCGCCGCATTGACACGCTCAAGGAGATCGCTGCCGAGATCAAGAAGGAGGTCGGCGATGGCGTCAAGGTCCTGCCAGTGAAGCTCGACGTGAGCAACCCGGACGAGGTCCGGGACTTCGTGCCTAGCCTGCCTGAGGAGTTCAAAGACATCAATGTGCTGGTCAACAACGCGTAAGTTTCTGCTGGTCAAAGACTTGTCTTTCCGGATGGTCGCATCTGCCGAGACGGGTCCAATTTGCAAATTGCGACGTTGTTGCGGATGAGGGGTGCAAGCAATCGGGGACACTGACATGTGAACCAGGGGTCTGGTCAAGGGCGTTGCGCAGGCGCCTAACATCGCCGAGGAGGACATGAACATCATGTTCGCGACTAACGTCACCGGCCTCATCAACATGACGCAGGCCATCCTGCCCATCTATAAGAAGAGGCCTGAGGGCGGCGCAGGCGACATCATCAACATCGGCTCCATTGCCGGCCGCGAGCCCTACGCCGGCGGCGGCATCTACTGTGCGACCAAGGCCGCCGTGCGCAGCTTCACCGACAGCTTGAGGAAGGAGCTGATTGCGACGAGGATCAGGGTTATCGGTATTGACCCTGGTCAGGTTGAGACGGTAAGAATCGAGACATTGTCACAGGTGGAGGTTTGGTGCTGATTCAAGTTTAGGAGTTCTCGGTTGTAAGGTTCTACGGCGACAAGTCTAAGGCTGATGCGGTCTATGCGTGAGTGGTTCTTTGCAATGAGAGGGGATGTGCCCTTACTGACCCGTGTGTAGCGGAGTTGAGCCTTTGACTCCCGACGATATTGCTGAAGTTGTAGTCTTCGCTGCGGGACGAAGAGAGAATGTTGTCATCGCAGACACTTTGATTTTCCCTAGCCACCAGGTAAGCCATATATATTTGCACGACCCTGACGAGGTTATTATACTGACTATGGTCAGGCTGCCGCAGGACAAATGCACAGGAAGTCTACATAATACAAGATTGCGGAAGGAAAAGACGGAAACGGAGGTAAATAGATAGACTAGACAATAAAAACTATGACTGCTCACTTACAGAACAGACAAAGCGAATATTCCGTTAGATTTCGAGCTGGTCAAGCTCCGATGGTAAGGATTAATATAGTTGCAAAAGTAGGCAAAGGGCCTCGTTGATGTGATCGAGATAGATCGAGACCAGGTGCAAGAACTAAAACATATGTATGTCAGATCACTGACTTAGAAAGCTGGAAGTTAGTCTTTGCCTGCACTTCTATTTTATTGTATGTTTATGGTTGAAAGAGTTGCAAAATGTTGTGTCTTTGTCAACAGTACTCAATGTGTATATCGTGAAACTTGAAGTCTTGCTACGGCGTGTTCTCCACGCATGTTTGCAATTTGCAAGTTTCGTCGCCGAAGAGACTGATTATATCAAAACGACCAGCAGTGACATTGGACTACTCGTTAATTCCAGTACAAGAAGAATGATCTATGCAGTCTACCCGTCAAGTAAAGCTAATATTATTCTTCCTTGATTTGCCATAGCAGCTAACTGCACGTACCATCAGAACTCATGCTGACTTTACTCAATTTGTTTAGGTTGCAGTGTGTAAAAAGTCTACTATACCAAATACAACATCATTATTGAAAATAATAGTAAAAAGTAGTTTATGTCCTAAACCTGAGAAGAAAAATAAAATAAAAAATTGTAATAAATATTGGCTTGACTCCAAATGATCGAGTGAGATCTAAAAGTACTTTTTAGTCTAAAGACCGGAATTCAAATGTTGTCTCTTTCCGGCCAATTGTAAGGACAGAAATATGTCTCGCATTTAGGTATGCCGCAAATTGGATAGAAGGTGGATTTCTTCAAATATATCTTTTTCAGATACCATCCCTGAGCTATTTGTACTGCCATACTCGATTCTTTGTTAAAAAATAACTTAAATAGAAGTACCTTTCCATCTATGAACCCTCCCTTTTTTAGTGTGGTAGGTTTAAATGTGACTATGCCGATTGTCCTACCCGCTTCTTCCTTCGAATTCCATGTTTACTTAAATGCTTATTGAATTGTGATGTCTTATTCCATTGTCAACTCTGCCGTTGTTCAAGATGGACTTTGAGCATTGACTCCTAGATCAGATCAAACCAATAATTACGTAGCTTTAAAATGGTATTCAGCCTCCATAACTCGTATGACCTTTGCGAGCAGCAGTCTTTTCTGGAGATACATATCCCGAATGACAGGTAAAATTGGCTCCTAATCTAGACCCTCCTTCATATCTGCCATCAAAGGAGCTTGCTCGTTAATCCTATTCCCAGATATATTGAAAGTAAAGGTGGCCTTACGCTGAGTATTTGAAGTAGTAAGGTTGCCTGTCCTTGAAATTCTTCGTTCAAGGGTTGTGCTCTGATATATTGATGGCTCATGTGATGGAAAGGATTCAAGCGGCATTGTAAACATATCTGAGCTGACTTGAGCAGCGTTTAGAGGGACATTTATCAAGCTCTCTGACACAAGAATATCGTTCCCTGACAATCCTGATGTTGTTGTCAATGTCGGAAAAGCTGACGGTATTGGAGGTCCCGAGGTCTTACTGATGGTATCAACCAATGAGATGCAGCCAACGGAAGTCGTGACTTATGCGCAAGGATACATCATAATCAGACTCTGCTTGATTCTCATCGTGAAGAATTGAAGCATAACGGTACGACCTGCTGTTGCGATATGTCTGGGAATAAAAGCTTTGCTAGATTTGCCTTGACCACGATTTATATTTACTGTGCAAAAGCCAACCCATGACGCGTTTGTGAAGAAATCACTCTGCGTTTGAGAAAGGATTATTTGCGTATGGTTACATTCTTTTAGAGTACTCGAGACGACGGTTTCTGGATCAGAATTTCGCGAACCTGATATTGCTTGCCAGAGGTTCTATTATGACGCCTTACTTTGATGCCACCAGTACAATGTAATCAACTGCTGTGATTACTTTGCATCGAACTTTCGTATTCCGTCCTGACTCTTAGACCGTTCTTCTGCTCGAAGAGCTTTTCTTCACTCTCGGTCATTGTGAGAGTCATCGGATCCGGTGTCCTACCTCCCTTTCGGGTGTTCCTTGATCTGGATGCCCCTAGTCCGCTATTCATCTCCAGATCACTCTGCGATGTCTTTGAACTCTTGCCCCGTTGCGCACTGCTGTGCTCCAAGCCTGTTCCTTGCCCCGGTCCAAGCTTGTTCTGTTTCCAGCATGTCCAGAATGCCTTGAGGGATGGCATGTTGGCGGCGACGATACCGACTTGCATCTCTACGTTCGAGATGATGACCATCTTGCCAAGGGACCAGGTGAAGTCGGGTGAGGACGAGAACTCGAAGAGGATGATGGCGCGCAGTCCGCTGGTGAGCACGGCGGAACCTCCGGTAGTAAGTACGGCGAGAACAGCGAGACGGCGCTTCAGGGTCATCTGGAGAGTCCAGATCACAGGGAGCGGAAGGATAAAAATCATAACATCAGTAGCCATGTTCTAAGGTAACACCGTGTTAGATCAGTCCGATGAGCCTATGTTGTTTCGTCCTAGAATAACGACAAGCTGCGATATGACAGGAGAAATTCCACTTACCAAGGTGTATGGAGTGAAGTAAGTTCTACAATAACAAGAATTAGTCATGATCTGGCGTGAGGCCTGAGGAAGAATAAAACTTACATGTTAGTATCAAGACACTTGACATCAGGATAGCTAGCTGCATCGTAGAAGGCTGCCAGCGGCATGCACTGCAGGCCGTACAGCAGCCAGATGACGACAGTCGTGACGATATGGAAGCCGATGACACCCCAAAGACACCGACGGAAAAGGGATGTCTTTGACAGTCTGAAGTAGAAGAGCAGGAAGCACATCTTCACGACGAACTGCATCCAGATGTAGAAGAACTCCTCAGCTAGGAGACCCTTCATGAGAACTGGCAACCATTCTGGATGCTCCGTCATGACCTCGGTAATGTGACTGCATCATAATCAGTAACGCTTGGCCCGAGTGTGTCGAAGGAGCATTTGTCTACTGACAGTCCACCACCGAACTTGAGGAAGAAATACAAGATGCCCTGCTGGCAAGAATTGAAGATCTATTCGAGAAGGCCCTCGTCAGTATTCGCTTTTCTCGGTCACTGGGAACTCTCCAGTCACATACCAACATGGAAGTCATTGCCCAATCATCGTACCCAAAAGCTCTCATAGTAAACCCTCGCACATAAATCCGCATCAGGATCGTGACAGTCGCTATGAAGTATAGCACCGTGATGACGGCATACGAAAGGGGGCGTAGGTCATCCATTTTGCTGCGCAAGCAGTGACGGGGCTACTGATCGAAAGGAAGTCGGCGAAGTCGCTGAGACGACAAAGTCGTCGCTCGACGGCGAGATGGTGAAGATGTTTGATATACCAACCAAGCCCTCGGCACCCCATTGCCGCACCGTTGTCCTCGAGAAGAGCAACATGTCGATCATCGAAGAGGATCCACCGCAACCGTTTTGTATTGCAGTTTTCCATTTGCCGTTCCTGTGTCTCTGCAAGGTACAGGCATTGAGAAGTGGAGATGTCAGCAACTCCCATGCTTGGCCCGCTTCGCAATTCTGTAACAGGGATTCGGCCGCAGGATTGCCGTTTGCTGCGCCCTTAAGCATTTTCTACTAGGGCAACATCGCTCCAAAGTTAGTACAGCCTAGGGTAAGTTACCCGGGAGGGGCCGCTGGAGTGCCCGAGAACGCCATCATGGGCCAAGAGCACATTTTGCATTTCCACTGTAGGAAGTCTTTGCGGACTTGTAGGTCCACCTTGCTGGGTTCAACAGTTAGCTTTGACCAGCGTGTCTACGGCACAGCTGCCGTTACGGCCCAATTGGACTCCAGACTAGGCCTCTCAAAGTTGCTGATCACCTTGATAACAGAGATCCTGGATAGTATGTACTTTTAAGGAGGTAAAAGGGGAAGTCAAGGGTTTATTCTGTGGCCTCGACATGCTGTTCAGCACATGACTGGAACTTCCTGCCGGTCAAGCCCAGACTGACGCGTCATTTCTTGCGAGCAAGGGCTTTATATATACAGAGTGATGGGGGACTGCATAAGTAGGAGATGCGCTGTCTTTCCGCGGTCAAATTGAAAAACAAGACAAATACATTGTAGATGCTGTCCGCAATCTACCATCATCAACAGTCCAACATAGTTCTGTTGTCTCTTTCGTCTCTCGTAAGTACTACAGAGGTAGTATATCTCCTGTCTTGATTGGAAAGTGTGATTCTCAGGTCATCGATTACCATGCCTCCAGCAGTGCAGCCACCAGCTTACGGCCCACCTGCTCGATGATAGACATTGAGTCGAGCCTCGTCTGGGCTTGAATCCTTCACCGCTGGCTGCACGGTCTTGATAAAGATCTTCAAGAACAGGTATGTTTTCAGCTAGGTCTCGTTACAGTGCTTGGCGCTGTTCAAAAAGAGGCATCCTTGGCCGTCTCAGGGCCTTGCTAGTGCCATTAGCAATCATTAGCAGCATTGATGGCCCCGCATTGCGCTATTGGGATGCCCTGCTGAAGACGCATCCTTGCCCAAAATTGGAGCTGCCCACTGGTGGTGTGAAATCTGCTCGCCGTGATTGGGGATTGGGAATGATAACGGCACCTAGCGGGCATTAACTTAGGCCTCCCGATGCCCCGGAGGTCGGGAGTTCCCTTGAAGGCGGTTTGGGGACTTTTGGGCTCCTGTGCGACACTCTCTCCTTACTCTAATACAGGAACAGTAATGAGGCGATAGGCTGTGGAAATTGCGGTCGTAATCTGGAGTCGTTGGTTTAATACGACGGCGTCCCCTGTTCCTGCGACTTGTCCCTCCGCCGGTTTCTCGCCGCTGTCGCTGTCGTTGTCTCAAAACATGCCGCCGACATTGAGTTCCGCTCTGAATTCCTCTTGGGAGGTGACGGCGGGGGTCTCGCTCTTGCTGGGCGTGGTCACTCACCTCACAATCCGGCCGTTTGAGATTGACAGCAAAGGATGGCCGCTGTTCTTCTCATACATTGGCGTCCTTGTCGCTTTGCTCTTCAGCTATGTCACCACCGCAGGCTTCAGTGTCTTTGATGCCTGGCTGCGCACCACCATCGTTGCCAATGCTTTCAACGTCGGCTTGGCTGGCAGCATCCTGCTGTACAGAGCCTTCTTCCATAGACTCCATAAGTTCCCCGGTCCATTCCTAGCTAAGCTCTCGCGTTTTTATGCTATGGCCACAGCTGCCGAGACTCTACAAGCCAATGTCGTTGCTCAGAAACTCCATGCCAAGTATGGCGACTTCGTCCGTGTTGGTAAGCCTGATTGAGTGTCTGCCAATGCCCAGGAAAAGGTAACTCACGACTGTTAGGTCCACGGGAGATCTCTATCATTCGCCCGTCTGCCATCCGTGCTATCTACGAACCACCAACTAGGTGCGGCAAGTCGCCATGGTACAGCCAAGTTTCAGATGACATAACCAAAATCTCCATCAACTCAACCAGAGACTTGAAGCGTCACAAGCTCCGAAAGAAGGTCTGGGAAAAGGGACTGGGCTTTAGGGGTATGATCTTTTCTCACCAGTTCCAGTTGTTTGTGACATTCTGACTCAAATCAATAGCATTGGCCGTGTATGAACCACGTGTAAAGTCCAAGGTAGACATGTTGTTGTCACGTATTGGAGCACATGAAGGCAGACCACTTGATATGACTCAAACAGCCATGTTCTTCGGATTCGACGTCATGGGAGATGTCGGTGAGTAACTTCGTTTTGCAGAGTACCTCTCCAACGTCTCGCTAATGGATCGATAGGCTTCTCTAAGGACTTCCACATGTTGGAGTCTGGTGAAGAGCATTCCGCCACCAAGGGCTTGCATGACAACATGACAGCCGTGGGAGTTCTTGGAACTGTACCATGGCTCATGTCAATGCTTAGCAAGATCCCCGGCGCAACTGGCAGCTATGCACGATTTACAGATTGGTGCGGTCGTGAGCTTGCCGCGAAGCGTGAGGTATGTGCAATGATTCAGACAAATCTCGGATTAATTTGGCTGATCAATCAAAGGTCGTTGCCCACGAAAAGGCATCACTTAAAGACCAAGAACCTAGGGATGTCATGACTTGGCTCCTGAAGGCCCAAGATGATGGAGACAACTCTGCGCCGCCTGGCGAGGGTGCTTTCCAGGAAGACTCGCGCCTCATGATTATTGCCGGCAGGTATGTAATTGTATCATGACCCACCATTGACGTCAAACACTAACAGTAAATGCAGTGATACCACTAGCGTTGCTTTTACAAACGCGTAAGTCATAGATGCTTACTATCCACGAATTTTGCTAAAGTGAGTAGTCTGTATTATCTGACCAAATACCCTGCCACATATCGTAAGCTTCAGGAGGAGCTTGCGGCCGTGTTCCCTGGTGGAGATGGGGATTGGACATACGACAAGGCCAAGACTGTTTCATATCTCGACTACATCATTCAGGAGACTCTGAGGTTGAAGCCATCCATCCCGGCAGGTTTGGTGAGGTTGACCCCCGCTACTGGCCTGCAGATCGACGAGGTCTTCATTCCAGGCGATACCATTGTCTCTGTACCGGCCTATGCTGTTCAGAGAGACGCACGCTACTGGGACAACGCCCTCGAGTTTGTCCCAGAGCGGTGGGAGAAACTATCAACGGAAAAGGCACCCTGGATCCCCTTCAGTAGAGGCCAATTCAGCTGCCCCGGTAGAAATCTCGCCTTCCTCGAGCTCCGAATGGTTCTCAGTCGCATTGCCCTCCGATACAACTTGTCTTTTGCCCCTGGAACTGATGTCGAGAAATTCGATACTGACATCAAGGACACGTTCACCCTCAACGTTCCCGAGCTGCCATTGATTTTTACTGCGAGATAGGATCAAGACGCTTGCTAACTACAGGGACATGGATATACGGACTCTAAGCAAAGTGCATAAGGATCGATGCATCGTACAGACGGCCGAGAAGCTAGTATTAGAATGAAAGCATGTGCTCTTCCTGTAGATGGTTTGGTTGTAGGCCTCTGCTATACCACGTGAATGTTTAAACACAGCGATTATCGATGATCTACACGTTGAAACAGAGCAACAGTGCTAGTTAGCTGACCAAGTACAATGAGATGTTTGACAACACTACATGTGTGCGCACACGCAGAGAGAGAAGCCTTTATTGCTCACTAAAATGAAGATGTACATTTTGCAGATCAGTACTGTTGTGGATATAGAAAGCTAAGTAAGGTGATACGGCAATGTATGAATGAAGAGTGAAGAGGCCGGGTATAAGTAGTGTAAGTGACCCGAGTCCATATTACTTCGGCAAAGACATCATCTTGACTTAAGCTATCAAGGGCCTGCTAGTCTCATTGTGGCGAGTCACTACATAGACATAATGTTACAACTTGCAATAAATCACCACTGTTGTCCGTTCCACCTAGGCGCTTGAGAAGTGGTTTTCTACTCTCGAAGGCTAGAGTGACGGCCGATATTTGTTAGATCTTGACCAGAACAGCTGTGGGAAAGAACATGAACCTGACTCAATCATTGATTCATAGACCATGCGTTAATCCCCCGAATGGGGTCGTCCGTGTATATGTTAAATCAACATCCAGAAGAGGCTCTCAGAGCACTTCTTAGCTTATTTCCCATCAGAACACAATCTATCGGGGTATCCAACAACTTCTTGTGCAAGACATATCCTGCCGTTCTGCAATTTCTTGTTAAACAAACACACTAAACAGATCTACTCGGCATCACTCTTGTTCTCCAAGATATGGCGCTTCGGCCGAACAATCAAACCCAAATCGTACCATATTCCAATGGTACTACGGCTTATAACAGCCAAGCTTTCCCCATAACTCAGCCGCGTTTTTTAAACAGTACTGTTCATTCAGCACCGCCAGTCTTTCAGTATGGTACAGTTGTTACCGGCCGGCCGGCCATGCCGCTATTCTCTACAGCAGTGCCTTTTGTTGGAACATCGGTGATCAACGGCCCTTTCATCAACCAAACTATCATTATTCAGAACCCTAGTTATTGGCCTGGTTTAAGTCAGCCGAAGAATATGAACCCACCAAAGAGGGATCATCGCACGACTGCGGTGCAAAAGGTTCCGACTAAAACACCTCGTCCTGGAGGAAAACATTCACCGGAGGAGGACTACAAGCCTCGATTGCCGACGCGGCGGACACCTCACCCCCAGGGAATTCCCATCTTGGCAGACGATAGACGAGATGGTCAAAGGAGACGTGCCATCAAGAATAAAACTCGACGCTGATATTCGCGTCAAGGTTGAGATGTCACGATAGTGGGCCAGGATATTTAGTTGGGAGTATGGTATTGCCCTTGCAAGTTTTTAGATCAAGCAGGCCGCGCTCCAGAGTCGATGATTACGGAGCTTGACAAAGAGCCTTTTTCGGCGGCCATTGAAGCCCAGTTACAGGATGAAGGCATTCAGTTTGACCATACCTGATGGCTTTTCAGAGACAGAAGGTTCGCATAGATCAGATTTTTTGCTATCGAAGTATCGAGTTGGATGTTCAAGTTGTCGCGGTCGTGTATTGAACACTGGTAATTTTTTTTTTGCGGCTCTCATCATGGAGTATCTTCATTTTTCTCGTTGGACTACATATTTGCTTTACCATGAGATATCTCACAGAAGGAGAATGAAATAGTTGCTTGCGCCCTAGTCACAATTTGCTGCCTGAATGATATGGATAAATAATCTCGTATCTTAAAAAGTACAAAATTATGTATCATTATAGAGCACTTACACAATTGACTTCACCTTGTACGCTTCTAGACTTCCCGTATATCTGAGTGCACTGATTGTCTCTACCAGCTCCAATCTCCCATACTAACCGTTCAACCGAGGGAGAATTGTTTGTCAGTAGTACCCAATCTATCTAATTGGAAGGAGGTGAATTAGTGCAATTGCAAATATCGATTCGAATACGATTGATTGCATGAATCGACTCGACTTGTTCCCTGCATTCTATGTTAAAGCAATTCAAAAACAAAATTGATCTTCTGGGATGTCATTCATAGCGAAACGATGTGCTCGTCGCAAGCCAAAAAAACCCCTCCCTGGAGGCTGGAAAAAAAAAAAAGAGCTCATACCCAGATTCGAACAGGGGTCTCGGGAAGATCCACACAGATCAAAATCCCACGTGCTAACCTGTTTAGGTTTAGTATTTACCAAAACAATGGTCTAGTGGGTCTGAATAGGTGGACTCGTTACCTACCACTACACTATACGAGCTTAGTTGCTGATACGTGCTGCACCAAATCTGGACTGATTAACATTGTTCGAAATAGTGCTCTCGATATCGCTCAAGGCTCCTACATTCCGAAAGTGGTGACAATGCATCTTGGTGAAGCTGTTCCTAGTCAAGGCCTAAGTCTATGTAGCGTTGTTTGATCGTTCTAGTGTTACGAAATCCTTTCTTTTCGATACGTTTGGTGCGTTTAATTAGACCATTTTCACCAACCTTATCACCTCCTTCGCAGGCAATGACTAAGGTTGGCATGAGCATCAGAATTGTCGTCAAGGCCGGCATCAGGATCATTGTTGGAAAGAGCGTCTCCAGTTGTGATGGATCCCGGATGGCCTGGTCACCCTCACATTCAACTTCAAGCCAGCACGTGGGCCTATGCAACTTCACGCACACGCACGGCCCCACGTCCACGGACCGCTCAAGTTCCGAATGTTGCCCAAACGGCTTCTTTTCAGCAAGCAACTCCAGCTCCTTTCGGGCAAACAGCCCCTAATTTTTTCGGACAAGCCTTTCCAGTATATGATTATCAAGGACAGCCTGCGGGTTAATTTGTCCCACCTCTGATGGTTCCAAGCACAGGCCCTACTGTGTTTCATCAATATCATCAACAACCTCAAGTTGTACCTGGATATCAGCATGGTCCCTGGAACCCAGTTTATGCTAGCAATCATGGGCCAATTCCAGATTACACCCCTGTGTACTCCATGCCAGTGCCTATGACTCCTATGCCGGCAGCTATGGCTCCCATTCCTATGCCGATGTTTCGCTGAGTCCATTAGATGCGGCACAAGAGCTTAGGCAGTGTTACAATGTCAGGGGCCGACTAGCAACGGACAATACCTTTGTGGGAGACAGAGTCTGCTTTTAAATATTCTAGCTTTTCAGAGCCTTTCGTTAGCTTATCACTGGACTTAACTATTTGCCTAATAAAATGTTTTGTTCTTTCCACGACCTCTTTTTCTTCTTGTGTGTGCGTGGGTGTGTGGGAATATTTGCAGGTTTCAAAGCACAGATATCTTCTAAAGAACCATCAGAGTCTGATGCAGCATAAATTGTTTAAGTATGTCAAATATCCAGTCTGACGCCAATGTGTATTGGAATGATACATGCTATCTTTGAGCGTCAAGGGGGTGAGTGACTTGACTGGTTCTAAATGCAGGTAGAGCGGCGGTATGTACAGGTAGTCTTGACGAGAAACACGTCAATTAAAAGATTTCGACTCTCAAAACGCCTTTAACACTATAGCTGTTGCTGACATACGACTGTATGTGGGTGGATGAAGAAATAAGCAGTAGAATTATAAGGACGCGCCAAATACAATCTCAAACGCCTAGAACATCCGTCAACAACCTAAGTGCAAAGCACAGGAACCGTGTAGGAGTCGAGGAGTAACTAATTTAGTTGACAACATGCAAAAGTCCAAAGCTCTCATTGCTCATGAGCTTCGATGAGGCTTCTGTACCTGTGCAAGGGAAAAGAACATGGCGCCAATCTTGCGAAGACTTTGCGATGGTGAATGGGGGAACAGAAAGCGGCATGTAATGAAGTCATTCTCCAAAGCTTGAGATGCGTACGTGCAGCAAGTGGTGCTGTCTGGTTCATCCACGTATACTACTCTGGGGAATAATGAGACAGAGCGCTTTCCTCAGTTTCGAAATGCCACTATTGATAGTAAGCTCTGGAAGCTTGGGGTCTGGCTGGCTAATAAGGGGCACCAGCGGTTCAATATTGAGCATCGTAAGTGTGCTCTAATGAACACTCATAACTCATTGAAGCACGGTCTTATCAGGCTGCTCGTGGTGGTGCGGTTTGGATCTGAAACCTTCTTGGCTATTGAATCTGGCGAGTTCGCATGTTAATCTAGACTTTTCATGTACAATGAGGACTATTGAAGCTGCGCGGTTGTCGAAATAAGACACGGCCCAAATCATCGGCAAGCAACTCCCGAAGCCACGCAAATGATTATCTTTAGCAGCAATGCCCATGCTTCCAAACTTGTTGATCAAGATGCCATCCGCATCTTTCAGCGAATCGTGATTTCGCCCATAATCCTCAAAGCCAAGGAAGCGCTCAGCCCTGAGATGTATTTACAAATGAGAGCCGTAATGGGTGAAGAGAAGAAAACACACAACCACAAGTTGGGTCCTCAACTGAAGCCCTGGAGTGGCAATGCTTCAGAGGGCGCTACGAGAGGATCCCGCCACAAAGGCCGCTCTACAGACTGGATGAACTTGTCCATATAACGAATTCCCTTGTACTTATCATCCTCGATAGAGGTCTCAGCTGCGGGGAGAACGGGCGCGATAAAGGCATCCCAGTTCGGGTCAAAGAAGAAGGGCACCGAAATACGCAGCGATTCCGAGGTGTGGCAGACGCGGTGTAGCGTAGACTTATACGCGCCTCGAGTCCATTCAGCTAACATGTCGCCAATGTTGCAGAGGTAGCAACCCTGTACCGTTCGTTAACACAACTAAAGTTGCCATGCTGGACTGGAAACTCACTTCGATGGGGTCGGCATAGATCCATTCTCCTGTCTTGCTGAGTACCTGGAGAGAGTTCTTGGTCGGGTCGGTCAGGAGGAATGTCAAAATTCCGAAGTCTTAAGTCACTGCGCGTAAGTCCTCGCAGTCGCCAAAATAGAAATCAGGTAAATCCGTACCGGTATGCTCTCCAATGCCTGCCGGAGCAGGAGTCTTGGACTTTCGACCTTCATAGCCCAGTATACGCAGATTCCAGAACGCTTTATCGATGCGATCCAGGAATATGCTTTCGTCTACTTCCATGGCAAGTGCCATCGCCTGCATGACAGACTTTCCAAGTGACTCCAGTCTGTCTACATACTCATCCGAGGTCGACCTGAAGCCATCCGGTTTCGAAGGCCACTGGTTCATGCCCATTCCAGTTGTGAAAGGCGGGCAACTCGCTTCGACGGGACGGTAAAAGTCGACTGCCTTCGCACCATTAAGTTCTGTACAAAGCTGCTATTGAAGACCTCGAGACTGACCTCGTGACAGCCTTTCTCCTCATTCTTTACATACAAATAGCCGCGAGCATTATCACCTCCTTCAGTCTTTTTTCTCAACGCTATTCTGGCCTTATCCTCAGGGGTTGCAGTCTCGAAGAAGCCTCGAGCTTGCTGCAACATGGAGTTCATTAACTCCAGAGGAACTCCATGATTCTTCAAATAGAAGAATCCAACCTCCCGGCAGGCTTTGTCAATCTCAAGGGCTGTCGCTTTCTTCTGCTCTGGGTTGCTCTCGGACGACAAGAAAGGCGAAAAGTCAATGACAGGAAGTAGCGAGGCCATATCCAATGATACCCATACAATGCTTTCAACTTGTTACGGTTGGCCAAGTCTTTTGCAGATCTCGCAAAGTATCGAAGTTGAGATTGCCGCAATATGCAGGACTTTATGTGCAAGCCCCTCGTCTAGACTGTCACAGTTTCGGACGGTCTTTGTCTCGAACGATCAATAAGAATGCTAAACAGGCTGCAAGAAGGACTATGATGCATCTGTCATCAACATGACAAAAGATAAGCAACGAGTCCCTGGAGTCCCGTCGGCTTCAAAGAGTATGCTCCGTCTCACGATTCTTATCTCCAGTGGAGAATGTTGCGGAAAGTGGGGCATCACGGCGTGGTGAACTCGGGAGCCTTTAACTTCCTGCAGGCCACCGGCAGAGTCCGATAATCTTGAAGGTTACCAGAATGGGCAGGACGTGCAGATGTAGTGTCGTAGATATCCAATTCAATAACACTCTGCTTTGGCTTCAGTAGGCCTTTCAACGGATGGGGCTGTCGCCGCTTAAAGGAGTCATCGATCTGACAGGGCATTGAAGACCATACAACTCTGGGAAAGAGCTCAATTGCATCTATCCTATTGAGAGGAAAGATCTAGAGCCTGTAGATGATATCTGAATGATAAGACTGTGTGTCATGGTTTCGGAACGCTCTTGAATGCAGCCAAGACATCTGCAGTGGTTGCAACGGCGCCAAATATGCCACCCTCCGTACATACCGATTCGACAGATGCTTCATGGAGTTTTCGATCTCCGGCCGCCGTAGCATCAGAGATGAGCAAGCAATCAAGGCCCATATCATTCCCGTCACGCATAGTGCTCGTAACGCATACATCGGTGGTAACGCCGCATATGACGAGGTTCTTGATTCCGCGATTGTCGAGTAACAGCTTGAAGTCTGTATGCTGAAAGGCACTCCGGCCCGGCTTGTCGATTACGGGCTCATTCGGCAACGGTGTCAATTCCGGGACAATCTCATGGCCAGGCTCACCGCGAACGAGAAGGCGGCCCATGGGACCTGGGTCACCAATCCCCATATCTGTCTCGTTGTTGCGGCTGCGTGCATGCTCTCTACTCGACAGGGTGGACAGGTCAGGACGATGGCCTTCTCGCGTATGATAAACCTGGAAGCCCCCTTCACGAAAAGCTTCTAGTAAAGACTGTATTGGAGGTATAACATCTCTCATGGGTTTTATTGAGATGCCATGAAAATCCAAATAACCCCCGGGTGAGCAGACTAGCTGGTGTCAGTCTTTAATTCATGTCTCCTTTTCCATTGGTAACTCACAGTCAACTTGCATGTCAATGACCACCAGAGCTGTTGTAGTCGGATTGAAAGTTGCATTATGGGGCCATTTATATGGTCTCGCCAAAATTGACGGTGCAACTTCCGAGGCCATTGTGAACAGTAATGTTATTTCTGGGGTAAAGGAAGTTTTCTTCGAAAACAATGTTTGATACAGAATTGTGAGAAGCGGTTGACTGCTAAAGGTGCGGCTTAGTGGCCGAAAGCGCTACAATAGCGGGTCGCTAGCACGGCTGTCTCAAATTTACGGCATCTTAGCGGCTTCTCGTGTCATCGTCCTCAAACCTCAATCTCAACTCTCCTCAACTCCGCGAGATCGATGAAATCAGGCCAGTCGTTTCAAATGCCTGGATAGTATAACAAATCGGTAGGGCAATATGGGAATTCCACGTCTCATGGGCAGCCTCGAGCCGTATGGAGTACGTTCTCAACTCAGCGGTTCAGTCGTGATCGATGGACCAGCATTTGCATATCGCATTCTTCATATATGTCGGGGCGAATGTAAAACAACGGGTCCCCTCAGTGAGCCAACTTACCAACAGCTGAGCCAAGCAGCTTTGAGGTGGCTGGATGGGATCCAAGAATGTGGTGTTAGAATGTGAGGCTCCAGCCATAGAAACCCCTTGGATATTGCTCGAGCTAACAATTCAAAGCGCTGCAATATATTTCGACGGATATCTGCCTTTTTCGAAAAGAAATGTGCGCCTCGAGAGAGTCTTCTCAATTTCTTCGACGCTAAGTACCTACTACTCGTCAACTAGTAGTGGTATTCCATCTTTGAGCTTGTCTCATGATTCAAAAGAAATCCTGGACCCTTTTCACCCTCTCCGCGCTGCCACATCTCGCAGCAAAAATCACCTCCCTATCCCACCATTACTCGTTCCTGCAATTCTCGACGGTTTAAGAGCTTCCGGGCGGTACAGTGGGCTCACTCATCTGGTGCCTGGGGAAGCTGATACATTCTGTGCAAGCCTTGTGAAACAGCATGGGGGAATCATCCTAACGTCTGACTCTGATCTGCTTTTATACAACCTTGGGTCGGAGGGAAGTGTGGTGTTTTTCAAAGATGTCGATAACAATAATGCTCCTGAAAATGTGAAGTCCAGCACTCGAGGCCTAGAGATCGAATCGACTCTGACGAGTGTGTCTGGTTTGGTGTTCACCACGAAGCACCTGATGGAAAGACTCTCTCTTGTCGCTGAAGAAGGGCTCCTGTCCTTGGGGTTTGAACTGCAAATGGACCCGTATCCACCATTCTCAGAAGTTGTCAAGCGGTCCAAGGTGAAACATTCGAGCTCAAAAAATCTCGACGAGTACAATGAATTCGTCTCTCAATATCGGCTTACTTTACCTGTGGATCTGGGCATGCCCCTTTATCTGTCTGGACTGGACCCTAGAGTATCTGAATTTATTCTGCAATGGACTGGAGATGCGGCTGCTTATAGTGCAGAAGTTGGAGGGTTGCCGGATCGTGAGATAACCATTTTCCTTCCGCCACTTCTTGATCGTTGGGATCGAACAAGTGCTTGGGAATCCAGCGTATCTATACGTCAAGTTGCCTACGGCTTGATGAACCTGTACAATTTCCGCAAAGGGCTGTCTTCTGTGGCAGAGTATCGACGCGCGCAGTCCAAGGTCTCCAAGGGTCGGCAGATCCCGCTACCTCAACCTGCAGAGCTTGTCGAGTCGAGCAAAGATCTCCTTGCTTCAATTGAGAAGATCAAGAAGAATTTAAAGCTGCAACACCTGCAGTGGATCGTGCTGTCCATGGATCAAGACCTCCTCCAAGCTAAAGAGCTGGAAAAGGAGGCTTTGACGCTGGAGCAATGGAGACTAGCGGCAAAGTGCAATGGGCAGCTCGACATTACATCCTGGGACACAATTCACCTTGCGGCTCAGGTTCAGGGATATCTCTACTCGTTAAGAATCCTGCAACAGGTTCTCGGCTTTCTACAGCAAGTCTTTGGAGACGCTCTACCCAAACACCAAACCGAACTAAAGGTAGAACTCACATCTCTCCCTACAATATCACAATTTCCCACGATCGGCGATTTATCTACGATCTTTGTTCGACTCAAACAGTCTGGTGGCCTAGACATGTTAAGAAAAACAGCCGATCTCGCCTCAGATATTCCTTTCGAAACACCACGAGGACGGAAGCCCAGAAAGAAAAACAGAGACAAGAAAACAAACAGGTCAACGATACAACACCGAGCAGCCGCTTCATTACGTAACCCTTTCGATGTTCTAGGCTAATGTGCTCATCGATTCACTTCAGCAGCAGAGGGCGGTTACAGGGACCATCGACGAAATGGCCGTATTGAAAGAACTTTAGCTGAGAGAAAAGCAACCAGCTAGCAGCCGGGGCTGTGGCTGAAGATCATCATATCATATGAAGCCATTACTGGTCCATGGAAGAGCACATGGTCCGTGCGCAGCGGACAGGGAAACAGGCCCCGCAGTCAAAAGGCTGCTCGGGGCATTTTTAGCTCTGCTCAAATTTAAAAGCTTTCCCTCCTCCCACCGCCTGCAAAAATCTGACCTGCCATCATGCGAGGAACGCTGATTTTCGCGGGCTCGTCCTGCCCAGCTCTCACAGGCAAGATATGTGAGAACCTGGGTATGGCTCCGGCCGAGGCGGAGCTCACGCAATTCTCAAATGTTTGTGGTGCTCTTTCCCCATCCCATCTCCTTCCTCCTACTTCTCCCCTCTGCTCAGCTCAGCTCTGCCTCTAGCTCTGTCTGCTGCGTGGCCGCGCGAGGATGACGATGCAGGGGGCGGCTGCGGCTTTGAGAGCAAGCGAGCGAGGGAGCGCCTTCAATTGCTTTGAAAGAGTGTAGACATCGAGACTGACCGTGGCACTGGCCATTTTTCTAGGGCGAAACAAGTGTAAGAATTCTGACGAGTGTTCGAGAGAAGGATGTCTTCGTGGTGCAGTCCGGCAGCCCCAAGATCAATGACACAATCATGGAGCTACTGATCATGATCTCCGCCTGCAAAGGTGGCTCAGCGAACAAGGTCACTGGTGAGCATGAAGCCCTCTCCTCATTTGACTCATCTGGCTAACACACTGTGAAGCTGTTCTACCGTACTTCCCTTACAGCCGTCAGTCGAAGAAAAAGTCCCACCGAGGAGCCATCACAGCACGCATGCTGTCCAACCTCCTCAACGTAGCAGGAGTAAAGCATGTCATTACCGTGGATCTGCATGCCTCCCAGATGCAAGGCTTCTTCAAGTGCCCTGTCGATAACCTTCATGCCGAGCCGTTGATTGCCCGCTGGATCCGGCATAACGTTCCTAATTGGAAGGAAGCTGTGGTGGTGTCAAAGAACCCGGGTGGCACAAAGAGAGTTACATCGCTTGCCGATGCTTTGAAGCTGAACTTCGGAATTGTCACAACAGACAAGAAGAGAGCAGGGGCCAACATGACTTCAAGCATGATCATGAACCAGTTGGACAGTCTAGAACCTCTCGATCCTGCAACTGTTGGATCGAGCTCCACAAGAGATGATCTGGAGAATGGAGATTCTGCGCGCCACACGCCAGACAGCTCCCAAGGACGACCATCACGCATCGTCGCTGATGCACAAGGTTCTCCTCGACGGTCTAATGGGCCGCCGTTGCGAACAACTAACATCCCCAATCGATCTAGACACCATCCCAGTCGATCTCAAGCCTCCCAGGCAGATCAACAGGATGAGGAGACTGAGACTGAAGGCGAAGGCAGCAGTTATAATGATCAACGAGCGCCGGAGGTCACCCATGGACGGCTGTACCAAGGCCACATTGTTCCGGATGATTTTCCTTCCCCAGCCACCTCAGCGGCCGATACAAACGTACCGGATGATGACCCAATGGCCATGTCCCATGCATCTTCGTTCTTCGCTCCCGAACCTCATGCTTTAGGCGGATCAGGCGATGCTGATGGAAGCTCTGATGAAGAGGAAGACAAGCTCAAGGATCCTAAGGTGGAGCACATGATCACGCTGGTTGGCGACGTTAGAAACCGCTCAGTCTTCATTGTCGATGACATGATAGACAAGGCAGGCTCATGGATTGCTGCCGCCGAGACGGTCATGAAGCGTGGCTTTGCCAAGAAAGTCTACTGTATCGCGACCCATGGTGTTTTCGGAGGAGATTGCCTTGCGCAAATGCAGGCTTGCGAATGCATTGACACAATCGTCGTCACAAACAGCTATCCTATACGCGAAGAGAAGGCGAGGAATGCCAGCAAGCTCGTAGTCCTGGACCTGTCATACTTGTTGTCAGAAGCCATCCGACGCAACCATTATGGAGAATCGATCTCGCCCCTGTTCCAACACATTGCAGACTAGGACTCTGGCTTCTGGGGTCGCGATAAGCGACAAACTCTGTAAGAGCCTCTGGCTGCTTCTTCTTTTGCTTACTACTCTGTATAATTTGTGAGGGTAAGATATGACTGTGATGACTGGCGGGACATGAGCGCGGCGTCTGGCATGGTTGCTATACGGACATGGCTTATCGGAAGGGGCGGTTTAGAGACATTAACCAAATCAGATACCACTTTATCGTCTTGCTAAGACGATCTTTGAGCACAGCTCTATTTCGTGCACATCATGACTGTGTTCTCCTTCCTCTTTCTCTCTTTCCTTTCCCAGCGATGCTGCCTCTGGGCAGCAGGGCCTCGTCCGCTCTCCATGGATGAGTCTCTAACGGAGCGTTGGTAGAATGTACTCGATTTCAGAAGGCCCTTTGTCATGGCACTCGTGGCCACTTCCATCCGGTTGGTGGACAATGGGCAAGATAACACTCTCGGACATAATTGCAAACATGAGCGCACTTGTGTGACAACCTCTATTTTGTCTTTCTGCCATTCGTTGGATTCTCAAAAGCCTTCCGGCGCTATTTGTGTAGGAATGGCTGCCGAACTTCATACCGTCTCAAAGCTACTTCATAATTGATAAACTTTCCCCTCCTCGTTTCACATCTATTCCATACCGCGATATAAAGGAGCCGTCTATAGAAGGTTGATGTTCTACGAACATTGGCTGTGCGACCTGTCGGTCGGTCTCTCTCCTCCATCGATGTTCAATGCCGTCCTTGGCCTTCAAAGCGTTTGTTAGCGGCACTCCAAGCAAGCCAGGGTACACGTTCGTAGACTCTAGCGTGATCATTGGCAGTCTGAATTCGGACGCCCAGAACTCGTTGGGTACCAGAGGCTGGTAGTGATTGTTGCCTACATACAAAATGAAAAGATGTCTGGAGTTGTACGATCCCCTAGTTGTCACAAAAGTGATCTCTTGCTTTTCGTTTAGTGTGTAGATGATGAGGAAAACGTGGTATAGATCTGCGGTGACATCAAACATATTCAGCGGCGTGTATGTGCTAGGCATACACAAGATCTGATATAGATTCGCGCATGTATTGGTGGGCTTACCGCCCTCCGGACTCGTCTTAGTCGCGTAGAATTTCTTGTTGAGAGCCTTGTATGATTCGTGCCGCGGATGCTTACTCTCTCGAAGGATATGGCAGAAGTGTGCGAAATGCTCTCCCTTGACTCTGTGATGGTATCTCCAGTCCCCGTAGATGTGGATTGCAATTGCCTTCCAGAAGCACTCCCCGGATGCCCCTTGGTAATTGGGTATGCAGAGAAATGGCACCTCTTCCACAAGCGGAAGACCCTTGATCAGAGGGGTTCTGTGCTTGCGCTTTCCTGTTGTCAATTCTGCTTTGTATAACGCCTTGTGTGCTTGGTCGTGGTCATTCGGCCATCCCTCCTCATAAGAGTAGACAGAGGAGACGTCTCCATAAACCTCAGCTTCTTCTTCCTTTGATAGGTCACTTGGTAAATTATACGTGTCGCGGAACTTCTTCATGAGCAGCCTATGATGCTCCAGACCCTCGGTGGGCGCAGGGGTCTTCCCCTGGTCAGTATTTTGATCCTGGAAGATGAGCAACTTCTCATCTGACAGTCCATAGAACGATGGCGGATCCATATCTGTTGTACTCTGGCTGCTTTTTGTTGGCGAGTCTTCTGTCAAGTTGATCACCTCTAGCTCCTGGCCGTCATCTTTCTTGGTGTTGGCTTTACTGGTACGAGTCTTTGGGATCGTCACTTCCAGTACCTTGCTTCCCACAGGCACCAACGGCTCGGGACGCCGAATAGTCTCCAGATCTCGCAGCCAAAGTCTCTTCCTAGCGGCAGCATCACTCTCCTGGCCGCTTTGACCCGGGACAGTCTGCGTGGCTGCCGGCCTCTGTTGCTCGCCCTTGTCATCAGCCGAGCGGATAGAGATCTTGAGTCGCTCAATCATTTTGCCCTCGCTATTCGGCGCCACAGCGATGATCGGCTGCACATCTTTCCCGAGGAGGTTGTTGAGCACAAGCTGTGCTATATCGCCAGCACTCTGCTGACTACCACCGCCCTCGGACACAGATACATCTAACTCCCCCCTGGCTATGACAACCTCGTCGCCAGCCCCACCAACATCAGGAGCGAGTTTCTCCCCTTCGGAACCAGGCCGATAGTGTGGTCCTCTCCGTAAGCGGTAGACCCGGTCTGGACAGGGATTGTCGTCTTCGCGCCTCCGCCGGCGAGGTACTTTGCTTACAATTGCTGGAAGCTTGGGAGGCTTAGGCGGCTTAGGCGGAGGAGGAGGCGGCGGCGGGCAGGGCGTATCTGTTGGAGGAGAAGGGGAGTTCTGTGCGGCTTGAGCAGGCGCTGCTCGGATGGCTAATGCTCTCCACTCCAAGCCTATCTCGGTCTTGATGCTGGGAACTAACTTCTTGGGAGGCATTGCGGTTGATTTCTCTTTCACATCAGTTGCTGGAGATAATAGACTCTCTTCACTTTTGAAGACGCTCCCTCAGTGCTTGGGGCAACGGACGTGATTGATCTGGTGAACTACTTAAAAGAGATGGCTTCTTTGGCCATATATGACAGACTACATGCTTGTCGTCTTCGACAATCCTTAGATCCAGGGCTGAATGCTATGTTTCTCTATACTTTTGACATCTAATAAAGGAAATGCCCAAAGAGCTCAATCGTGCCGCTTCCGGCAGCTATCTCCTACTGTCTAAAGAATTATCAAGTATGCTCAAGGCTTGCGAGACAAAGAGACTTAGACGCGAGACCGTCCAATCATATCAAGAGTTGCCGAACCAGTTCATTAGACAAAGAACAGTAGTAACAGGATATTCGAAGCAAGAAATCTAGAAGGACAGATTGGAAAAATCCAGAATGACACGGAAAACGTGGGGCGCCTATCTCACAGGATCCAAGACAAATTTCTTGGCGGGATGCATCAGGGGTGGAATGGACTTTACTCATAATCTTCACATTCTTGACTATCAAGCTATCTAGGTAATAGCTGATGTAATGCGACAATCAGAACAAGAGCCTTTGACCTAGCTCATGATGCAAAGTAACTCTGTGTAGTTACTAGTCCACCACTGATGGATGTAAAGTTGCTATGGTTTGATGGTACATGGTCCTATTACACAGCGGGCTGCGCGGGCGACAGTGTGATCGCCTCACTCGTCGAAAAGCTTGTTCCCGTGAATCTCAACGAGGAGCTCGGAGAAAGAATCGCGTTCTCGCTTCTTGTCCGCCGTCACATCCTCGAGCAAATCCTCAGGTACCACATTTCGGCCTGCATTTCTAATGATTCTCCATGCTCTGCGGAACTCGTCTCTTATGGCGACAATTCCATTATGTGTGACCGTCCGCGCCACATTGTGGTCCAGCTCGAAAGGATCTTCAATGGCAAACAAATATCTGTGCCGAATCTCCTTCACCTCGCCCCCTTTAGACTTGTCATGTGACGACTTGGGAGGTTCGCCAGGTGACGGAAGCGGCTGCGAGGGAGTGGTCGTCGGGGTGGGTGTACTTGACTCTATTGGAGTCTGAGGGTTTGCTTGCATTAGATGCGGCTCCGAAGCTGGCGGTGGAGCACCCTTATTCTGGACCTCGAACACGGTCTTCGCACCAGTCCATCCCTTTTCTTGCTTGCTCAGGAGCCCACCATGTGTTCGAATACTCAGCACATCTCGACCCCAATCAAATCCACGTATCTGGATAGTACTCATCATGTTGCTCTGTGCGAAGTATTCGAAGAAGCCGCGAATGAGATATCCAATAGAGTCCTGGTTCTGCGTAAGGCTGCCCTGTCGTGCCAGGTTTTTGATCGCATCCTCGTCCCTCCAGAACTGAACGTTTCTACCTTTGCAGACCATTGTCTCTTCGACAATTTCCGGTGGGAGATTTGGATCGGGTGGAGGTGCTATCGCTTGGAGATTCGGACACACAAAAGGCTGGGCGACGTTGACAAGGTAATGCAGCATCATGAGTACATATCCATAACTGCTAAGCGTACCCCTGTAAGGAGTGTTGATGCCACGCACTTTGGCCCAATGTTTTACAAACAATACTAGTGGTCTGACTCGAGGATCTGTGTGCGAGTAGCACCGAAGAAGAAGGGTATTGTGCAGTGCTAGATGTGCGGAGAAGTTGATATCACATTGTACTCCAACTCCAGACTTCGGGAACTCCAGACGATCTTTGTACGGATCTCGTGGCTGATTAGGAGCCAGCTTTGCCGGGTCGGACAAAGTGTTAATCTTTGCTAACAGGTGGGATAACTCCGCGGTAACGGGTATGACGAAGTCGAAATACTCTCCCATCTTGTCTGTCGGTTTCATGGGGCTCCGCAGAAGCGGCAGATATGCTTTGATGGCGGTGGCATCTTCTTCAGCGTACAAGTCTTTTTCCAATGCCTTGTCAAATTCCTTGGCAAGTTGGAGGGATTTGTGCCTCCTTGCGACAGCCTTGAGACTGAGATTTCCGAGAGATTCTGCAAACGCCGTGACTTGCTCCCTTATGTCCTCGTGCGAAATGCCTGCTATGTAGTGTCGTATTACTGCGGAAAGTATCTCATTTGACGGAGATGCAGAGTCATGACCACCAAGATCAAGCATGAGCTTTATTGCCCTGCTGTGATACTGTGATGCTGTTTCGTACTGCGCTTGCTCAAGGAGCATTAATTCAATCGACGGAATTCTCTTCAGCTGGTCTGCAGCTAATTGGAGCTCCCTGTTGTAGGCCAAGGGGTCTAAGCCAAATGTGAGCTTGTTCTGTACGTCTTTCCAGAAGTCAATCCTCTTCTGAGCGAGACCTTCTTGGTGATCATCCTTTTCATGTATATGACGACATTCCCACATCAAAGCAAGCCTCTCGCCTTCCATCTGGGTGAAAACCCCGGCTAGAGAACGGTTTGATGGCATGTTGGTGCTGGGTGACCGTTCAAAGGTCAAAGATACGTAGCTTTCCAGGCTAGTCCTCAACGCGTCATCCGCGAGACCTCGCAGAAAGGCATGGCAGACATCATTGAGTATCTTGAAATCCTCTGCGCTGAAGTCGGCGGCGGTTGAGTGACTGATATCCCTACCGCCCAGCTTCCTCAGGAGTCGTTTTGCCATGTTGTAGTAGCCAAGTAGGTGAACGTTGGCGCCTTGCTTAAAATTGTCTAATGATTGCTGGTACTTTTCACTTCCAGGAAGTCCACCAGCATCAGATAACTTCGAGCTATGACCTGCATTATTGCTGTCGGCAGGATCTGTCTGACGCGTCAGACCGTCGGTCACGTCTTCGTGTCTATCTTCCTCCTCGGCTGCTGCATCATCATCTAGACCTTTCTCCCACTTCAATCGCTCCTCACGTAGATCATGTAGGAGTTTTTCTGGAGGCTTCTCACAAAGCTTGATGATTGGAACACGTGTTCTTGTAAGCAGGCGCGCTCCGAGTCCAACATCAAGAAAAGCTTTCTCAATCACTCGAGGTATAGCGGAGTCGTTGGAATCCGGCTGGGGTATTGATAATGGAGAAATAAGCCCCAAATCCATATCTGAAGCCTTTGTTGCGAAACCAGAGGACAAGCTCCCAAAACACTTGAGTTGTACACTCATAGGGGGAAAATTTCCCAGACCGTTTTGTTCCCGCTCATGTTGAGTAACAGCTGCGCGGCAGATCTGCTCAATCATAATTCTGAACGACTCCTTCTCCATGATCTCAGCATGTTCAATTTCAGCATTGACGAGGATCTCATTGCACAAGCTCTCGAGCAGGGCTACCTGGCTCTTCAAGTCTTCAGGTCTGACGTGATTCTGCCTCGGGTTGAAAAGAGTACCACCCGAGTGTCTTGGGTGTCTCGATGACGTGGAATCAAATTGTTGTCCTCCATGCTGATTCCTGCCCCCGAACTCCCCCTGGTGACCATGTTGTGGTCTCCAGTCATGGCGCTCCCTGGCGGGCACAAAGCCTGGATATGATGGAGACTGTTGGTGACGCGCTTGAGACGGGTATGAACCGCCGGAGAGAGGAGGATTTGGGTATCCCTGATTTTGATATGTGGGCCGGAAAGTGGCTGATTGAGGGCGTTGGTCCCTTTGCTGACCTGAGGAGTTGTGTTGGCGATTACCATACCCGGAAGCAGGGCTTGCAAAGGATCGAGATGCTTGAGATTGAGGCGGACGATGGTCGATAGGGATGGACAACTGAGCAGACATTTGCCGCCGTTGAGCCTGATTGGGCCGTTTGCGACCTTTTTGCCCCTGTGACTGCTTGCTCGTGCTGGTAGCCTCTTCTATTCCAACGTCCAGAGGTGCATCTTGCTGAGAGGTGCTTTGATTACCATCATTATCGGAGTTATTCAGGATTAGATTTCGCAACCGATCCTCGAGAGGAGCGCCATTGCCCTGCGTTGCCTGCATTGTTGCTTATGCTTCTAACAGGGATCCAGCCAAGATTGGCAGTACTCAAACAAGTGTGAAGAACCACCGGGCCTGGAAGGCTGAGATCAGACGACAGAAAGGTGCTAGCAATCCCGGAAGGTCACCGCAGGAAGTAGGAAAGATTGCGTGAGGGACTTGAGAGCCCCAATCAGTCCAACAAGATGCGCACATGCAGGTACTCTGCTGCTGTTGCTAAGAAGAGAACGCAAACAAAGTAGTGGAAATGACAGTTTCAAGAAAACAAACGTTGAAGAGTAGAACCACCTCGATCAAAGAGTAGAGTCAAGCATAAGCCTCAAGGGAGCTATGCGACGATCAGGAAGGGAGCTCTGGCGAAGGGTTCAGATGTTGAGTCCGTCCAGTCAGGAAGGGCTCCACCTCCACGAAAGGACAACGGCACTTTGAGGTCTCGGAAGGAACGAGCTGTAGGACCCTGGAAGGTTCGCACAACGCGACCGGATGTTATACCGTGACTCAAGACACGGCGCTGAAATCGGGCGCTGAGAAGTGGCCCTTCACGCCGTGACTGGGCTGATACAGCTGCCCCTCAACCCCTCAGGTGCAAGCGAAGCTCGACAATTGGGACAGATTCGAATCAGGCCAGTCAGCCAGTAGTGGGGTTTGCTGGCTTTTGCTGGCTTTGTGGCCCAGGTAAGGCAAACGGGATAATCTGCCCTGTCAAAGGGTGCCACAGATGTTGTCAAGCGGTCTCTGGAGATGGTGATGAAACAGAACGCTGCTGGTGTCCCCTATCATTCTTGCAGTGGCGCGAACCGGTGGTGATGCTAGGTGATCTGAAAGTGTGAGTGTGAGATGATGAAAAGCTCCCTGCAAGATAGAAGCTCACTCCGTATGCAAGCTAATACCAACCAAGGGCCTCTAAGCAGACTACATAGATACCTACATAGGTACTCCTCCGCCAGGGTAATAATTGTTAGTTTCGGCAAGGGTATCACTACCTCCTTAACAAGACGTCACTGCCTTTGTATAGTTGATAGGCACATAATAATAAATAGAAGATTGTAGAGCTTGATGAGTATTTCGACTCTCAATTTTGAGTATCTTCCATTACTAGGTATTCGAAAATTAACGTTAATCACCCTGGTGGAGGAGTAGAGTAGGTACATTGAGTTGGGCCTAGCGAAGCTTGAGTGACGCATCTGGTCTGTGCAGAATTGCAACACGATAAGGTACGTATCTATCATGTACTGCTAGCTTCTCTTTTGGTGCAGATACCACAGACTTTTGGCTGTAAGGTACCAGGGGGTACCTCACATGTGGAAATGGTAGCAGCTTGTTAGGTCACAATGGGAACGCCAGGCAGGCAGGTACGACCTACTACTACGAAGTATGTCACAATGAGCCTCCTCCATTTTCCTTCGCCTCACTTTCTCTCACCTTTGACATCTCAACGCCTGTCGTCCTGCGCCCGAACCCATTTTCGTCGCATCCAGAACAAAGAAATCGCGCTTCCCTGCCGCGTTCTTTGATTCTGGAGCCTTTGCGCCTATCATCGGCGACTTGTCAACTGCAAGCGTTCTCTAGACGCGAGATCTCGTATTTCCTTCGCCAAGATCTCAGAATTCATACGCGCCTCTACTTTGCCCGAACTCACGCCATCTCGCCAGCATTAGAAAGGAACTTTTAAGTCAGCGACGCAACATCTGCCGCCACTGTTGAACTCTCACCTCAGCCTGCAAGGGACCAGCATCGCGGTTCTCTGGCGCGTTCCCCTCACTCCGTCGTCATGAGTGCCTCTCCATCTGGCCTGCCCAACGGGCGCAACCCACCTCCTGCTGGTGCTCCTCCACTGCGACGCAAACCCCGTACTGCCGATCCTCTAGTCGCGCGAAAGAAGCCTGTCCAACGTCCGAGAGCCTCGGGCACAGCGCAGCCGTCGAACGGTGTCCAGAATGGATCTTCGCTGCCTGGCAAAGTGTTGCAGCCGAATTTGGGCATCAGAACTGCGACTGTAAGAGACGATCAGATCAAGGCATGGCGAGCACGACGGGCCGCCAATGGCGGTTGGTGGGATCCATTGCCCGCGGGGGGCGAGGAGTTTCCTCTCATCATCACAAAGCGAGATATCAAGGCTGGTAACCGGTTCCATGTGATGCGCTTGTCGCAGACAAAGTCTATCAATGACGTCGATCCTACGAATCCCCTACAGTTTGAGCGTCCTGTCAATCTTCACCGACGTGATCCTCGCCAATTGCCGGCAGGGAGACCCATCAAGGACGACAGCCCGACCCCGGCGCCCGCCGACGAAGCTGAGGCTGAACGGCTGGCAAAACTCAAAGCTGAACGGGATGCTCAACGAGCTATTGATATGTCGCAGATTGCGCCCGTCGCGAAAGATGCCAATCCCAAAAAGCAGAACCAGAAACCAGAGAAGTCAACTGCCCAGACCTACTATCCCAGGTCGACGGATGCCCAAAAGAAAGAGTCGACCATTCGCTACGAAGAGTCCATTCCTTGGGTTCTTGAGGATGATTCTGATGGGAAGAATGTCTGGGTTGGATCCTACACCGCACCGCTCTCAGAGTCCAACGTCGCTCTGGTCCGGGATAACATGGGCTTCCGTGTGATCCCGCTAGAGAAATACTACAAGTTCACCCACAGGCCGCCCTTCAAGACTTACACTCTGGATGAGGCAGAGAAGATGATGAACAAGAAGATGACCGCTGGTCGTTGGGTCATGAGGGATCAGGAGAAGGCCAAACAGGAAGCAGAGTATGATGAGTACAGGCGATATCTCCACGGCCCGTCCCGAGTCAAGCTGGAGAGCAGCACTTTTAGAGCCGCTGCAAGGTCAGAGAAGCAGGATCATGATGACATTGACATGTCTGGAGACGAGTTTCAGGATGATGATGAGAACCAGGGTCTTGAATCCGACAAGGACGAAGAAGTGAAGGATTCTCGCGAGCGTATTCGTCGTGAGCAGCTGGGTGCCAATCTTTTTGGTGACGCTGATGAGAATACGGTTGAGAAAGAACAAGCGGAGGAGCTCATGGAGGAGCTAACTCGCAAATTGCATGGCAAGGAAACACAACGTGCCCTTGTGAAGCTCGAGAAGCACATGGAGTATATGAGTGATTCGGAGGACGGATGGGGAGATTCTTCGGTGCGTATTTACCTACTAAGGCTTTTTAGAGCTTATGATGACTGACCAACTCGCAGAGTGATGACTCTGGAAAAGAAGATGCGGATGCTAAGAAAGAAGGTGATGCCCAAGGGAAGGGTGATCAGAAGTCCGGTACTGCATCTAAGGGTACAAGTACTCCTTCTAGCAAGCAGAAGGCGGCTGAGAATGCTAAGAAAGGCAAGTCGCTAAAGCGGCCGGGCTCTCCAAATTTATCTGAGTCAAGCGAGAACGAGTTGGCCCGAAAGAAGAAGAAGCAGGCCACCGGGTCAGCCGTGCCTAGTCGCTCTAGTACGCCCATGCCGGGCCAGCAGCGTGGCAAGGCGAACGCTGGTGCCACCAGCGATGGCGAGGGTGAGATGTCAGATGGCGGACGCGTCCGAAAGATCAAGCTTGTTACTGGGACTGGTGCGAGAGGTACCCCCGTGGGGTCCAGAGCTGGAAGTCCTGCCCCGGGGCAAGGACAACGGTCTCCCGGTGAGTCTTTCCATTATTGTGTTATTGCCGGTTCCCTTTTTACTGATCTATCCTCTTTCGTAGGCTCAGCGTCTCCTAATGCAGCGGGTCCTTCGACCCCAGCAGCCGGAGGACAGGGTGGACTGGTTGAGGCTTGGGAGATCACCCAAGCCCTTGCAGCCAATCCACAGGGTATCTCTGTCGGCCAACTTATGAGGCAATTCCAGACTCGTGTTGGCGAAGGTGATGGCCAGATGTCGAGGCGGGACTGGATTAAACTGGTAAAGGACAATGCCAAGTGGGGTGCAGACAAGCTGTTGCGCCCAAAGGATAAATAAGCCCTTTGCTTTCGCGAGGAGCATTCCAGGCGTTGATGGATGAAGGTCCACTGTCATAACTAAATCTTGATGCTTTCTGGGCTTGCGGTAGCCCACAAAGATACGGATTTGGAGCATTGTCCGCTTGTGTCATTGATATCATAAACTGCTACGGATGTTGGATGGATCGTCTAGAGAACGACGTCCTCTTAGAAAGGGGAACCTTCTAGTCCTAAATAATGACTCGAAGCCCATTATAACCATCCCACGATTTCACATTCCTGATCTGTCGTGATATACCTCTACTCGTCCATCTGCCATGAGTATGACAAGTCTTTGTTCCTCTCCCTACGATTGATAGCCTTGAAGCGTTCTGCCTCGAAGCCATTGCCCCGATCGACTCCATCCCACCGATATCCTGGCCGAATGCCGTACCGATTCGGCGGTGCCGCGCCTTTATACATCGGCCTCCTTAACTTTCCGCTCTTCCCAGTCTTCCTGCTGCCGCTTCCAGTATCTCTCTCGTTTCCACCTAGGAACTGTGCCATGGGATCGTTCCATCGTTCCTGTTCTTTCAGTTCCTGATTCATTTCCACGTCGTCCGCCTTCCGTGCCAACGGCATCAGCGCGGCGTCCTCAAGTGCTTCCCGCCGCCTCTTGGCCTCCTCGATCTGCACCTCTCCCTTGAGTGCTTCCTTGCGCAGCCGCTCCTTCTCTTCTGCTTCTGCCGCGGCCCGCCGCGCCTCTGCCCGCTTCATGCTGACGTCTATCCGGCGGCCAGTCGCGTCTCGGTAGATTGTCTCTTGCTCTTCTTCCCCGGCCAGACCAGCAGCTTTGCGCTCGCGCTCAAACTGCGCCCTCTCCTCGCGTGCTCGCCGTTTTAATTGTGCAGTCACCGACGCTGCAGATTGCAGGCCCGCGTGCGTGCCGTCTGTCATCTTCTGCACGCCCACCATCGCCTCGTCCTCGACCACCGGACCGTCGTCGTCTGCCGCCTGCGCCGCTGCGTTCTCGGCCGCCGCCGCAGCGAGGACGGCGTCTGCGGCCGCGGACGAGTCGTCTGCCTTGGGCGGCCCGCCGAGCGTCTTCCAGTTGGACTTTGTCTTCTTGCGGAACTCTGCCGACGTCCCCGCTACGGCGGCCGGGCCGTCGTCGTCGCCATCCTGCGTGCCGTCGCCGCTGCCACCCTTTGCCCAGCCCGCGTCGTCGTCGTCTGTGATGAGGAGGCCGCTGGAGGAGGCGCCGGCGTGCTTGCGCTTGCGCTTCTTGGAGCTCGGCTTGGGGTCTGCGGTGAGGTAGTGTTGGGCGAGGTATGATGAGAGGTCGGACGGCATTGTGAATATGGGATATTAGCGTCAAAACAGGGGCATAAACACACTCTGCTTATGCTCTCCTGCCCTTTGCGCTTCGTAGTTTTGGTTGCTGTGTTACGCCTGATTACTTTGTAGATATTTCTACCTAGCATTCACTGTACATCAAAACTTCCCACGGATCACAACGATTAGGTAAGCTGATGCTTATCGATAAGGCGCTAGGTGCTCTGGCAGGTGGAAGCTGCATGGTCCGTGCTGCATTTACACGTGGACTGAATCATATGCATTCGGCGCGTCATCACAAAGGACGCAATGACATCACTGTAGATGGTAACGGTCATGGGGACGGCACAAGAGGGACGGCGAAACGCTTCTTTCAGGGACCAAAGAGGTCTGGACCGTCCTTGACGTCTTTCGGCGGAACAGGTTCCAAGCTCTATGGGCAACCAGCATAGTCTGGCCGCTTGCAGTGCGAACAAAGGAACGAATGGTCAACAGTTGAGAATGAGGACTAGAGAAGCCGAAGCACTCAAGAGGCACGCTGAGCAATTAGACAATCATATACGTCTAGTCTCGACGAAGAAGGGTGCAGCCCAAGCTGCTTGATGCTTGAAGCTCAAATTGCCGTGTCACTCGAGGAAGCAGTCATGCAGTGACTCTATCTAGGACGTGGTGCCAAACACTAAAATTGCAGTGAATGGCCCCCATGTCCCCAGTTGCAGAATCTGTCCATGTTAACCTAGGTATCCTGACAGATACGCGAAGGTAAGGCAATCCTTGTTTGCGCGAGATAACCTGGAACATCGGGATCTTCAGGAACTTCGTTCCAAGACGGCTCCCACGGACACACCTCTAGCATCGGCTTATCGGGACCCAATATAGCACGCACAATTGAAGTGTGTAGTCTCCTCTCTTCTCCTTGTTTACGTGGCACGCGCAATAAGACACTTGGCGTGCTCTGTCGTCTGGTTCCATGAATTATAGAACCCTGAAACACTTGCATTCTGCAAGGGAATATTCTAGTGAATCTGTATGATGACTGACTGCACAGCTGTCAGTCTGTTTCACAGCTCATCAGGCATAGAACACAGCAGTGACCGAAGCTCCGGCTTCGAAACGCCGGGCTCCAGGGCGAGTGGGGGGGACGAGCTGCAGGCGCGTCTCAATGCGGTGATGCGGGGGAACATGTTGACTGTGAGTCTGTGAGTCCACCACCCGCCCACGACAGGCAGCCCCAGATGGGCCTCACGGCGACCTGCATGCATGCCATCGTGAGTCCTCCGGCAGGCTGCACGCATCGTAGTATTGTGTGGAGAGGGGAGGGCCAAGCGGGCCTAGACAGGCTCGGGCAGGCAGGACAGAGGAGAGCCACTACACCCTCCCACTCGACGATAAGGGCGTCTGTGATTTGACGGTGCATTATCGCGGGCGATTGACTGCGGCGCTTCGCAGGATGGCCCCCAATGAATCCCGCCGAGTTTCAGGCATGCTCGCTGCTCAGGCATGTGCCAGAATGGGCAATTAGCTTGCCTTGTAAATTACATCCTCTTCTCTGCGAGCTATCTGTGGCCCTATGGTATCACCGTATCGGACACGGGCGTGCAGCTGGACCTGCCTTGGTCCCCGCTCAGCCGAAAGCGACTCTGTTGATGTGAATGTGCTTTGGGTGTGTTCCCCATTCCGTTCCATTCCATTGCCGTAGGTTGGCGCGTTTTCCCTGATAGCCGATAAGCTCCGCCTGCCAAATTGGGGTCTCTTTAGTGTAGCAATGGATCGCGACCTTGACCACGGAGCGAGCAAATGGCACGGCTCAGACAGAAGCACGAGTCGAAACCAGCGCCAGGCCGAGCTTCCAGCGAGCAGCAGGGAAATAATGCCATGCCATGATATGCCAGTCTCCAGCCAAGTTTCGCGGGGGGTTAACGTTATGCTTCGTCAGAGAGGCAGGGCTCAGTCAAGGTCTCAGACAGACCGGTCCAAGGCAGAGAGCCCCGGAGCCCGGCTGATTTCATCATCGCTGAAGGAATAGGCGTCACAGCCGCCTGAGCCACAACACACTCGCCGTCACCCAGCCGGGGGGTCTCCTCCCAAGAATAGCGAGAGAGGTAGACTGGGTAGACTTGGTAGAGAACGTGACCACGGCCTGGTGGGAGCGGCGGCGAGGTCGTGACGAATTAGAGCTAATCAAGAGGTCATCCGCTATTGCCGCCCAGCAGGTCGCGTTGGAAGTAGGTACCGGTACTCTACAGCACTATGCTATGCCGCAGTGCTCGACTCGGAGCCCGGTCTTGGTGTGGATGGGGTCAACGGATTGGACGGTTCTAGCACCTGGAACCAACGGGCGGCACCCTGAGGTGAGGGTAGATTGCTAATAATGGCGAATGTAGATGCTCATGTAATCGACGGTGGCCAGTGACCACTTGATTCGACTCAGGTCGCTAACATGATCGGTCATTAGCGTCTCACCCACCACAAGTGGACGACCCCATTGCGGTGCCAATCTCCCACCACCCCGCCGCCGGCTTATCACAGGTGCCTCCTTCGTCATCCGAAACGCGATAAGAGACGAGGGCGTGGCACCTGGGCACTTGGGTACCTCTAAGGCTGGCAGGCACTGGGGCTCACCACCTTCCCAGGACCAGGTGCACCTGGATGTCCGAATCCGCTCCAACCCGATAGACACCACCATACTGTACCCGTCAGCTAGCTATCTATACATAGTCCACGCGCTCTCTTGCTCTGCCTCCCCCGTCTCCCTCTTCCTCGATCACAACAAACAGAGAACTCCAAAGAACCATATCAAGAACGATTCATCCTGCATATTAGACTGTATCTTTAAGCACTCGTATCGTCTCTCATTCATCATCACCACCAACCGCCTTATCAGGAAACGGTCCCGTGCTATTCAAGCCTTCCTCGCCTTTATCTGAGTCACACGGCCAGACTCCTCTTTGTCGCGACCGCGCAACAAACAGAAGCAGCAACCGCTCTCAAAGCACATTCCTTCCGGTCCTCAATCGATCACCGCTCGCTCTGCCGAGTGACTGCATCTCGCGTTTCCATCCCCCATCCCTCTTCTAGAAGGCCCCAGACGCCACTCCAACTGTCGTTCCTCTTTAAACCTACCTACCCATATCCGCAACCACCTAAGAGCCGACCTTGTTGTCCAGCATCGACAACTCTTATCATCTTGCACATATAATCCGTGTCTGTCTTTTCAATCACCTGGTATATCCTACCTCTCCACACCACATCCAACGAAGGCAACCCGTTCTGTACATACGGTTGCTCTGCCTATCACGAGAGCTCCTTCCTTACACCCAGATCGTATCGTACTCCTCCAACCAACACAATATGGCGACTGCTTTTGATACCCCAGCTCAGTACGAGCGTGATCTTCGCAGCATCAACAAGGAGTGGAAGCGCGGCAAGGACTACAACACCAAGTGGTCCAACGGCACTCGGCCCCTACCCAACGTTCGGTACGACCTGCTAGACCTTGATGAGGGCCAGAAGGTCCGCCCGCGCCGAAAGGCAAGCGAGGAGTGAGTATTCCCGTATAAGCAACCCTCTGCTTCTACCATGTTCTGACTTGAACTCCGTTCTCAAGGGCCCACCCCATCAAGGAGAAGCACAACAACATGAACAAGTTCCACAGATCACATCCGGACCTCCCCCTCGGACGCGTCCGGTCGAAAATGTCGGCGCAGCACGAGCTCGACGAGGTGGCCAAGGGCTCGCGCTCCATCCTGGAGCTGCTGCCCACCAGCCCGCACAAGCAGAGCGTCTCGGACCCCTTGGTGTACAGCTTCGACCGCACCGACTCGCCCGGCCAGCCGCTGGCGCTCGACGTCTTCGTGAAGGCCGCCAATGGGGGCCGCGCGACGGAGAAGTTCGTGGAGAAGGAGTACGAGATCCTCGACGGCAACGGCGACGCGCTCAAGGGCCGCAAGGCCCGCCAGAACCTGCGCAAGTCCGGAAGCCCTCGTGACGGCGGGCAGGCTGTCGAGGAGGGCATCGAGGTCGAGGACGGCTTCGAGCTGGTGTAAAGTCCGGCTTGCACTCCTTCCTCCCCTTCTTTCACATTCGTATCAGGCGCGGAAACGTGCCTCTTGTCGTTCACCACACATCAACACACTTTTTTCATCTTGGGTGAGATTTAGCAGCATTGTAATACTCGACACATCGAGCGGTCTTTGGGAGTTTCTGGACGGTGGATGATTCCAAGGCATCATGGCCTCGCAGCAAGCATGAACTCTTGCATTGCGAACGGCACACACACACACATACCTTTTTGGCGGGCTTGGCTAATGGTGTTTTCTGTGCTGGATGGAAGCACACCTCATTCTGATCATTACCTTTCTTCCATGGGCGGACACATGGATACCTTTTTTCTTGCTCGGCGGATGGCGCGCCGCCTTGAGCACATTGTTTGGCATACTCGTTCAAGCATCGGCCCCTTAGCTTAACTCTGGCCATCAGGAATGATTTGGTCCGGGGAAGGACGGCTAGGCGCATTGGAGGGACATCAACTCGGCTGGATTGAATGAATGGATGAAACCTCGCGTGGTTTTTTTCTTTGGCTTTTGATAATTGTTGCTTCGAAGGGTCATTATCTGAAACCTGCGTTTTTTAGTAGCTCTTGAGCAACAAGATATAGCATTCAATCCATCCCTTTTGAGAATCAGATCAACTTCGCGTTCGAGTGTTCGGGTGGTCGTGGTGGTTGTATGCGGGAGAAATGGGGGAATTTTGACCGCCATTTGAATTAATGAATCTTTCCAAAACAAGGTAACCACGTGCAGACTCACGTGGCCACCCTTGTCCTTAACCCCCTACAGGCAGGTCGACATTTTCTGATAAGCATGTCGAATACTGATGCAAGGCTTCGTTTCTCACAAATTGATGCGTTGGGAATGGCAGCCTTGAAGCTACAGTCAAGCTATCTTGAACACAAAAATATCCATATAACATCCAGCACTCCATATGACCACCCCGTGCCCGGTATAAAGTAAGAACGAGACGAGAATGCCTTCCCTACAGCATGGTATCGTGTATATCTCATGACATTGACGAGAAGTCCCGCCTGTGCTGCTCCCACGTCCGCCTACACACGTCCTTCATCAGCCTCCTGGGCGCCAGCCGGCCGGTCATCAGCTCAAAGGCCTCAATGGCCATCTCCCCGAGGTTCTCGAGGCCGTCTACGACCACCCACGACGGCGAAACCGTGTCCCTGAATACTTGCATCTGCGCGACGAGTGGGGTGATGAGCGGCTCGTAGGCAAGCTATGGGCAGAAAGTGTCAGCAAGGGTGTGAACAGAGATGTGCAAAGACGGGGTTATCTGATTGTGAGAACTCACCTCGAGAACCACACCGCCGGTGGGGCTGCCAAGCCACTGCAGCGGCATCTCAAAGTCCGCGGGGGGGTTGCCGTCGACGCTGGTGGTGGGCACGCACGAGACGATGAGGGTGGGCGGCTGGAAGCTGGGCGGCCAGGGCTGCGCGACGGACCCGAGCACGTGGCAGATGTACTTGCCGGCGGCGACGGTGCCGTTGGCGGCGGCCCACGAGTTGAAGTGGTCGGCGACGCGCTGGGCGTTCTCGACGGTGCGGTTGTGCACGAAGATGTTGCGGCAGCCGAGCTGGATGAGCGCGTAGATGGCCGCGCGCGCCATGCCGCCGGCGCCGATGACGAGGCCGGTCGTCTTGGAGGCGCGCACAAAGTTGCGCGGGCTGATGGCGCGGCGCAGGCACGTGAAGATGGACTGCCAGTCGGTGTTGTCGCCGTAGAACTCGTTGGTGCGGCCCGACTTGTTGCGCGAGTTGGCGTGGTCGAGGATGAAGGACGTCTTGCCGCGCAGGGGCAGCAGCACGTTGACAGCGCCGATGACGCTGGCGTGGTGGCTCTTGAGCTTCAGGTGCGGCACGATGGCCACCTTGAAGGGGGCCGTCAGCAATGCGCCGCCGAAATTGGCGTCTGAGCAGATGATGTTCAGGTCGTCTGTCGTCATGCACTGCACCGCTTGGAAGTTGTGCGGCATGCCTGTGTACTCGTACGCGGCATTGTGCATGTACGGCGAGAGTGAATAGGAGACATTTGCGCCGAGTGTATAGAATTGCAGAGGTTCAAGTTCAAATTGCCGGAAGAGAAGTTCAAAGGAGCCATGAGCCGTGCAGACTGTTGCGAGGTGGTCTCGGAGGTTCTCCAGATCGGGATGCTTGACTGGGTTAAGAACACGACCCTGGAGAGGAGTCCTCACACCAAGAACGGAGAAGTCGTATGCCACCAGTACGGGCTTCGGATCCGGTATGAGTGCCTGGATCTTGTCCCGAAACTCGGTGAGCATCTCGTTGGTGCTGTCCCCTGAGCAGAAACGAACCATGCGGACGATGTCGCATCCAAGTGACTGGGCATACTTGTAGTTTTCCACCTGACTTTCGTCCGACCAAGGTATCGTTGCAAGCCCCAGATTCCAGAAATTGCCGATTATCTTGGATCTGCCCCGATGCTCCAGAAGATGTGTGATTGGTATGTCTGTCCTCTGTAGGTCGATACTCAGGTAGTCCACGCCAAGCCGAAGACCCAGCTCCAGCAGCTCCGTATCCATTCGTTTTCTGTCCTCGGCCGACCTCTTCGGCTCATCCCGAGGGTTCTCTTCCACGTGGAATATTATTGGCACGGCAAGTTTCCGTCGTATTAGTGCCACTTGTCTCGCGATAAATGTTGACAAGTCGGTCGGCCAATGATCAATCACAAGCTCTACGCAATCCCCTCGAGCCTCGAAGTCTTCCCATTCCAGGTCCATATCAACAAGATAGGATACTCTCAGACGCAAAGCGTATGAGTATTGCCTGTATTCTGGCGGTATGGCTCGTATTGAGAAGGGGCTCTCTAGCCAAGCCCGTGTCAGCCCCTGGCCGGTTACAAAGTCAAGAAATCGCGTGAAGTCTTGCTTCGCATTAAGCAAGCTCGATGTTACTGCGAGCTGGCTATCCCAGCCTCCCCCGTTTGAGTCTGGTGATAGGAAGGGCTTCACGCCTGAGGGGTCGTATAAGTTGTAGTATTCCAGGTTGGAGCAAGACCTGTGGCTCCGATCTGCCCGTAGTATGCGTTCTCCGTCCGCCGAGTCTAGCAAGCGCAAGATCTCCTCCTTTTCGCGGTGGATATAGATGACCGGATTAGACTCGCTGTACGATCGGAGACAAGACTGAGCATCCTCGGAGAAACTGCTCATGCCACATTCAATGATACACTTCTTCCGATTGTCGTCCAGCATACGCTTGAAAACTTCTGAAATCTGGCGAGCGAAAGCCTCCTTGCCGTGTTGAGTCAGGTAAGCTGTCCTCGTTGTGCCAGTGACTTGCTGGAAGTAATGGTCCTCGGTGACCAGGCGCCTCCTGAGGTGAAGAGCGCCGATGAAGCCTAGAGATCGCTTGCCGGCACCTCGACAGCCAACCAAGACGATGGAAGCATCTTGGTGAAATTGCCGCACATTTGTGGGAGCGGCAGCCATGGTGTCGTCGATGGCCATGAGAGGCCCCGACCTGGTGGTGAAGCAGTTGAGTTATGCGCCTCACTTCGTCCCTGTCCGACTCAATGCTTGCTCCAGTTTCTCCCACGGCGGATATATTGGAATTGCGTTTAAGCCGCCTTACTAATAGATATCGTCGCCAGAGGACTGTGGAGAGCGTTTGTCAGTCGTGATACGCCTGAAGGTCTCTCACTAGATGTTTGAGTGAGTGAGCGGGTGGGTGAGCTGATGGTAGCTTATAAAGCCTTTTCTCCGAGACAGCACCGGGCATGCGTCCTTGGTGAGCAGTCTAGGTAGGTATAATCAAGGTGAAGAGCCACTCCGTAATTTCTCCTCCTTCTGTAAACCACACAACACACAGAGCCTTTAAGTGAGTAGCAGGTGAGTCTCTCGGGGCTTAGGTTATCAAGATGAGTGCCGGCCAGCACCGGGAAAAGCACCGGGTGCGCGGTGTGCAATCTATTGGGATTGTTGGCCGCTGTGGTTTGCTAAGGCAAGTCGGTCTTTTTTGCTTATTGTTGCCCCTCCTCGAATCACTTCTGGGTCCCGGCCCACGCCAACGGCAATGCGACGGGCAATGCTTCGGCACGTTGCAGGCCTAAGACCCCCACGAGCCTCTCGGAGCAGCGAGCTACCAGGTGTAGCCAGAGCCTAGAGGTAGGGGCGGGGCAATAATTGAGCCTGTTAACGCCTGGGGATTGGCGGCTGTCGCTAGACACGCTTCTGGTGGTCACATCTAACAAGCGTCTCGACCTCAGGCATTCTTATTCTCCTGCGCTATACCCGCATTGTTATAGGTACTTCACCTTTGGCCTCGTCAAGTGGTTTCTTCCTCGGTAACGTCGCCGAATAGGCGTGGTACCTTGGCTATTTATTAAGGTCACTCGCTGGTCATGAGAAGAGGCCTATTACCCGCAGGCTGGTCCACGTTGATTGAGCCCCGCCTCCACACTTGCACCCCCCAATCAATCCCAGGTTTAGGTCATGCATTGCTAAGTAATGAATGAATTGAGCGCTTCTCTTGACAACGTTGGCAACCTCAACCTCCAACCTCGACTCCAAGGCACCGCGGCGCCTGTGACATCACGCCAGCAGCCACCGCCTTCTCTCTGTACCTTCCTCCTACCTCTCCTCGCAAAGGTAACGTTTTCTCTCGTTCACTCAATTGAGGCTGAATAGCCAGAAAGTTCCTTGGCATGAGTGACTGCTGGCTGACCCGACCTGCCGCGCACCAGAGAGGAAGCAAGGATGAGCGCAACAATGTCCGACTTCGAGGACCCCAAGGAGGAGACCGGCGCCGATCAGGCCCCGTCCGTCACGGACTCGGCCCCGGCGAACCCTCGCAAGAGGAAGAAGAGCTCTAGAGCGTGAGTGAACTCAGCCGGCAATGACCGGAGACATTGCTTGGTTCACATGAGAACTGAGTGGCATCATGAATACTGTCTGACCTGCTCCAAGCTGCGACTTCTGCCATGTAAACCACCAGCCTTGCGATAACGCAAAGCCCCGCTGCAGCTATTGCGAGAGACACAACAAGAACTGTCTCTATCTGCGGCCCCAGAAGAAGCGCGGCCCCGCCCAGGGCTACCGCAGTGCCCTGCACACCCTGCGGGAGAGTGCCGCCGCATGGGGTGCCGCCCTCAACCTGATCCCCAGCCTGGGTCCTGTTGTCGAAGGCTATCTGAAGCAGCCGGAGGGCAAGCGGCTCATCAAGGCTATCAGGGACCCCACCCAGCAGGAGTTCTTCATCCAGGCCTGGCAGCAAAGCGGCGTCTTCAAGACCTTCTTCGGCGACGAGCTATCTCCAGACCAGCCCAGCGCCACGGAGAATGGAGATCCTGCGCCTACCCTACAGCAACTGGACGCCGCTCTGCTGCCACAGGGACAGGCGCAGGCTCAGGCGACACCGACAGATAACGCATTCCCTCGCTTTGACACTTCCCTGGGATCCGTACCAACCCCGTCTCCTTCTCACGCCTCTGTCGACGGCGGCAAGGCGAGGCAGCCGAGCTTCAACACTCGCTTCAGACCGAGGCAGCAGTCCATCTCTTTGTCTGACATTGTCGCAAAGGATGCTGCTCGACCGTGAGTACCAGCATAATCTACAATAGTGTCTATTGCTGCTGACATTTGAGCAGATCACAGGGCTTCTCACAGACGCTGGTGCCGCTAGGCTTTGCGCCGAACGAGAGCATGGAAGACTTCCTCGCCATGAGCTTTGACCCGGAGCCGCTGGAACAGCCTGCTGAGGCCGATCCCAACCTGGGTAGTGAAATGGACCAGAAGGCGTACTATGAGTTGCTCATGGGAAAGAAGTTTGCCTGACCTTAAGGAGTTCCGGCACGTGCCGGCATAAGCTTACAAACTCACTCCGAAGTCGTCGTTGGGACTAATTTCTGTGAGCATGGCTCAGAGCGGCTACAACTTCACGAACGCATGAGACGCCGTGGCTAATAGGCATATCTCATAATGGGGTAGGCCATTGGCTTTACCCTATGGTTAGGCCAGACCCGCCTTTGCCCACGCCCAAACAGCTCATCAAAGTAGGCGGTATGTATGATCTTGGTTTTTGTGCCCGCCTTTCATAAAGCTAAGTGATTGCCAGCCAGGAATGTACTTCTAGAATCTGATACCCACGCAAGGTATAACGGCACTAGTCCGAAGATAAAGACGACAGGATGATGATGGAGCCAAATAATGACGTACAAAGCAACATGGCTAATCATGACTGATGACCACGAATAAACCCATAGTCAACACGACATATTATAATACTATAAGAGGGAAAATCCGCCTTTTGCCCGCCTACCAGAATGTTCATGACCACAACGCCATTGAGAAAGGAAACCTCCGGCGCTATATTTTCATGCCACTATCAAGCGCCCCGACTGGACATCATCATCCTTCTGCTCCGACGACGACATGTTCGCCCGGTCCAGGGCACCTAGGATCCACTCGCGGTTCGCACTCCGCAGCGCGGCCTGCTCGCTCGGCTTCAGGCTCATAGCCCCCTTCTGCATCTGCAGGTTGCTGCTGCCATCAACGCCACCGCCGAACATCCACACGGCCTGGCACAGGTCCGCCATCACCAACGCCACGATCAGCGTGACCTCCCCGCCGCCCATCGCGGCGCCCAGCTCCTCGCTGTGGCCGCGCCGCCACCGCTGGACGAGGTCAGCAAGTTCCGGGCTGTAGTCCCAGCGGCCGTCGCGGGTCTGCAGCTGCGCGAGGCGGGTCAGGGCCTCGACGCGGTTGCTGCGGTCGTACAGCTGGCCGAGGTCGCTGCAGGAGCCGATGCTGATGCAGGACGACGGGGGCGCCATTGCTCCAGACAGGGCTGCTTGGGAGGGCGAGGGAAAGGGGTCTGTGATCTTGCCGGGGATGGTGACGACGATCTCGCACGGCGGGTGGTTGAGCATCTTGCGCAGCTTGCGCATGAACTCCCGCCGCCTGGCGTGGTCGAGGTGGATGCGGGCGAGCATGGTGGGCTCAGGGGCTAGGCTTCGTCAGGAATCGGTGGGATAAGGGATGTTTACTATGACAAGATTCGAGCACTAACCTGCAGGTTGGCTAGAAACTTCGAATTAATTGAACACCTTCTTCAATGTCACTGCCGTCCTGCCGGATTTGAGAAATCGATAGAGTCGAATGTCAAGGTGAAGACAAAGATTGAGTGCTCCTCAACTCTATGAAAGCCAGGTAGCTGGCCCCCAACCAGACTTATACCGGAGACCTTGTGGTACGGAATAGGCTAGGGCCGATCAGATCAGACCAAGAGGCTCTGGGTCAATGTTTCTGTTGTCAGATCTTACACAGCAACGTGTTTGTGCGACCCTATGACAAACGATGGATGAGGCTGAGATACGACGGCGAGCTCGAAGTGGTATCTCCGCTTGGGACGACAAAATGACGTGTAGCAGGGTGAGTGAGTGAAGGGACAATAAGACTCGTGTTCTCCAAAGATTGGCCTAGTCAGATCCAAATATGAGAGTGCTCTTGGGTATCACGACATCAAAGAGTGAACAATGTACCCCCCAACGACGCAAGGACCGCCTTGAGAACACCGCGGAGAGCCTCACATATTTAAGCTTCCCGTCTGCAATACACACACACCAGATACTAGACGACGTGCAAGGGAGGTCGGTAGGTAGGCAGGGAGGCAAGCAAGCATGCACTCGCTCCAACCGGAGACAACGCATCGTACCGTACACATATCCCAGCAGCAGTGATCTGACTGAGCAACCGCAGCCAGCTGGACCCAAAAAGGGGTGTTGTTTCAGGCATGACCGTGCAGGAAGTGTTTTCCCTCCACAGCCCGTCGTGAGCACTGTCCTGCTCTAAGCCGAAAGGCCCCCATTTCCTCCGTCGAGATTCGGCGGCCGTTACGACTGGCCCAACGGCTGGTCGGTACATGTGGTGATGCATGCTTCTCGTCTGGGCGGCCGCGGGCTCCTGATTGGTGGCGCTTGGGGTGTAAGAAGGACCGAGCTGATGCCAAGCTTGCTCGAGTTGCTCGACCACAAGCAGGCAAAATGGTCGAGAAGCAGTGCAATTATGCACCCGGCACCAATACCAGCACCACCCGCCGGAGTGGCCACGCTGGGGACCCAGCTGCATGTGTGATCCACGACGGCCGTTGGACACGGCTATTCTTGGAGCTGAGGCCCCGGATGGGGTCCAGCGGCGCCCAAAACCGCATCTTTGGGACGGGCTTTGCAGATGTGCAGGAGTTGCAGAGGGGTCCAGCTAGCCTCCCGGTGGTCGATATTGCCCGAAAGCGTGGAGTTTCCGTCCTGAGGGCTGGCCGCATGCAGGCGTCTGCAGCTCAGACGCTGACACGCGACGGCCCCGAAGGATCGTTTTGGGAATGGAGAGTAAGCAAGGCTTGAGGATGCCAAGGCGACTCCGTCTTGATCGAGTCCAACCAGCTTGGGTGCGGCTCGGCCGTTGTCTGCCATTTCCCTGATGCGGAATGAGATCGGAATCATGGAATCAAGGCTTACCCAAGAATCCATCTGCACTCGGGCCCGGTAAAGGGAAAGGGGTTGGATTCCGTATCTCATCATCGCTTGATGATCATCAGCCGCCGGACTGAGTGAGGTAGAGCTTAGCTCAGCTTCTTCCAATCAAGGCAGTAATACCTTCGCCCTTTGTAAATTGGCTAAACACACATGTTGCCACCTAGAACAGAGAACAGATAACACACAAGGCGTGACAGATGAGGTCATTCAACTGGCCTTAAGTAGGAGAGGCAGCCCAGCGATGGCCGCGCGTTTTGTCACGCTGTTCATCTCGGATCCGACGCCATGTGCGTGGTAAGGCTTAAGGCTTAGCACCACATTTGTGACGAAGCTCTCCCACCTGGGTAGGGCGGTTGCGTCCCCTACCACGGTAACCCCGCTGGAGGAAACGCTACGGTAGCGCTGCCGGTTAACCTTAATGGCGACTAACAGCAGGGGCCTTGTGGTAAGGAACAGTGAGTGGCCCAGGTTACCACTCATATCAATTTCGGGCTAACTTCTTTTGGGAATTATACCGCGAAATAGAGAGTGGCCGCGCTATCTGAAGAGCTCCAGCCACTGAACAACTGGCTTAGAGTCACTGAGCCAGGCAACAATCAAGTTAATGCCGGCGCCGTTGACACAAGCTGCGCCACGACTCACAACTTAAGGTAAGGTAGTGAGGTCTTTTGACTTAAGTTGTTTTTCAGCTCCGTTGCCGATCGGAGAGCTTTCTCATGACTTTCCTCTAAACAACATCATTGCATCTCCAATTGAGATCAGACGGTGTAGTTCAGCTCTCGTATAATAACTATTTTCTCTTCTGAGCGCGGTTCCTACGCCCTTGGACCCAATTGATAGAGCCTTGGCCAGAACGTTCATTGAGTGGTGTGAGACTACATCGGCGGAAGTGGCGGTGATATTGCAGACTGGAAATTAAGACCGGACGAGCAAAGAACATCTTCATTCACAATGGACGGCCAGCAACCACCAGGTCCTTCGGAAAAGGAGCGGCTTCAGGCGCATTACAATGACATGGACCGCCAGCTGCCGCCCACCCCATCGTCAGCACACTCACCATCTCTATCCACCTCATCAGCACACAACTACTCAACCCTGATTCCCGTCGGAGATGACGCCGAGTCAAGCGGATTCCACGACATCAACCGGGACCCTACGCCTCCGCCGTATTCCGGCCCGTCCAGCAGCTCACAGGTCAATGTAAGCCAGCCACAGTATCAGCAGCAACACCCAAGAGGAGCGGAGCGGTATCCCGGCCTGCCCCGCCTCAACTACAAGCTGTACTCACCACCGCTCTTCGACCTATCGGCCGACTGCACCAGCATCGTATCCAAGGCGCCCTATCTCTCTAGTACCGTCAGCGCCCTTGTCTCGCTCGTCCGCGCGCAGTCCACCGTCCCGCCAAAGCCCCAGATCCACATCACCGGCAACCGCGGCCGCAAGGTCGACTTCGCCGTCAAGCTCAACCTGATGAGCCTGCTGGTGCCCGACGACCCCAAGCAGCGCATGGACTACATCCGCTGCGTCGACGGCGGCGAGATGGTCCTCCGCGGCGGCACCAAGCCCACGCTGGAGCCCAACGTCGAGAACGGGGGGCTCGAGGAGTGGTGCCGCCGCTTCGTCGAGGACGCCGGCCCCGTCAAGTGCTTTGTCCTGGAGCGCGTCGTCGCCAACATGGACGTCAACTGGCTCGAGGGGCAAATCCGCAGCCTGGTGGCTGCCACCAACTACAAGGGCGTCGTGACGGTCTCGTTCCCCGTCACGCACGCCAAGGTGGTCGTGCAGAACCCGGACAAGGTCAACAAGTTCTTCACGGGCATCACGACGCTCTTCTCCGGCAAGAGGACCTACGAGGTGGTCAAGGCCGTGTGGCCGTTTGCCACGCACAAGAACGGCGAGCAGGGCAGGCGGTGCATCGTCCAGAGCGAGGAGACGTGGTGGAGGGAGTGGAGGGATCCAATCAAGTATGCCATTGCGACCAAGAGGAAGGGCTGGGTCACCAATGAGGACAAGCTGGAGGCTATCATGGAGGGCAAGGGGAATGGTGTTTCAAATGTTGATTGGGGCCCGGATACTGATTAGTTGGGATTAGATACATGGACTCTGGAGACATCTCATGTCAATGGTTACTTCATAAGCGTCGGAGTTGAGGGCTGGTTCGTCCAAATTTTTCCATCGGGGCACTTAGGATGGAAGGCTGCTAATACAAGAGATGTTGGCGTGTATTTTGATACGAGATCATACATAAAGTCACATGCATAGACATAATTCGCGCTACTAATTTTTCCACCAAGTTGGTCTCGAGGCTATGGCCTTCAAAGAGGCGCACCGATTCTCTGATGCTGTGTAAAGTTCCCGGCGGCCGCTTGCATAGGGTGGCGTTCTCGCCGAACCCAGACTCATTGCTAGTAGCCTGCGAGGTAAACCTCTCCCAATTGAAATTAGGTAGGCTTAAACATCAGACACCCTGCTCAAAGAAAGGATCGCCAATATACTAAGCTATCATGAGAAGGGGCGGATGCCTGAGATACTCCACACTAGCACTTGTAGAGTGAAATAAAGCCAGTTTCAGCCACACGACGTACCACTTCTCTTCAAAGCCAAGCATTTGGCCAACAATACCGAGAAAGAAGCGGATGATGTTGGCCATCCAATAATGTATACATGCTGTAAGTTTACCATCCTGAAACTCCTAGGGGCTCTAGTTGCCAGTTTCTATCATGAAATCATGTGTGTCTCAATGTGACGAGAACCGGTTGGTAAGGCTCCGAAAGCTGGAGAACTGCACTTCTAGCTAGGCAACTATCTCAATAGACTAACCCTACGAGGCTACGGTACTACCTCGGTTCTGTTGCCTTTGTAGCCTTCTTCGCCTGTGATCTGCACCTCATTACCTGTTGCCTGTCACCCTCGCCTGCCATTTTGCCTACACCTCGTCATCAGTCGCCCGTCACCCTCGCCTGTCTGTTACTCGCTCATGCTCTCGATAAAAGTTTACGAGTGAGCTAGAGTCAAAGGCAGCTTACTTAACAAAGTCGGATTCATATTCTATCAACACACGTCTGAGATTTCTCATAAGTTAGTAGACCTTCGAACTTGATGTGATTGTCTCATAACATAGGACGAAAGAGGCCTCGCCGGATCGAGCTGATCATCTGGGTCATATCGGCTCAATCATGGCAGCTCTACCTTCCGTGCGTTCTGCAGCGCCAGAGGCTGATCCTAGGATGAATCGTCCCGCCTTGGTGCGGCTTGCTACAGTTTCCACGATTGCAGACGACTTGCCGATCTTAAATGAGACGGATGAGGCTTCACCTGGTTTCAATCAACAGTTGGGAGCAGGGCATTGCACGAAACGGCTCTATTACCGACAAAAGCTGCTAGACGATAACTTCAGTTATTGCTGTGTGCCATACGAAGTGACTCTTCAGTATTTGTCATGCATGACAGGTTGGAAGACAGAACAAATATCCGAATGGTTCTTTGCTCGCTTGAGCGAGTCGAGCAGTCAACTCAGCAGGGCCTTCGAGTTTCTTGATCTCAAATATAAAGATCGCAAAGATCCTTCTAGCACCGAATGCGAAGCTCTGGCCAGCTTAACAGGGTTTTCTGTCGAGGAAATCAAGGGGTGGTTCGAAGATAGATTCACTCTCGACATCGCCAGCTTCAACATTGATTCTGCCACAAGAGAATCGAACCTGCTATCAAATGACAACAATCACTTCACCATTTCTCCTAATTCTGGATCGGCCCAGACCTCCCAAGACAAAGTATTGGGACTTTCCTCTATAAACAACCCTTCATTTACGGGGACTCACACGCTGAACAACGTTACAAGATATGCACCCGAGCCGGCAACCCAGAAACATGGACTCGTAACTACGGACTTCAATAGCACGCCGCCACCCAAACGCCGAATGAAGATGCAGTCGTGGACAGCGCATGTCTCCCAAGAACGAACTGCGAGCGACCGGAGAAACGAGCCTCATGTATCGGTCATGTCAGATATGCGAGAAGATATACCAAAAAGGATTCCAGAGAACCTTTATCAGTGTACAGGCCACGCCTGCAAAGAGACATTCCCTAACAACTCTGCATGGAGGAGGCATATGACATCCTGCCACTTCCCACCGAAGTTGTGGTACTGTAAGCTATGCGATATCACACTTGCGAGAGAGGACAGAGTCATCCCACACCAGCAGTCGAAGCGGCACAAGAGGAAGCAAGAGAAATATCAGGAGCAATATCATATCGAGATAAGGACTTTGACAGGCTACTTTCATACACAGTGCGGCTTCCCAGACTGTCACGAGGAATTTGCTACTCTAGATGAATACTTGGATCACGAAGAGGCTCACATCGAGCAGGTAGATGATATTCGAATGTGGGAACACAGATGCGAAGGAAAGCATCAAGATTGGGCAAGTCGCCGGAAAAGGCGCGGTTCCGAAAGGAGCGGTTCCGAGCCTGGTGATGACGATTCAGGGGACGCCCCAGGAGGAGGCTCTCCCGGTGATTCAAACGCTCCTCATAAAGCCTACCACAGCAGAGACTGGTCATCTCGAAAGGATTACTCCGAATCCTGGCCTTTTGAATGGCTCCCACTCGAGACTTCCAAAGCCAGGGCTCATCCGTACACGTCCAGAGATCTATCGACAGGAGAGAGGGTATTCGAGCCTCCTCTGCAGATTAAGATGGAGCAATATCTAGGAGTCAAGCCGGTGAGCATCTGTTTACTTGATTCAGGGCCTGCAAATTTTGCCAAGGAGGTTACATCGCAACCGTTCAATATCTTCACACTAGAAAGGTCCTGGGACAAATATTTGCTAATGAGGTCTAGATATTGAGACGAATTTCACGACAAGATGGTAAGCACAAATCGACCGAAATCAGGAAAATTTCGGCGATACCAGCATGCGTTTTATTCTCTGGGGTGTTTGATGCTTGGTTGCAACTCCAACTCGTGACCATCAATATGAGAAACCTGATTGAGTGTTAGTCAAGCTCCTTCAAAGGAAATGCACATACGATTGACAGGTTATCTTCACAGGGTTCGGTGGGCTTATTTGTTGCCATATAGGGGGCCTGAGAGCCTGCTGAATTGTGGATGGCACAACTTAAACAAGATGAGCAGTTTCCGAACGAATATCATGCTCGAGTAGAGTTTCTCCTAGGTCCTGGAATATTTCTGGCAACTAACCATTGAAATAGCGACCGGTGATATGTATGAGCACTCCGACTTGCTAAGTATGTTGAAGACGTGTTGCTAGAAGTACTGGAGAAAGAGAAAAATGGGGGGGAGAGGATGGCCACATACACTACATTCCTTATTGCTGTGGCATCTTTACGGAATGTTCCTTTGGGAAATCTTATTGATTTGTGAGAGTGACCATCTTTAATACAATGGCGAAACAAGCTCAACGAGTCTTATAGGTGTCCCGAGAAAAGAATGTCGTTATTTCGCGTGAGATATGTTGAGATATGTGCTCAGAGGCCGACATTGTGAGGAGTTCTTTTTTTCCGACCATCGATGGAAGATAAGCACATGCCTACACAAGTCTAACAGGCTTCATTTGCAAAGTAGTGATATGTCTTATTAGAGGCAGGCCCTCTAGATACAGACGGGTAAGGCTATGAGCAGGACTTGGTTTCTAAATTTGTCTCAATGAGAATAAATATGAGGTGACTGCTTTTAAGCATAATTCTACCATGCTACGATGCTACATAATGTCAACAATAATACAGAGTACTTCATATGAGTCGAAGAGACGAGCCTTTCTAGTGGAGCTGAAGGATCTGGGCAAATCGACTGTCATTGGCATTCGGGACCGAGATTCAGTACCATTAAGCCCGGCTGCCTGGTGCACGAGTTGTGAGCGCTATGCTCTTCTCATATATCTTGAACAAGCCTTCAAAATATTGATTCGCATTTATAAGCTGAGTAGAATAGTATCAATGTGTGTGCCATCCTCCACACTGTTGTCAGATTGAAAGATCATAGATGCCACCAAACATCTTTATCCTATCAAAGGCAGCACTGCGCCGTAGATCATCTGAGTTGGGGGACTCACACGAAGCCAAGATCGCCCGGGACCGAAAGGCTGGGGCAGACCAGGCCAACTCTGTTTGGAGGCTTGGGAGCTACTGAGCTACTGTAGTCTCTCGCGCGCGGCAGCCTAAAGGGGAACTGCGCTAAACATGCTCAGAGATCCAAGAGGATTGCGAGTCGCGATCGGCAGGTTTCGTGCGAGGAAGACCGAGTCAATCCGAGTTCCTCAGAGATATGCGATAGGATGCCGTGGAAAGCGCAAAACCTGGCTGGCTGACAACTGGAGGGAACCAGGAAATACAGTAGATACTCGGACATCATCATGTATACCTACGTAGATACGTAGGCGACTACCTAACCTTAGGTACGGATTGCATGCCCGTGAAGCTCGTGGGGAAAGCCGAAAGGCTGCATTGGCCAATTGGCTGAGTGCCTAGGTAGTGTGTGCCGGACTCAGGCAATTTATATCGGTGCGAAAGTCCCTGGTCGGCCTGATCGGTTGCACGGACAATGCATCGACCGGCCACATACCCAGGCACCGTACATACGTACCTGTTAGTCTGGTGCCGTAGTCTAGGTACCGTACCGTAGCTGTTTTGAGATGTATGAGGCGTCTCTTCACTTCCTGTAGGATGAAGGCCACGCAAGTATAAAACCCAGTCGGGACTGCTCCTGCTTTGCTTTATAATCGGAACACACGGAGCGGAGCATATTCGAGATCATCCCGACATCGTTTCAACTTTCAACTGGACGTCTGCTGCGCACGGTATTGACTAAACGGGAAGTTTGATTCAGTCTAGTCTAAGAGCCAAAAGATACCTACTTGAACGAGTCGCTACTGTGCATAAATAGACGGTTACTCGGCCGTCGTACCATCGCATTGGCATTCCCATATAACAAACCCGCTTCCCCATCTCACTTCCGGCAGTCCTAACGCCTTCGAGCTCTCTCTACTTAACCCGAACACATTTAAAGGCGAATTGGACTTTTCAAAATCAAGAACCGACGTCAACTCTAGATCGCCAACATAATGACTAAGACAGTCGTAGTCCTCGGCGGCTCATATGCTGGCCTTCACATCGCACATTATCTGTTGAAGAACGCCAGTGACATAAAGGTGGTCCTGGTCTCTAAAGTGAGTATAGGTTAATTAAGGGTGCAGACTGCGCTTTTGCATTTCACTGGTGGATGAGCGCCGGGCAAGGATATTCGTGCATCGGAAGCTCCCCCGACGGAATGCACCCGACAGCAATCCAGCAGCAGGAAGCAGTGCTGACACACGCAAACAGAACAGCCACTTCTTCTGGAACCTGGCCACCGTCCGCGCCATCGTGCCGGGCCAGATCAAGGATGAGACGATCTTCCAGTCGCTCGAGAAGGCGCTGCAGCGGTACCCGGACGAGAGCTACGAGCTGATCGTCGGGTCCGCCGAGAAGGTCGACTTCGGCGCCAAGACGGTGCTGGTGAGCGCGGCCGCCGGCGGGGAGCGCACCCTGAGCTACGACCACCTGGTGCTGGCCACGGGCTCGCGCAACCCCTCGCCCGACGTGCCCTGGAAGGCGGCCGGCTCGTACGAGGAGGCCGTCAAGACGCTGCACGCCACGGCCGACAAGGTCAAGGCCGCCAAGCACATCGTCGTGGCCGGCGCAGGCGCCACGGGCGTGGAGGTCGCCGGCGAGCTGGGCTACGAGTATGGCAAGGGCGACAAGGAGGTTATCCTGCTGTCGGCTGAGAAGGAGATCATGGGCGGGGACATCGTGGCGCCCGCCGCGCGCAACGAGCTGACCAAGCTGGGCGTCAAGATCCGCGGCGAGGCCAAGGTTACGGGGACCAAGAAGCTCGAGAACGGCAAGACGGAGATCAGCCTTGCGAACGGCGAGACCATCACCACGGACCTGTACCTGCCGACCATGGGCCTGGTTCCCAACTCGGAGTACATCGACGCCAAGTACTTGAACGAGAAGAAGAATGTGGTCGTTGACGAGTTCTTCAACGTCAAGAACACAAAGGATGTCTGGGCGGCGGGCGATATTGTTGGATCCCCCCGGTGTGGCTTCATGATCACTCAGAAACATGTGAGTTTCCGAGGTTAGAAATCTTCAAACGCTGTCCGTTACTAACTCGTTCCTCAGGCTGCTGGCGTTGGCAAGAATATTGTGGCTGCCCTGAGCGGGAAGCCGCCCGTGGTGGTCAAGGGTCCCCCTATTGACATCCTCGCTTGCGCCGTTGGTCGTGGCCGAGGCGCCGGCAGGATGGGCTCCTTCAAGATGTTCTCCATCATGATCTGGCTCGCAAAGGGGCGAACTCTGGCGACACAGATGGTTCCTGGCTACATCGACGGTAGTGTGGCCTAAAGGGTTTTCTTGTCTCTCGTGGTAGATGATGTTAATGGTATCTGGATGGTTTGCTTGGAGAAACGCAGGACAGTAGGAAGTTGTAATACCCCTCAACGATTGAATATACCACTTTACAATGAGCCAATTAGATGGATCTTCGGAGTTAAAGCTAGCAATATGCCAAATTCATACATGTAGACAAAGGACCGCTTCATTCTCGTACAAGTGCCGCATGCAATTACCTGTTATCCTCATATCTATCTACTCGCCTTCTCGTCCTCGATCTCTCGTCGTAGCTGTTCCAGGATTTGCTCCCTCGACCTCAGGTGAGACTCCAGTCCCTCGACCTGCTCCCGTACTGTTTGTAGATCGTCCGAGATGCTCTTTAGGCTGCCGCCCGTCTTGCTCTTGCCCGTGCCCTCCTCCAGCTCTCTCAACTCTTTCCGCTTGTAGTCCAGAAGCTGCTCTAGCTCCCTCTTCACCAGCGCCGGCTTGCTCTCCCGCTTGCCGCTCGACCTGATCTCAGCCTGCGACTCGATCTTCTCGATCTTGGTCTCCAGGTCCTGCAGCTGCTTCTTCAGCCGCACCTCCTCCCAGTCATCAGTCTTCTGGGAGCTGAAGTCCGTGCCAGCAGTCTTGAAACCAGAGCGACCCAGTCGTGTCAGATACTGGTCGCCGAACTTGGCTTTGCGCCCCGTGGCCGTCTCATCGTCCGCCTTGGTCGCCCATCGGCTATTCGCACCTGTCCGCTGGTTATCTACTTGGTAGTCGATCTGATTGCGCTCGAAGCTGGAGCGCAGCGACGCGGGCACGGTTCGCGGGATTCGGAAGCCCTCATGCCTGTAGTTGAGAATGTGTAGGAAGGCAAGACAGGCGTCCTTGTTGATGGTGCTCGCGGCGGAAGGGTTGATTAGATTCCACGCTGAGCGAATATCGGTATCGGGGACGTCGAGGGAGTCGTAGAGGCCTTCGAGTGCGCCAACTGTAATAGACTCACGATTAGCTGCTGTTGATCCAGAATCCACAAATAGTTGGACTTGCAAGATATCTCGCCTCGCATATCTCTGTTCTCTTGATATATTTGCTCGTATTTGGACTTGTCGGCCGGATTCATGTACCAATCGAAGCCATCCTTCAGCCCCGGCTCATCCGGGTCATCTTCGATTTGCTCGAACGCCGCCTGCTTGCCCGTGAGAGCTCGGCTGGCCTGGACAAGATGTGCCTTTGATTCGGGAACGAGCCAATCTGGTAGTGTTGTAGGGACGTCGGCATATTCCTAGATCCATTAGTGTCAGTCAAGAGTCGCCCCAGCAGCAGCGAGAGTGCCCGAATGACAACACATACCCCATTGAGAATATCGAAGATCACGCGCATCGCGACGCAGAACTCCTCAAAGTCTAGGTTGCCATCATTGTCCACGTCGGCAAGATCCCACACCCGCTCGAGCTGGTCGTCTCGCAGACCACTGTTTTTCAGCACTGGCGCTGCTTGCTCTCCCGTCAAGTATTTGCCGCCACCGGTCCGTACGGAGAAGATGTTCCAGTATGTCTCGATTTCTTGGGCTTCTATGCGCGGCGCCATGGTGTCGGATTAGGGTCGCTCAACCAGATGGAGACCACAGTCGGGCGGGACGCTGGGAACGTAGAGCTCAACAGTAGTCGCAGTTTAAGTGCTTCTGTTCGGGAACTGCGGTCGACGGCAAGCCCCGAGTTGCTTGGGATGAAGAGGCTGTGTTGTCAAGCGCGAGATGAGGCTATTCAGAAGTACTATCGGCGGCGGAGGAGCTTCGCATCCATGTGGGAGGTGTGAGTGCAAGCCACAGGCCGGTTACGAATTGGAGAGGCTGACGTTGAGGCCGCTCCCGCTAAGGCACACTTCAGTGCGCTAAAGAACCAATCTTATCGGTCATGTGCTCCACCGTCCTTGTTCGCCTGAGCCACCTGGATTCAGGAAAGGCTCCAAAAGGGGCAGCCAAGGATATCAGACAAGTGTCTCAATCAGCTGTCTCCTTGGTTTTCGTTTCTTCTTATGGAACGACGAATATAGCAGAAGCCGTATCATGAGCTCTCTGTGATTACGAGTTTTCCTTTACTATGATAGTCGAGTTGGCCCGTTTGGGCATTTCGCAGGAACCAGACATGGATTGTCTAGGTATGTGCTGGGTCATTGGATAAGTCAATACACGCAAAAGTCAATCTATCTCGTCAATGGTCATCAAGATTGCATTTCTTTATCTTAATTAGAAGAGAGTACTTCTCGCCCTCACCGGTAAGCAATTGGTGCATGTCATTTCTTTTGACGACCAAGACATTCGTTCTCATAGAACTGTGTCTCTCCCCAGCAGATGGGCGTGCATCGATCCCCCTTTCGATCTTCTCATTCCATGAGCGCTAAACGCCACGAAATGGCCCTGATCAACAACTTATGCTGAGAACCGACTCTATCTATACAAGCATTGTCTACAATAAATTAGACGAAAAGTCACCGTTATCCCACATCATGTGCACCATTGCTGTCCCGTACCGGCAATAGATGAAGTGGCTTCCCATGACCTGGGACGTGCATCGGCTCTCCACTAGCAATTGGTGCTGAACTGGGTGGGTTCTTGGGAGGTCTGCCTCTGCGAGCTCCGGGACGCGCCCTGCTCCTGCGAGGGGCGCTCGAGCGAGGGCGGCGTGTGTTAGAGAGGAGTTCACCTGGCGGTATGTAGTCTTCGTCCTCCTCCTTGGGAGGTAGCTCGACAATGGGGGAAGCGGGCTGTGGCTGGGATCCTGTGGGTGTGTCCTCCTGCTGATTCTGAGGCACTTTTCTGCGAAAGGAATAGGAGAGGCTTTGATACACCACCTCTCTCTCTGGGATCCTGGGCAGTTTGACAGCGCCAGACCTGCCTCGGGCAGGCTTCGGCGGCTGTGAGATGCTCGGGATGGCTGCTTGCTCAGTGTCCTTCTCTTCTCCCCCTTCATCATCGCTGCTGATCTCAATGATAAACCGTTCGCGGGACGGCGTTGTGCTCATGCGCTGCTGGGATGTCGCTGCTTTTGCCGCGACGGGCTCCGAGGTTGAAAACGTGGTTGTCTCAACTGTCGGCTGGAACGAGACGGCCTTCTCTAATGCTTGGCGAGGTTGCTTAACCGTATTTAGGGAGACAGGCGGTAGTGGCAAAGTGACTGTCGTGCCCGAGACGATAACATTTCTGGATCGGCTTCGCTTCTGCGGCACAACTTGCGGAACATTGTGCTGCACCACTTTTCGAGGTCTACCGACTGGCCGTTTTGGAGTTGGAGTAGGAGGAGCCTGATACGGGGCAACTGAGGTAGGAGAGGGAGCTGCGGCAGGATTTGGAGATTGAGCTGGTGCGGGAGCCGGCGCGGCCGCGGACATAGGGGGCTCGACTGGGCCAGGGCGTGCCCAACCGACTTCCGGCGAAGGGAGCGGCTCGAAGTTGATAGGAACAAGGTCAGTTCCCTGGCCTTCCCAGCGTCCCAGACCTGCGGCGGTCTTCTTTGCTCCGATCCAATCAAGAAATAGCCTTCCCTTCTTCAGCTCCTTCGCCGTCATAGTGTTGGTCACCAAGTCGGGCAACGGGATGACATATCCTTTGGGCTGAGCGCCCGAAGAAAGAGTGCGCATGCGCTTCCTGTTGAACTCGAATATCTCGCAGTCGTATGCGTTCTGTTTGCTCCACTCGCGGCGGTACAGCTCCAGGAACTCCTCCGCTGCGTCCTGGGTCAGGCCCAGGATGCTTCTGGCTGCTTGAGTGAAAGTGAGTTTGCGAACGATTGTCAGATCACTCATGATCACGAGCTTCGTGCCGTCGGAAAGATCTGCCCACTCTGGCGCTTTCCTCTGTTCAAAGAAGTTAGCACTTATACTGTTATCTGCGGGGAGATTCAGGGGCGCCTCACCGCGACGGTGGGCTGCTTGGGCATCTTAGCTGGACCAGATGTCTGCCACAGTCTCCGAAGCGACTTATTCAGCTTCCCGTTCTCGTCCTCGTCATACTCGATGCTCGGTACGATCCTCTCCCGGGGGTCCGGCCGCGCCAGGCTAACCACCTTAGCCACCTGCGACCCCTGGGTGATCGCATTTGCACTTGGGTAGATCTGCGCCGCGGGTTTTAGGGTTCCCTTCTGTGCGGCCTCATATCTCATTCTCGACGGAGCAGGTCCAGGGTGGTTCGGGGGCAGCGAGTTAAACTCGACATGCTTCGCGAGCTCTTTGTTGAAGGGCACGTCTGGGTGGACGAAGATGGGTCGGCCAGGGTCGCCAAGGTCATAGTCCTCCGAATACCGACCCGGGCGACGGATCTGGCTCGAGTCACGGAGCTGCATCGTTGTCCTAGTTTCTTGTTCTCGACGGAGTGGAGGAGTTGCGAGTGACGAGGGGTGGTCAAGACTATGATGCCTGCTGAGGTACTCACTGTCTTTATCCCAGCTGAGTGTGATGTAGTGAATCTGAACCACAAAATTCAGAAGTATGAAAGAGACTGAATCAGGTTGGTACTGGGGTGCTTTGGATGACTGGCTTTCTCTGTTGCTTTTGTGGGATGAAAGGAGGTGGGCGGCGTAGATGCAAACACCGACGCGACTGACGCGATCGCTGCTGTGGTAGCTGTCTAAATATGACCTCACTCCCACTCAGAAGGCTCAAGCCAACAGCCTAAGCACTAGATATAACAAGAGAATGTGCTTTTATGATTATAGTCTGGAGTTGTCAAGTTTGGGACTGCCAGGTCGAGGAAGTCGGGGAAGAGAAAGGCTCCCAGTTCTAAGATGGAGGCGTCTAGAATCAGAAGGTGCTGCAACACGTCAGGCTCCCAAGTGAACACTTGGTGTTTTGATGTTGATTTACAGAGTGCGTCTCTACTCTAGGCAGGCCTATCACTTTCACCTCACCAAGTGCAACATAGAATCGTGAGTCTCCCATCGGCTTTCAGAAATAAGTTTCATTTCCATGAATGAGCTGTGACTTTGATTGAGTCCAGCTTGCTCTACTTTCATCCCTCCTAAACCCCCATTTCCCTTGCCCTGCTTGTGTACTCGACGGTACATCGAGTAGGTTCGGGTGCCATAATAAACCGGGTATATTTCCTCTCAACTCCAAAAACGCCATAAGCATAGAATACAGCAATCCCTACATCTATTCAAACACAGAAAAGACAGCTCAAACGCTGGATCAAAATCAGCTTCTTGGCCATTCATCGGACGACATCACTCTTTTCCACAAATGGGACGAAGGCAGGTCGGTCCATATAGCGATCCATGTCCAGAGCAAAGGCGGAGTTACCCTGGTTGTCGTCATCCACGTCCATAGTATCATCAATGCCTCTTTTGGACGGCATTCTTGAAGGAGCCGGGCTGGGGCCTCTAGCCTCAGCCTGTTCCAGTCCCCTGGCCACCATTCTCCTAGCCTCGAGGATATCCTCATACGACTTGAGCCAATGCTTCGTCTCCTCGTCGAAATTGGTGCAGAAGCGCTGAAGACCAATAAACTGCAGCGTCTTGACCATGTCCATGCCGAAGACCGTCATGATGTACGCGGCGACGATGGCGGCTGAGCGGTCGTTGCCAGTCTCGCAGAAGACAAGCACCTTGCCTCGTCTGAAGTTGTTGCTATCGATGATCATCTCGCCCTCTGCACATCGATTCTTAGCATGGTGGCTCTGAATAGCCTGGCTGCGGTATACGCTGAGAAGGTGCTCATTGATCTTGCTGACTGCGATGGGGAAGGCGCGAATCAGCTCCTGATGGCCAGACACGTCGATGTAGGCTGACTCCAGTCCCAATTCTTTTGCGGTGCGCTCCACGCTCATGAGCCTGATGTTTGCCATCGAAGCGTCCCGAGCAGCGAGTAACATAGTGATGCCTTCTCTTTGCAGGAAGGCTCGATCCCTTGCGACACTAGACGGCCCCAGATAGATGAAATCCAATACGGCTTGCGCTTGACGACGCGATTCGTACTTCCACGTTTGGGCGCTGTCATGAGCAATCTGTGTTCTCCCCTGTGTAATAACCTCCAGATCATCTGTTGTCAGGCTGCTGGTATCGACGTTGTCGAAAGCAGGCACGATCGACATGCTGTTGTGGCCATCGGAGAAAATCGTTGGTATGTGGATGTAGGGTGGACTAGGCGGTCGCTGGACATATGGCGCGGCCGGCGCTATGCCGGTGCTGATGGGCACCGGCTGAGAAAAGTCAGCTGGCATCTCAGATTGCCACTTGTTGTCGTTTTATATCACTTCGTAGGGACTCGATGAGTTTGCGATGTGGGTAGCTGCAGCTGGAATGGTTGTGATCGTCCCAAAGCGTCGCGGGGTAATAATTGTCACGGATGATAGGACGAGATTCTTTGTTGATGTTTAATCTGAATCGAGGATTGGTTGAGCTAGAGTATCTTCAGGAAGATTCGCAAAGCCGGTTATGAATGAGACCTAGGATGAGTGAGACAAAGTGATTGTGAATGTCTGGAGAAGAGGCTGACTGCGGCGCGTGGTGCGCGGTGGACTGGTAGGTGGGTAGGTAGTCGAGTTAATGTGGTCGACGGCCGGTACGCTAGAGGGGCCGAGAACATGAATAGCGGGGCTATTTTAGGTTTTAGGCTGACGGGACGATCTGCTAACCGTGCACCTTCCGTTTCGGCTTTCCTTCCATTCACCCACCAATGTGGGTGTTTACTACTCACTTTATATTTTCGCTCAGCTTGTCCCTTTTTTTTCTCAAGTATCCCTCGTTAAATAGCAAAACAATAGACAGAAGTAAAGAAGGTAGTGAATATATGTTAAAATGACTTTGTGCTAGTTACTTGTATGTCACCTAGAAACCTAAATATCTAAAGTAATTGATTTATTTTAAGTCTCTCGATTAGCTGAAGAAAGAAAAAGGAAAAATAAATCTTAGACATAGTTCATATTAAATTTAAACTTATATGAACTAAATAAAGGTCTTATCGTTCTTTCAAAGAATGTCACAATAAACTGCCCTCGTCTCACACAGGGTTACACACCATAGCAAGCACAAAACTTGGATCAATGTAATTGCACGCAATGTATGGAGATCAAGACATGTGTTTGATTGACAGACTATACAAAACCAGAGATTACAGTCCAGCCCATTCTAAAGATTTTGCTCACAGTTTCTGCGCTTTCTCTTCATCATAGGCATGACTGCCATATCCAGGACCCCAAAGACCAACAGATGGATCCCATGGCCCAGCTATCTGACAGTCTTCTAGATATTTCCCCCCTTTCCCTTCCAAGTCTGGGTCTGTTGCACCTCATACGCTTGTCGCGGCACCCTGGGCTGGGGTTTTGGAAATCTTTGAAAGGTATGGATCTGATTTGACGCCGCCTTGCTCGTCACTGGACATGTGTCGCATCAAATCGGTCAGGACAGCTCCAGGTTGAACGCTCCAGGCGTGAATTCCCCGAGCACCATACCGGCGTTCGATCTCGTTCGCAGTCCACAGATTGGCCGTCTTACTTAAGGCATAAGCTGCCACAGCATCATAGTTACCGTCGAAATTAATATTATCGAATGGTACCTCGCCAAATCGATGTCCGACGGAGCTCAGGATCACCACACGTGATGCTAGTTCAGGTGTTGCGCCAGCAAGAAGGGCTGGCTGTAGTAGATTGAACAGGAGGAAGTGTGCAAGATGGTTTGTCCCAAACTGTGTTTCAAAGCCATCCTCGGTACGACCTTCAGGTGGTGTCATCACGCCGGCGTTGCAGATGATATGTAGCATTATATATTCATGCTCTCAAGTAATTGAGCTGCACATGGCGCTGCCATATATGGGATACTGACTCGATAGCATGTCAGTCAGTTGCATTGAGTTCAGGCGGGACGTCGGCGTCGCCATTAGTACACAGATATATTTGTATCAATACAGGCGATCGAGTCTGGTGAGTCGAATGGGGCTAACAGCAAGACAAATTATACGCGATCCAGGTGGTATCTTCAACAAATTGCGTCATTTCATTTTTCAGTGGCTTAGCCCTAGATCCTTGTCCCGAAAGCGAGGTCTCTAGTTGTTTGATATGGACTCCTACTCTGGAACAATGTCAACGGCATTTATATACAGTTGCTGATTCTTGTTATCTGATTGGTCAGCTAGGAAGCCACATGGCACCGAGTCAGTTCAGGTGGAGTGTCAGCCGCTTGCATAATTTAGCTCAACGGCTTCAAGGTTGGCATGCGAGCTTATCGCCGTAGGTTTCTAAAACCAGATCTCTTGGGATTGTGGGGAATTCCAGAGGTAGATTGATAAGACGGCCAAAACACTTTAAAAATCCTGACAAGTACCATCTGGCAATTCAAGCCCGATGATTTCCGTTGCTATTTATTGTATTTTGAGTCTGCCCTATGGCTGAGACTGTTTGGTTCATCACTGGATGCTCGTCCGGAATCGGGCTTGAGCTAGCTCGTACTGTCCTCAGCAAAGGACATCGAGTTATTGCGTCTTCACGCAACCCTTCTAAAACACCAGATCTTGTCAATGAAATAAAGAGCAAAGGGGGAAATTGGATTACCCTTGATGTAACTGGTGATGACGTTCGATCTCGAGTCACTGCAGCAATCTCTATTTATGGCCGTATAGACGTGCTCGTTAATAATGCTGGATATGGGATCAATGCTGGCTTTGAAGACATGAGGTAAGTGGGTTTTGATGGAACTGGCGACTTGGATCACAAGTACTCACAATGAGTAGTGAATCAGACTTCTTGGCGCTGTTCAACACCAATGTGCTCGGGGTGGTGAGGACTACACAAGCTGTTCTTCCACTTATGAGAACACAGAAGTCAGGCACTATCATCAACATCAGCTCTACGAGCGGACTGAGGGGCTTACCCTCAGTCAGCGCATACGCAGTCTCTAAGTTTGCTCTAGAAGGTATGAGCGAGGTTCTCCATGGAGAATATGCCGAGTTTGGGATTCGGGTCATTCTCGTCGAGCCCGGACCTTTCCGAACCAATTTCCTGGGTGACAAGGCGAGAATGACACGACCAACCAGCGACTTTTATCTGAATACAGCAACAGACACAATGCTAAAGACCCTCGAAGCATCTGATGGGAAACAGCCGGGAGATCCTGTAAAAGCGGCAGAACAGATCTTTGATTATGCGTTGGGCCAGGGATTAGCGCAAGGGCTGGGTCAGCACCTGAGATTGCCACTTGGGAATCCAGCAATCAAAGCAGCACGTGCTAAAGCCGAGAGTCTGCGAGAGAACTTTGAAGCTGTAGCAGAGATTGCTAAAGTCTGTGACTACTAAATAAACTGTTGCGTACCTTTAACAATAAATCATAATCACTAACCATTCGTGATTCAAAATATTTCAGCTCTGGTGGTTTGCAAGCGCCTCGCTTCGACTAATATTCTAGGGGTCTTTATTATTGCATAATGATCATAGAAATAGAAATTCAACGAGTATTCTATTTAATCTCAAACAGACCTGATATATTCTAGTATTATCACCCTAACAATAATGACAGTAAAATAACTTAGGAGTATATCATTTTTTGTATGATCAGATTCGGCCTAGATCCGCCTGTCCTATACACATCAAGATACACAATGAGGATGATACCATTGTCTCTCTCCACAAGACCAGTTTAGCAAAGTAAATTATGTAATCTATGTATGATAGTAGAGATCAAAAGTAGGGGATGTGGCACGTACACAGGCGACTCGTATACCCAAATTCAACCAACCAGCCCAAAAAGGTCTTCAAATTGAACAAAGGGATGAAGTAAAACAAGATTAATGCTTCAATAAAAGGCAAGGTTATGAGACGAAAGTCGTACTGATCTCTTCGGTTGTTCCTGCTTCATTGCCAGTATCAACTCACCGTAATCCAAATGCTTACTTTTACTAGGTTCTCACACAGTCTCAGATCTTACAAGTTTGTAGACATATGTACCATCGTGTCTATTCCAGATGAAACTATCAATTGCACACAGTAGAAGACGCCTTAGGCCGACGGTGACTGGGCTCTTCGTCCACCCTCCAATGCCGACGCAGAAGACCCAACACTGCTGAAGCTGCTTTCTTTAGCCAAAGGAGATGGGAACTCCGGTGTGACAGACCGAGAGTCCACACCAGGGCGCTTGGGCTTCACACCAGGCACCAGCTTCTTCTTCCTTTTATCTGAAGCATTTGATGAGGTGCTCGCCTTGCGTGTGAGAACACCTGCCTCGTCGACTTCCAGTCCTGGCGTCGGGCTTCTCGAACCTGTGGTCGATATGCTTCCTCTGCGCACGCTGTTGCTACGAGAGCGGCGATGTTCCTTCTCGACTAGACTGTGGCGTGGATGATGGCCATGGGGCTTTTCTACAACTGGGTGTGGTTTGTCGACGACAACGACCGTAGCCTTCCGCCACGGCAGCCACCAGAACCATCCGCCGGTCTCCTTTTGCAGGCGGCGATCGCGCTCCTGGATCTTCGCCCGTATCAAAGCCCGTCGTTCGTTCTCCCGTTCCCAGTACTCGGTCCTGTATAGCTCCCAGTTCTCCCTAAACGTCGGGGAGAACGGCTTGGCCAACAGCAGCAGCTTGACATGATCACCACCCGGAGCAAGATCTTCCTCGTGTCCTCCACGTTCCTCGTCTTCACTCACAATGGGCAGTGGCTGGTGCCCGTGACTCGAGAGCTTCAACTCTTTGTCCACCTCCCGCAGAATCGCCGGCTCGACATATCGGTACGACGAGCCCGCCGTATTAGAAAAGAGCCCGTACGTGAGGAAGAAGACGATCGTGGCGAGCGTCTCGACGTACCACGGCCGCTTGATGATGACGAGCTTGCAATTGAAGCCCCGCAGCCCTCTATTGGAGATACCAAACCACCTCCGCGGCCAGCGCACGCCCCGCTCCCATATGCCGGTGCCCCAGACGAGGATGGCGGTGATGATGCCGCCCATGAAGCAGACCTTCTCGGTGACCTCGACGACCCAGTACACAGAGCCGCCGACGCCGCGGCCGTCCTCCCTGGGCGCGAGGAAGAGCGCATAACCAAAGCCGACGACCCAGAGGGACAGCAGGGTCAGGAAGAAGGTGTGGTGGCGGCGGCGGGCGCGCAGCTCGAGGTACTGGGCGCGGAGGGACGCCTCGAGGATCAGGAGGTTGAGGTAGATCATGGACGGGGAGCTGGGGATGTGGCTCAAGGGGTCCGCCTTGGCGCCAGAGGACGGGGTGACGCCGCTGGTGCCGCCGACCTCCTTGGCCAGGTTCTCGGTCGGCGGGGCCGCCGTGCCCTTGACGATGGAGTCGACGTCGTCCGCCATGATGGATGGATGGGGTCGCGTGTCGGGTCGGAGGAGGCGGGTAGGGGGTGATGCCCGGAAGGAGACGGCGGACGGGGGCCCGGCAAGGGCCGGTGTGATGGGAGTTGTGTTGCCCCGAGGGTTTATTTCAGGAACAAGCGCAACACCCAGTCTAACAAGGAATTGGAGGCTTATGGCACCCGGCCGCGTCAGCAGCTCCGTGTTGCAATGCAAGGAAGCATGCGAATGCGAATGGCGTCCCGTGGAATTGTCCGGAGTTTAGCGGTGGAGTTTGTATGTCCGCTGAAAGAATGTTGTGTATGTGTACGAGTGAGACGGAGCAGGTGACTGAGCGGCCAGATTGTTTTCCGTTTTGGAGGAGACGTCATAGAGGATTTGCTGGGGTGGTGGGATTTAGGTAGTCGGGTCTACTAGGTACTGTACCTGTACAGTACACTTGATAGGTGCCACAGTAAGGCACTTGCAGTAGTAGCGGACAGTCGGGTCGCGGAGGGATCTAAAATCCGACACGTTAAAAAAAAAAAAAAAAAGGTGTACTGTACTGCGTAGTGCATTAGGTGCCCCTGGCAGGATGCGCGCAAGCCGATTTGCTCCAAACTCTGTTTGAAGATGGTTTACCTCAGCAAGTGACGGGACTGAGTCGGAGACCAGCTCGTTTACCGCATCCAGGCCCCCCTTTTGGACCCTTTGACGAGGTGCCTAAGCCTTTTTGCATTGCTCTTGCGTTTCGTTGCCGCATGTTAGTCTGTGCATCGGCATCCCTCTCACTGATTGGGACGCCCTCCCAAGCCTTCTTCTTCTTCTATTCTAATCTATGACACCGTCAGTCGATCTGTCCGCCTCGGGGTTGCAGAAGGAGATAGACACCGGGTCCCGGGGCTAGGAACTCCTAATGCTTCTTCTCCCTATTAATAAGGGGCCACGTCTGTCCCTCGTGCGCGGTCTGAAGGGCTGGACGTCTCGTAATTACTATTCCTATTCCTATTCCTGTTCCTGTTACTCGTCTGCATCTGCATCTGCATCTTCTTCGCCGTCTGTACCAGTTCCCCTGCGGCGGCCCCAGTCTCAGCTTGTCTCCGTAGTTAGCCGATTTAACAGCAGCCGGTCCCCCAACATGTCTACCGACGCCACTATTTCCCAACACCCCCAGCAGCAGCCCGTGCTTGCTCGTCACAGAGCCAAGAAGCAGAAGAAAGAACAAGAACAACAACGCCATTCAGAAGACGACGACGACGCCGACATGGCCGACAGTAATACTAGCGAGCAGAAGAGGCAGAGGCCCTCCATGTATTTCCCCCTAGGTTACAAAGAAGCCGCCTCGCAATGGGTGAGTTGTTAACCCTGTTCATCCCGAAACCCAAGAAAAATGGCGCGTAAACGACTAACACGCTGGCCTCAAAGTGGTCGAGCGTCTCCGCGCAAGCCGCAGAGCGCAATGTCCTCATGCGCATTCCCTACCTCAGGGAAGCGACCGCTTCGGCAACAGATCTCCAGGATGCACGACCCGATCCTTTCGGCCACCGAGTGTGGCGCTCCACCATGGTCCGCCTCTCCGGCAAGCACCGCGCCCTCAACGAGTACTCCGTCGAGCGGGTGGGCGAGCCCGCAGACGAGACCCTCGTCATGTTGCACGGCTACGGTGCCGGCCTGGGCTTCTTCTACAAGAACTTTGAGCCGCTGAGCCGTGTGAAGGGCTGGAAACTGTACGCGCTCGATATGCTAGGAATGGGCAACTCATCCAGGCCGGCCTTCAGGATTCACGCCAAGGACCCCCAAGGAAAGATCACGGAGGCCGAGAACTGGTTTATCGATGCGCTCGAGGAGTGGAGGAAGGCCAGGAAGATCGAGAAATTCACCCTGCTGGGCCACTCGCTCGGAGGCTATCTGGCCGTATCCTATGCGCTGAAATACCCGGGTCACCTCAACAAGCTGATCCTCGCCTCGCCTGCCGGTGTGCCGGAGGACCCCTACGCAGTCAACGCCGACATGCCCGAGCCAAACGATTCAACAATGGCCAACGAGTTCACCCAGGACCAGGAGAGCATTGTCGAGTCTTCGCGCTCGGGCGACAGCAGCCTCTCGAAGCACGGCCGGAAGACCAAGGCGCAGGCCGAGGCCAAGCAAAGGCGGCCCTTGCCCAGCTGGCTTATCTGGCTATGGGAGTCCAACTTTGTCTCCCCCTTCAGTTTCGTCCGTCTGGGTGGACCGCTTGGCCCCCGCCTCGTATCCGGATGGACGTCTCGCCGCTTCAACCACCTGCCGCCCGAGGAGTCGCAGGACCTGCACACCTACTCGTACACGCTCTTCCGGCAGAAGGGCAGCGGCGAGTTCGTGCTGCCCTACCTCCTCGCGCCGGGCGCCTTCGCCCGCAGCCCCGTCATCAACCGCATCCAGAACGTCGGCCGGCAGGTGATCCAGCCGGCGACGGACACGACGCCGGAGCTGCGCGAGACGGGCATCCCCGTGGTGCTGATGTACGGCGACAGCGACTGGATGGACGTCGCGGGCGGGTACGCGGCGGAGCAGAAGATCAAGCAGCGCGTGGTCAAGGCGCTGCTCAACGGCACGGACGAGGAGAAGCGCCGCGAGAACGGCAGCGCAAAGGTCATCATCGTCAGCAAGGCCGGCCACCACCTGTACCTCGACAACGCGGACGAGTTCAACGAGTACATACGCAAGGAGCTGGAGGAAACCAGGGACTACAACCTGCGGCAGAAGGCGCTGCAGCAATGAATAGAGCGCGCGCCCGCACCACACTCCACTGCATAGATTCGGTGGCATAGATTACATATAGATGGGGATTCAGCGGGTTTTTGCATGAACTGGCGTTGGTGGCTTGGGTAAAATAGCGGTCACGGTGCATTGGTCCCATTTAGAGCACAGACATAGGAAGACTCCTGAACAAGAGAAGTATCAGAGGTGTAAGGGCTTAATCAATGTTAAGGATATGGTGGGTTAGGATTGTATGTACCTACTATACGAGTTGGGGTCAATCGTTTCTGGCCCAGCGGTCACCTGAGTGGCCGCTGTACAAGGGGTGTGAAACTCCTACCTATTGAACGGTAGAGAATCCGAAAAGGCCACCACTTGGTTCGAATCGATTATATCCCTTTTTTTTGTTCCCCAAAAAGACTAACTATTTTCCTCTCTAAGATCCTTAATTTTTGAGGCAGATAACCAATTTCACTCCTGACTTACTGAAGTTTGCCCCTGTTTTTCTATGCGATTCACAGCGTTGCTTTCCCTGAGAGTTATCCAGTAGCTTCAATGAAGTACATCTCCGCCAGGGTAATAAACGTTACCTAGGTATTTTAGCGAGTTGAATATACCAGAAAACCAGGGTTGAGGATACCTGATTGAGTTTCGAAGCTTCTGTTTATTTCTATAGCCCCGCTGGTCTTGACAAAAGTAGCAACTCCCTTGTCTGAAAAGTCACGATTCCCACTCAGAATTAACAATTATTACCCCGGCAGAGGCGTATATACTACCTGTGACATGATGGGAGTGACCTATCCGCCTTCCTAACAAGAGCTGTCCCCCCTGTCATAGACACCCCGGGCACCTGCCCTAGATGCCTCAGCGCTCCTGCTTCGCGAGGTAGCCCCAACGCAGCTAGGGAAGGCAAGCACCTCGACAAGTTTTATTGAGTTCAATTAGCTCGAGATCCAGCACTGGGCTTGGTCAGGCTTGGTCGAGCGGTAATTACATCATGCTAGTCTGGTGTCATGCTTGGTGACTGCAGCACGAAGATGTCTCCTTTCTGGTCATGAATGTGGTGGCTGCTCGATCAAGAAGACGTTCGTCCCGGTTTTTTTTTGTTTTTTTTCCTTTTCCTTTTTTCCTTCATCCTTTATCATGCTTTTCACCTTGAGAATAAATCGCCTCTTCCTGGAATCACTTTTTGTTTTTAGCTCCGTGGCATAAGGGAAAGCGACGTGATCTTGTTTGACATCAAGACCTAGGACTAAGGTCCGGGTGTGCCCACCACAATGTTACCTCGCTCTTTATCAATCAGCGATGCCAGACAATTATAGCTCGCAACTAATAATCACAGAAACGTGTCAGATCTCCAAGTAACCTTCTTGTTAACGAGGTATATATATATATATCATTAATCCATTACACATATCCCAAAGGCCACCCAAGCCATACAAAGTCTATAGCCCATTTTGTCCAGACTGCCAGTCTCATCAGTCCAACCAAAGTCAGGAGGTATCATCCCACTATCAAACGACATGGCCATTGACCAAGCTCTTCAGATACTCTTGGTCGATGAAAAGGAGCGTAAAGGGGTATCTCTAAAGTCATGATGTGATCCCACCGCGATGCCTTCTGCTTAGACAATTAAACACAGCAATGAAAATGCCAAAGGAATGTCATGAATCCGTTAACTTCGTCCAGCCATGCCATGCCATGCCATGCATAAGGGAGTGTAATGCGTGTGTGCTAATCAATGAGGGGCCGCGCCAAAAACTATGCTTTAAACATTATGCGAAATGAACGGTTGAAAAGGAAGTTGATGTTGGCGTGTGTTTCTCGGTCTAGAGGAAGAATATGCACGCCAAAAGAGGTAGGATGAGCGCCGCGAAGCTCGATCGTCTTGTTGTCGGAGCGCCGGCTGTTGTGACGCTGCTTGGGCCCGGAGTGCTGCTAATTGTTCCACTCGAAAGACTCGTGATGGTCTCGGTGGTGCTACTTTCCGATGGTGAGGGGATTGGTGATGTTTCCGTCGGCTCCGCCTCACTCGAGGTCTCGGGGATCGATGACTCCGGTGTTGGTGTCCCCGGTGTCGACGTCTCGAGCTCTGAGGTAGGCGTGGCCGTCGTAGATGGAGGAGGAGGAGGAGGTGTGGGTGTAGAAATCGGGCTCGGCTCGCCGCTGGTGTTTGGCGCGGCCTGAGAAGTGGTCTGCACGTTGGCAGGTGTCGTTTGCTGAGCCTCTGGCGTCGAGCTGGGCTGGACCTGAGACTCAGCCGGGGCAGACTCGCAGTAGTTGATGAACTGGGAGAACTTGGTCTGCAGGTACGCCTTCGTCGTAAGCTTCTGCTGAGGCTCGTTGGCGGTGATGCATGAATCGCAGCCTTGATAGTAGTTCTCGAACGGCGATCCGTCGGCACACAAGGCGGCGGTCTTGCCCACCTGTTGAGCTTCTAGATAGGCATCATTGCAGATATCGTAGCACACAGCCGGAACGACCGTGTCGTCTCGCTTCAGTATCAGATGTGACGAGGCTTCCTTGCCCCTCTTGATCTTGGCGTATGGTGTGCTTGTAGATTCGGGAGGGAAGTGCGTCAGGCTGGTTTGTGAGGCCCAGTTACCAGTTACGACTGATGTCAACTGGCCGTCGACCTTCTCGACGATGACTTCCTCTTCGAAAATATCGTAGCTCAGACCAAATGCGTTTGGATTAAGATTGAAATAGCCCTCTGTAGGAGGATAGTAGCTCGTCTCATTCTCCGGCCACTCAATGAATGGATACCAGGGAGCAGGCACGCAGAATTGAGGCTTGCATACGAAGTTATCATCTGGTGAGTCAGCCCATACATTACAGTCATCGGGCTTCGGCGGGTCGCAAACGAATCCTGGCTTGCAGCCCCAGGTGAGGTCAGACTTAGGATCCAAGGGAGGTGGATTAGATCCAGGGGAATTCGTCGGTGCGGCGCAAGTAGTTACGCTGGCTGGGACCGTCGTCGTCAAGATGATAGTCTGAGGCGGCGGATTGACAGTCACCGGCGGCAGGGTCAGAGTTCGGGTGACTGTCAGAGTAGAAGCCGGGAGAACAGTTGTGACCACACCACCTGGCTGAGTGAAAGTCGTCGTAATTGGTGGCACAACGGAGGTGACAGTTTCTATGGATGTGGATCCAGGAATAACAACTGTTGAAGGGGGCAATGTTATGGTGGTAAGACTTCCAGGAAGAGTGGTCACTTCGCCAGGAAGAGTTGTGACTGAACCAGGAGCCGTGGATATGAATGTCGTGGTGCTGATAACGGTTGTGAGGCTGCCAGAAAGAGAGGTAGTGGTCGTATAGCTCTCGGTAATTGTAGTCACACTTCCGGGAAGCGTTGTGACCTCCCCAGGCAGGGTTGTAGTGAAGAACTCTGATACCGTTGTGATTTCTCCCGGAAGAGTTGTCACCTGTCCAGGCAACGTGGTGACCTCACCGGGCAATGTGGTGACTGAGCCAGGCAGGGTTGTGACTGAGCCAGGAGCCGTGGACACGAAAGTCGTCGTGCTTATGACCGTCGTGAGGCTACCAGAAAGCGATGTTGTGGTGGTGTAGCTCTCAGTGATCGTAGTTAAACTCCCAGGAAGTGTCGTGACCTCTCCAGGCAATGTCAAAGTGGGTCCTGGAACGGTCTTGGTCTCGGTCTCTGGCGGTAGAGTCTGGGTCACTGTAAAGCTGTCCGTGATCAAAATATACGTCGTATAAGTGCTGATCACTGTCGTAATTTCAGTAGTGTAACTCGTGTAGCCGTTGGTAATCGTCACGGGATAGCTTGTCGATTCAGTGACAGTTGAGTAGTAGGTCGTGGGTACTGTCTTCGTCGTGGGCGAGATGACGATTTCTGTATCGGTCGTGGTGTATTTCGATGTGAGGGTAATCTCACTAGTCACAATCGATTCAGTGTAAAAGGTTGTCGTCAGAGTATGATCTGAAATAACCAGCGTCGGTACAGTTGTTGTAAACGTGGTCGTAGAAATCTCAGTCTTCGTCGAATAGTCCGTAGTCTTTTCTGTGTAGCTCTTAGTGATAGTGATTTCGCTAGTCACAGTAGATGTGTTATAAAGCGTGGTTGTGAAAGAATGATCGGAGACAACCGTTGTTGGGACCAGAGTTGTGTACGTGTATGTGCTAATCTCAACATAAGTTGTCGTTTTCTCCTCGGTGACTGTAATTGGGACTGGAATTGTAGTCGGCACGAGGGTTGTCTGAGTTATAGTCGACCAAAGAGTCTTTGTGCTTATCACACAGTCGCCATCGTCATGAGTTTCTGGCTCATACGTGTCTGACTCCTGCCGTCGCCCGACGTATTCAGTAGGATAGGGCTCCTCTGTTGTAGCTGGCGGCGTAAACGAGCATTTGCTGACGGTGATTGTATATGGGAAAGACTGGTATAATCCTTCAGTGAAGTGCTCGCAAGTGCGGGACAATTTTCTAAGACACTTACGCTGAGAATAGTCGTCGTGGTATAATCAGTCGTCCTGCAGTGGCCGTTAGTCTCTGATAATGCCACCCATAAAAGTCACGAATTGCCTCTTTGCACTGGGCTTGCTGTGACTACACGGAACATGCTCAAGTTCAATGTTGTGAAAAAAAGGCCGCTTCAAGGCCGGGCGTGCAAAGCTTATGAGACCTTTGGGTTAAACTGTACTTACGTTAATTCCTTAGTGACAGTGTTCTCGTCAACGATTGTAGTTGGCTTAAGGTTTGTGACGGTTACAGTATCCTCTTCTGTAAACGCTGTGGTTGTCTACTGCCGTCAGTTTACATATAAGTCAAACAAGTATTCGCATGAGCCACCTACCAAGATGGTGCTATAGATTGTTGTAAAAACGGTAGATCTACTCTGCGATCAGAAGCTGAAGTTTAAAAAGAGAGGCAATTGCTGGTCCTTACGTGTACCCGTGATAGCAATCTTTTCGGCAAACAGATGTTGTGCAAGTGGACACGCTTGTGGTCGTCTTCCAACAGTTGTATTCGTCACACTTGTTATATGTATCAATCGTAAGGCTGTCATTCGTTCGAGGATAAAGAGGCTCCTCTGCCCTGACCAAATTCCCCAAGCTCACGCCTGCCACTCCTAGAGTCCATAATAGCGATGTCGACAACATGACGGTGAGCGTCCACACTACCAACGCACACTAGCCGGTTTAACGAAAGGACGTGTTGAGAGACTGGAAAGATCGTGAACAGGAAACAAGACCCTCCACTGGGGTGGGGATGGGTGCCAGTTTAAAGCCAAGCTCAGCAGCACCGGTCCCTCAGCTGTACCTGCCGATCATATGTCAAAGATGGCCAGGACGCTGAGAGTCAAGAGGCTGAGTTGACAAGAAAGCCCGGGCACAAGCCAAAAGATGAGATGAGCCAATGGCGGGTCGACAAGCGCCAGTACATGACCTTGCAGCTATTCAAAGCCACTTGACGCAATGACCTTGGCCAGACGGTCAGAACCTGCTTGGAGTCGCACAACCTCTGGGATACTCCGGATGGGGTGTCGTCGACACCACTCTTCCCAATTGTCGATTGCGAGAAGTTTGACGGAGGACAGGATGTGAGAAGAAAACAAGGAAAGCGAGGATAGAAGAGAACGAACATGACGAAGAGTCGGGAATATGAGAAGCTGCCTGACTTACCTAGCTACCTAGCTACCTACCTACCTGCAGGTCCATGTCGGTGCCACTACAAACATGCAAGTCGGGGATTCAATAAGGCAGACTAGCCGGGGTCCAAGGTACTGGTCATGCATGGGAGGCCGACAATGGAGCGACCCATGCTTCCGGGGTTGCAGTCAATCCGGTGCTAAAGAGAGGATGAACACGACAAAAACGCATGTATAGAATCAGCAATGCCGCCCAAGGGGAGTACCCATCAGCCCAGCCTGGCGGCCGGTCCTTGTTGAAGGATGACGCGAGCTGAAGGCCCTGATGCCACATGGCGGGATGGAAACAGCCCAAGAGAAGAAACAAGCCGAGGGCTACTCGTATCCTCGTCTGTCTCACCCATTCCCTGCCTTAGGGCTCATGATCCTTCTCTATGGCTAATATGTCAAGCTAGGTAAGTAGGTAGTCGATTGCCTGGGGCCTAGATCCGAGATGGTACCTACCTTGGACAGAGGCACGACTGAACAAGGCGGCACACCAGAAGGCAATCGAGGACACCATCGGCAGCTACGAGAAGTACGAATGGCTGACAGGGTAGCACTCCGGGCTCCGCATGAGTTCCTGGTGGGCCGATGACTTGGTGGTGGTGTTAGTGTTAGTGATGTGATGGAGGGGAAGCTGTGCGAGTGTACCGTCCAACATACGGATCCCAAGTGCATACCTACACATCCGTCCTTCCACCATCCACCATCCACCCAATACCACCGCGAGACTTAGGTAAGTTAGCGGGGCTATCAGCCTCCAGCAAGGGTATCATGCAGTGTCTAGAGAGAAGGGAAGATCCTGGACGGCTGGGAGGGTGGGGAAGAAACAAGGCAGTCAGAATTTGGGGGCGGTGGCCAGGTCCAAAAAGGCGTTTGTGGCAGACCCCAGCCGCGGCTTCTCTTCACCAATTGAGAGGGTCTGGTCCAGGATGCGCTGCTTTCCTTTTAGCAAGAAAGGACTCACAGAATGCCGCGCCTCTCAGAGATGCGATGGCAGGCGTGCGTCAGCCTTCCACTTGTGGTGTAGAGGCATGGAAGGTGCGACCGAGATGAGGGGAAGGGTCTCAGTTGAATCGTTGATAGAAGGAAGGAAGGTGCTCGAGAGCCTCAGCTGGAAAGACGGCAGGGATCCATATGGATTCCTAGGTAGTCTAGGTAGCTTCACCTATAGTTATCTGACCTATAACGTTACCTAGGTAGGTGTTAAATCTGACTGATTCTCCGGCCCTTTGGCGCATCGGGATACCTTACCCAACTGTGGGTATCCTTTAAGGCCGCACTTGCACTTTTATGCGTGTCCCGACTTATCGGACAAGGAAAGTGCGAACAAGAGGAGATAGATGGTGAACGGGAGAAAGGACTGCATAACCGGGGCCATCATTCGTCGCCTTGTGTTGTGTCGCACAGGCATGCCTCGTACTCCGGATATTGGCAAGATGCATATGGTAGGTGCTATACAGTATGGTACAATGTGCGGCAAGCGATCCTGCGGGCTTAGCATCAACTGGAAAGAAGTGCACCTTGCTACCTCGAGCTGCCGTAGAGCGCCCCAACAAGCATCCTTCAACGCTCATAAGACGGGGCTACCTGCTGAAAAGAGCTCTCGTGCCCGCGCCGCATGTTCCGTGTCTTGTCTGCCTTTCACGGCCTCCTCGGAAAACATGGCTGGTGAAGAAACCTCTCCACGAGAGACATCGTGGCTGATGCTCAGATTCACAAATTCAACAAAGTGCCTACGAGTAGATAAGCATGGGCCAAAAATAGGCGCCCGGCCACTAATCTCTAGTGCGTGGTTGGTAACCCGTCAGGTTCGGCCTCTCCCATCTGATCTGGCCTGACGAGACGGAACTGGAGCTCTCCCAAGCTGCCCTGGTCCCTGTCATCTGGCCGTTGGCCTGGGTTCACTGGTGGATCACCGATTGGCTTGTTGGCGAGCTCTGAATGGTCCGGTTTCTGCACAACATGTCGCTCTTCAGTTGAGACTGTCTGTGATAGGAATCGGCAACGGAACCCCTCTTCGCTAGTCTTCTGCATAGTAGTCTTGTCTGCTCTGGCACGCTGGCGTCTTCGTCGCAGACAGGAGATGATCGACCTTGCACAGTCGGAACTCAACTTTTTGTTGCTTCTGTTGTCTCGCAAGTGGCGCAAGTTTGTCCGAACGGAACGATCTCTCCAGCCTGCCATACCTCAATGAATTGGTAGCAGACTCGCGGGTTCACGGCAACATTGGGCTGCGTCTGTCGAGGTTTCGACAGAACCAGGGGCCTGATGCGGCTATTGTCGAGGCGGCCGTTGACAAGCGGTCAGCTTACCAAACAGCCAAGCGGTCCCTCTAGATTGTATGGACCCTTACAGATGCTCCCCCGGCTTGAGTAGGAAGGTCAGTCAGCATCTATCTGCTGGCGGAGACCTTGAGGATCCAACGGCCCAGCTTTAGATCTTACAACTCCTACGTGTTGAATGTTTCCGGGAAGCAGGTCCACGCGGCTCGAAGTCTGTCCACTGACCATCCGGCCACCCCGTTTCTTTGTCGGGACTGTGAGCCGGCTCCTGCTGGCTTTGTCCAGATACAAGCGAGCTGCTCAGACTAACGGCGGTCTTCTATTGCACTTTCTAGTATCCCAGCGCTTGTTGCATGGAATTGCTAAACAGTGAGGCATGACTTCGATACGACCCTTCAATACCTACTTTGCACCTAAGCTCTTTTCTCTATTCCCTGTTTTAGAGTCTCGTCCGCGGAGAACTTGCAAGGCGGCCGTCTCGTGCATTCCCACTACTGAGTCTTCGGCAACTCCATCTTCAACCATGCACTTACTCAGGCTGTGTCAACTTACAACACAAAACATCACACACACCTCACTTAGTCTATTGTAGTCCGGACAGAGACCCCCGTAGAAATGATGGCTGTCGCTCGTATATTCTGTCCGATACCGATTACACTGGGGAGCTAGGTCTTCCCGGAGCCAGTTCGGTGAGTAAATCGGAGAAGTGGCAGACACATAGACAGACAGGCAAGCCAACATCAGCCGCTTTCCCTCCTCCGAAAGACAAGTCTGCTGCGCCCTCATGAAAGAGCACCAACCACGAGGCTGACAGAAGCCCACATCGAGTGCAAGTGTACTCCTGCATCCCGTGGTGCCCGTGGTGCCATCCACACTCCATCTTCAGCTTTTATGCCACCACCTCCGATGCAGCCAATCGCCCGCATCTGGGCAAATGGCTTGCTGCAGGTCGCACCTCTTGCCTAGGTGTTGTCCCAGGCTCTCAAAGCCACGCTTTGCCACAGTCTCTTGGGACTCCTCAGAAATGAACGAGATCTCCATTGGGTGTTGTCGGCCGGGCATCACACAGTCTCACTGACAGGCCACCAAACACTGCACCTTGTGGTTCTGTTCTCATTTCTATTGCCTCCTGGCAATTCGACCTCAGGCATAACCTGAACTACACTGAGCCTGCTCTTTGTACTCATTTCTACCCAGTGGCACTGAATCCCTCTCATTCTGTCATCAACTTGTCAGGCATCCGCCTGCTTGGTACCGTATTGGCGGGCTGTCCTGTGATCTGTAAGTCTGTTTTCCGTTTAAACTCAAACCCCACGATCGCGGACGGTTTCGAGACAAAGACGATTTTCCAGAGTTTTTACCAATCCGATTTGATTTTGCGGTCGAGCCCTCGAGGTTCTCGGCGCTCTTGGCCACTCTTTGTCTCTAATGCCAATTCTAGCCAACTTTTTCCGCTCCCCTCTTTTGCTGGCGGTGGCCAGACACACCTTTGTTCCTGTTGGTGTTGTGCAGCCGTGGTCACACTCGCCGCATAACTTCGCCTTCCTACAATGCGGAAGCACGGCCCAACTTCATAGTCCCTCTACTTTCTTGTTTCTCATGTGTACAACTGTATGAGGACGAAAACTTGAGACAGCCAACGGCCTGCACCATGGTGAACTCCCGGGTGGCTATCGTCGCCGCCGCTCTACTGGGTCATGCCTCGATAGGCATTGCCCAGCAGTCTGGATGGGAAGATGGACAAGTCAATGCAACTATGTGTTATTGGGAACAACTTCGAGGTTAGTCGTCGTCAAGGCATCGACGTCCCACAAGTGCATATAGGCTAACACTCCCTTAATAGCTTCCGTGGTGCGCGATACTGTCTATCTCGATGGCGGTGCTCTATGGTGGATACCCGGCCTCAATGATGGGAGCTACGGAGCTATTACCAGCGATGGTAAGTTGTAGCACCAATCCAATGACAGCGTAACTAAACTTATATCCTCAAGGCAATCCTCTGGGTCTTGTCTACACTCTGAACTTCAGCACCCCTTTCAACATGTCGCAAAATATCAGTGCCATTCTAGACACCATATCGAAAGCGCCCAATGGCGGCGCGGCGAATAACATTGCGCCAAACTACTACGACGGTGCCATGCTGGGAAACGATGATGAGTGGTATCTGTATGGAGGGTTACTGAAGCAAACCCAGGCGTTCTCAGACCCGCCTGACAATGCTGTGACTGCCTACCAGGCATATCAGTACGGAGTCGACAAGCCAGCATTCCGCGCCGGCTTCCTCAACGATGTGTTGCCCGATGGCATGACCCGATACCTCGCATACGGAGGAGCTGCAAATGCGCCATCAGAGAACAAGGCGTTCTACTTCTCTGGGCTACGATCTCCATCTTGGGGGCCCATCTACACAGTGGGCATCAACTCGTCGCTAACTGCCATCAATGTCTCGGATACACTTATCACCCTAGATATGACCACCCAGCAAGATGAGAAGTGGAAGAACGTAACATTGCCAGATTTCATCAAGGGCAGAGCTAACCCTGAACTGGTCTGGGTGCCCGTGGGAGCTCAAGGTATTCTTGTGGCACTTGGCGGAGTGGTATACCCCGATTTCGTCAATGTCACGCGCAAGTCAGCCAATGAACCTGCCAGCGTCAGTGAATAAAACCCTCTGCTGCGAGGCAATGAACTAACGGGAACTCAGAAAGAGCAAAGCTCAAAGTTCATGTCCACTATAGATGTTTACGATATTGCAAACGACAAATGGTATCAGCAGCCTACGGTAGGCGGTCCTACACAGCTTACAAGAGGATGTGCTGTTGTCGCCCCGGCGCAGGACATGTCCAGCTTCAACATCTACTACTATGGTGGATATGACGGACTCAATCCCACTTCCGAAGAGGCATTCAACGATGATGTCTGGATTCTGTCTCTTCCCTCGTTTATGTGGATGAAGGTGTCGTCTGGAACCAAGACGCATGCCAGAGCCGGACACAAATGTGTGATGCCGTATCCAGATCAGATGATGATCATTGGCGGCTATGGTTCTATGTCTGGCGGGTCACCTCACTGTGTCGAAGGGGGCATTGTTCAGATGTTCAACCTCACTACTGGAAAATGGGTCGACCGCTACGACCCGAGCGTATGGGCTCCTTACGGCGTGCCCGAGATGATCCACGTTATGATCGGTGGAACAGCCACGGGCGGCGCCACTTTAACGACCCCATCGCCGACGGGATGGGCAACGCCGGCACTCTCCAACGTCTTTGCAACCCCTTATCCAACCTCGAAACTGACGTCCTACTACCCCTATGGGTCCGCAGGGCCTAGTAATGGCACAAGGCCTGACCTGACTAAGTCACATGGCTCCGGTGTCCCGTCTTACTTGCCGCCTCTACTAGGTGTTATTCTGGGTTTAATCTTCATTTCCTCTATAATCGTTGCCATACTGCTTTGGAGACGGCGAAAGCTGCTGAGGCGCAATGGCGGTGCGAGTGAACCCGGAACGGACGACAGCGGGAATCGTATCTTGTCATGGATCCGCGGTCAACCAACTGAGAAAGCTCCCACTATCACTACAAGTGAGGAATCGGCAATGAGCCCAGATTTGGAACATGCTACCTTACAGCCTCCACATATTGTACACCACGAGATGGCTGACACGCAGCTTGCTGAACTCCCAGGTGGGTTTCCAAGTTTGTGTTATCCTGATATAGAGGACTAAATGCTTGCAGACACCTCGCCAAGGGCAGAGCTTTCAGATACAGGACTCAGTCCAGTAGAGATCATCAACAAGCACTCGCACTTCGGACAAAACAGCTCACTAAACAACCCGTCCTCGTACAGCGGCATCTCCCAAACAGACCACGCTAGCTCCGTCAGTCGCTCCTCGGGCCAGCGGCCAGTCGTTCCGCCATCTGATCAGATGCGCCCGGACTCTCCGCCGCTAGGCATGACCTACGAGACCTACGAGCCGGTCATCCCAGCCGCGACAGGCTCACGACCGCTGACGCCGCGCGGCGAATCAGGCGTCTCCGGGCTCAGTGAACGGGATAGATCTCACCTGAGGCAGATCAGCGACCCCACAACCGTCAGCTCCATGGAGACGAGCGGGACATCCCGACCGACCGACCATCCCATCCCCGAGGAGGAGATGACCCTTGGGACGAATCCGGCCAGCACGCCGGGGGAGTCTCCTGGTCCCGTGTCGCCGCCGTCGGCCGGGTACCAGGAGGGGGAGGACTATCTCAACGCCAGGAGATCGCAACCTTCGAGCCCGGGGGCAGCAGCAGCAGCATCTACCAGCCAGCAAGGGAGCCCGCTGCGCAGAAGCGTCTTCTACGAGAGCCGAGATGACTTGGGCGGACCTCATTGATTGAGCCGCGCTGCAGGTGTGACAGCGCTCTGATTCTCGCACATACTTTAATAGCACACCTGGTGTGGTATAGCCGAGAGTATTTGATAGTGTAATTTTGGTCCAGGCTGACAGTTCAATGAGTTGGAGAAAGACTATCATGGCTTCCATCGAGGAAAGGCGCTCTGTATTGCAAGTCTTAAATATATCACATTCTACTCCTCCACCGGGGTAATAAATGTTGGTCTGGCAAGAGTATCACTAACTACCTCCTCGATAAGGGTTTACTACCTTTGTAGAACGGATAGACCCATAGTCATAAACAGAATATTCGTGAACTTGACAAGTATTTTAACTCTTGAACGTGAGTATCTTTACCCTTGAATAATCAACGTTTATTACCCTGGCAGAGGAGTAGTCTTCAGGATCTAAGCTGTCTCCTGCGTCTCCTGAGCAACTATATTTTTATCACTACAGGCATATTATATCGGGGTTGTACGCCTGATTCAAGACTTCCTAGCGAGATCGTACTGCTTTGATTGCAACAAGACTTGCGGGCAGTTGCCCCACCTAAAGGCAGCAAAGGCAGGATATTGGATAGGAAAGCTGAATAAGGCGGAATACAAATGGTTGGTGGTGGAGATGGCAAACTCCTTTGAGCACAAAAAACTGGGATGACGGGAAGGATGAGTTGATGATATATAAGCATTCATTGAATTTATGATGAGATCTTTGGAGCTGACAATCGCCGCAACTTCATCCGATGCTAAATCTCGAGCCTGTTAGATATTATGAGGGCATTACCCGATCCTGCCTCATCCAGGTGTGATGGGACTGCCTTCTGAAGGCAGGAGCGTTGCGTCTAGACTCTCCATTTGGGTGATGTAGTTATGGGCACGGACGGGTCTTCATTTCATCGAGACAGTCGAGCCACTGACATGATTCCGAATCCAAGTGAGGACAGGGGCTTCTATAATCTTTGCCTATAGGTCTGTTCAAAATCATTTTAGACCTTTAGCTGATATCTCCGATCATCAATGGGTATCTACTGGTAACCAAGCGCTCTACAAAGCCGTTTTCTCTATCATATTACGCATTTTCGTTCCGGCGCTCAGCTTCTTTTGCTGCCTGTTCCCAGTCTGACTTGTATAGATACCAGTATTCGATAACCGCGACCCTGCGGATGATGTTAGCAATTCCTAAAAACAGCCCCCTTTATGCCGTGCGGGTGTCGATACTTACATGAGCAGACCAATCGTGACACCGAACCACAGGCCTTCTAATGTCCACTTCAGGCCAAAAGCGGTGCCGAAGGAAAGGGGTAATGCGACAACATAGTATGTGACCAGGTTAGCATACCCGCCAAACTCTTGTTTGCCGATTCCCCTGAGAAGACCATGAGAGACCGCCGCAAGCCCGTCAAAGACCTGCATGATCGCACAAACAGGCATTGCTTGAGCAACGAGCTCAATGACGTCTGGATCTTTTGTGAATAGTAGTGGGATCTGGTAGCGAAGGGAAGACACGATGGTCAGGTTGATGATCCCGACGATGCAGCCAGCAACGACAGCTACCTTGGCACAGGTCTTTGCGGCATCCACGAGCTTAGCCCCGATCAGATTGGCAACGCGCGTAGACGCCGCAATGGACATTGGGAATGGGAGCTGAAAGGTGGTCGAGGTGATCGTCACGAGGATAGACTGCGCGGCGAGATATGAGGTGCCAAATTGACCTGACGCTAGGGTTAGAATCTCAAAAGCGAAGTACTCGGCTTCAACCATGATCATTCCCGGTAGAGCAAGGCGAATCATGGGTCCTATCAGGGTTAGAATCTTCAATGCGCGCAACCAGTGGCATCGCCGAGGATTTCTAACGTACCCCAATTTGACCATGCTCTCTTGGTAAATCCTCCCCAACACTGCTTCCCATCAATCAACCAAACGTACATGAACAACAGAATCGGCATTAAGTTCTGCGTGATGACCACAGAGATTGGAGCGCCGATATACCCCCAACCGAATCTCCAGACAAATAGATAGTTGAGAAAAATGTTCAACGGCGCCACAAACATCAAGACATATGTTGTCGCCTGGAACAGACCTTGAGCTTGAACGAACCTCTTGCCCGTCTCAAAGCAAACGAAGGCTGGAGCTCCGGCAAGAATCACTCGCAGATAAAGGCCAGCCAACTCAGCCGACCGCGGATCAGGGATCAGATGAACCAATATGCTCTCAGCATTCAGCCACAGAACCGCGATGGGGATGAGTAGGATGAGAAGGAAGATCGTCATCCGCTGAAGTTGCAGACCGACCAGATGTCTGTGACCAGAGCCATAAGCTTGGGCACATAGAGTGTCCAGACTGGTCGCCAATCCTTGAACGAACGAGTAGCACGTGATATTGGCACTCATCGTTGCCACTAGATTTGAATTAGCCAAAGCTTGCAACAGATGGGCGAACGGTGATTCCCGTGAATTCTTACAGCTGATGGCGCCAAGCTCTTCCTTTCCGATATGCCCCACAGCAAAGATACTCGCGATATTAATGGAGTACTGCAACATGAACGTCACCACCAGAGACCGGGAGTACACCGCAATGGTCTTGGACTCTCGCTGCCAGGTCGTCTTGATCTGTCCTGCAGCCACAGCCGCCTCCCATTGCTCTCTGAGGTGCTGTGTCCCGCTTCCAGACGCCTCCAACAACGGGGACGTCTCGGACGGCTCAACCACTATCTGCGGCACCTCTTCATCGTCGACCGGCCGAGGGACTTTTGTGCTAAAAAGCCTCTTGTACAGCCGACCAAACACGGTCTGCTTTTTCGGTGCCGGATGCTTGGGTGGCAATATGTGATTATCCCTTAGCAGACTCCTCTCCTCATTTCGAGATTGTTTCTTCTCGATGCGGGTAAGCACAGGATCTTCGAAGCCTCGAGGTCCAAGGGCCGGCCGGGCGGTGCCGTACGCAATGCCACTCGGCCTGCGGTACAGCGTTGGTCCAATGGAGTCAGTATCAGAGCTTGATCCTTCTTCAAATGCCTCGGAGGCGTCATCGCCGTCGTCTGAGCACTCAGCAAGATCCCGGGCGAGAGCTTCCTGCGCAATCGGCGAGGCCGACCTGAATGACGCCGCAAACGAGGACGCAAAGTCAAGAGGTGCAGCCGTGGAAGACTTCCCCGGAATCGGGCGATTGCCTGCCATTGTGAGACCTGAGGGTTGGAGGACAACTCCGTCCTCAGATGATCACTTTGCCGAAGTCGAGTTGCTGACCGCTATCTCCCCGATAACGCTCTTAGTGGACAACAATAAACATAGAGCGGGCGAGGTGAAGCTATCACCAATAATAAGTCCCTCCTGTGTGTTGAAGCCGTACTCTAGCTAGATGAGAACGAATAAGAGGACAGCAAATTATAGCATCTGAGGACTGTGATTCGGCAGATGAAGAACTGGAGTGAGTGTCTGTCTACCTTGACTCGATGGGCTGGTGGCACCTCCACCTACTTATTGCTAGCGCAGTTGACTCATGGACCCGCCGCCGATGTAGGGATCCGCCGCCCGTCTCCGCTACATCGTGCGCGGGTGCGATATGGCTTGCATTAGAACTCGCTCTGCAACACGGGCGATCGCTTCGGCGTACATCACGCAATGCCAGGAGTTCGTCGACGATTAGCTTGCATTGGCGCAAATGGCTGGCTGCCAGGTGCGTACGTCACTGGTGATCACCATGAAAATACGAGATAACAATTGCAGGGACGTGATACCAATTGATAAGAGAAAGACAGCCATCGATAAATGCTACTAAATTGCAGATAGATATCCTGTGACTAAGAGATTCGCATAGTTGTGTGTTTGTATCAGGGATATGTTCATGTTGCGGCAGCTAGTCGCCTCGAAAGGATGCATCGTTGCTCTATTGACCTCCCGAAACTGGTGGACGGCGTGCTGCACGGCTTTCCAACTCTGAAAAAGCTATATGTTAAACAATATCCATCTTCATATTAATACAACTGCGAAACCTTTGACGTGAATATATGGGCCCGACTTGTTCCATATGCGAATATGCGAACAACCAGAGAATGAACGTGACCAGCGAATCCATATTAACTATGATGGCTGACAATTTAATCTGTAATTGGCATGGCAAAGCGGTGATTGATAGAATAAATCTTTCACAGATCCCTTGTAGAAGATGTGCACCATGTGTCAAATAAAAGTCTAGCAGGAGAATAGTAGTATCGTGGTGTCATGGTATCTGCATTTTGGCACAGTGGGCTTTTGTAGTCCACCTAGGTGGCTGATACACCTAACTATGCCAAAATAAATGGACAAGCCCGGCCTCTCGTCCCCGCCCTTCAACTACCGAACGTCAAGTACGGTATCACTACCGTCCGGCCGGATCGCAACAGATATAGACTCCAGGCCCGGAATCCTAGCTTCTGGATTGCCTAAAGCTCAAAAGATTTGAGGTATGCAACTGCACGCTCGGCTCGAAGAAACTCGCCAAGATTCAATCGCGCAGACCTTACCTAAGAGCCTCATAGCTCCGTCACGCCATCACTGACGTCAACAGCGCATCTCTCACAGGCCTGGAGGCCGCTCGTTTGACATGGATTCATCGTAAACCGAGAGAATTGAGAGATCTTAACGATATCTATCATATATATCGACCCACTATGTCTTCGCATGAGATCCGGGACGAAGAGGACGGGACCATTGCATGCTGCGCGCCGTTAGGTAAACTCACTGAGCCCGTGCAGGTCGCTGAGGTCAGGTAGGCATGCAATCTCAGGAATGGCAAAAATTGAAGGCTTTCTAACATGTATATGCAGGGATGGGTATGGCGGCGACGACGCATTCTGGACGTGGCCCTTTTTCGGGCCCTTGTTGTTCGAGAACGAGAGCAGCGATGCGCGAGACCACTGCGCAAATGAGAGGAGTTTGTCTCCCTCTTCACTTCCCCGGGGTTTCAGATCACTCACACAGTCACCAGCATTCCTCTCATATTTGAGACTGTCGGTCTACATGGCTGTTGTATCAGTGGCTCTTGTGCTGTCATTCCATCTGAAGCATCAGCCTACCGACATAGAGTTGCGGATGGCGAAGCCGCTGGGTGCGATATTCTGGGTTCTCTCCGTAGCATCCTTGATTTTAGGTCTTGGGAACTACATCAGTAAGTCTCGGCAACTGTATATGGCAATGTGCGATGCTTACTGTGCAGAAACTGTGAATAAGTACAGTCGACGGGCTGCGATTGTTCAGACTGGATGGAGGACACAATCAGTACGTATGACGCCCGCTACCATTCAGATGGACACTAACAAGATTACAGGTATTGGCTGCAATATCACTGAGCATAGTGGCAACATGTATCACTCTCCTCGTCGTCAACAGATGGGGAGAAAATGTCGAAGATGATTGAGCTTCTCAAAATCTGGAAAGACACTTAGCGTTGCCTGATGCCGTCTTGTTGGTATATACAAGAGGGGCTATCGCTATTCAATATATACCGCGAGGAACAAGAACATAAGACCCTCGAAGATGAAAACAACGCTGATGCCCTAGAAATATTCCATGCTCTTCGATACTGCTGATTCCACCGTGCAATTCACTTGCTAGTGCAGAAGAGATCTCTGGCCGATTTATCCGGCAGAGTCTCGGTCGTACGCTCCGCTGTACATCCACCAACTGATCGCTTAAACTCCGTCGCAAAAGATAATGCGTCATCGTTGATTTGTTTTAGATTTGTCTGCTTACCATTCCAAGACAGCAAGGGCAAATCGTTGAAAGGTGCAAGAGTTCCTCCATCTGGTAGACTGTCCAAGAGGCCTCCTCGTGCCAAAGTGATCTCTTGAACATTGTCTGCATCTTGCGGCATTTCTTTCTCATATTCTTCGGGCGCTTTATAAAGTTCGTTATGAACAGTGGCTAAATTGGTCGCTGTTTTCTGGCTTGGATAGAGCGTCCAATATCCACGAGCCCGGGAGAGCCTCAAGGCATGTTCCAGCCACGAGGGAAACTTCTTGCTGACCAGCTTCTGTGCCAACATTTCTGGAGGCGTCTGGAAATTCCGCTGGATTTGAAGGAGTTGAGACACGAAGCCATGTAACTCAGCCCACTTCTCACCAAAGAAAAGCGCAGCATTGCTATTCGGGGCCTGCCAGAGGAAGGAGGTCTCCTTATCTGCGCCTTTCTCGACAGACTTGGCAGATTCAAGCCTTGGAGGTTGGGAAAAGGATCCAGAGCCATCGATATATGTTGACGGCATCTCTAAGCTCACTGCCAGGAGTCTCGTACCCCACTCTTGAAGCACTGCTGCATTCGAGTACTTGTACTCCAAAACAGTGTATTTGAGGTCTAGATAGGAGCACCCTCGTGTTAGCCAGCTTTTGAGAATAACATTCCAAGGTATGGTCAAGGCGAAATGCAAACCCAATAGGGGCACTTACAATGGAAGAAATGACGAGATAACTCTACTTGAGGTGAAAGCACCAGAATGTGATTGTCTCTTGGGCGGGCAGGCCAGAAAGACTCGAGAAATCGGATTGAACTCTCTTCTTCGCTTATACCACGCCGTGGAATTCGGTGTCTTAAAGACAGCTGCTGTACATTGTTTGGATTTGGAACATGCGCAGGCGGCCATCGAAATGTCTCGAGGAACTTCTCTGTTGGCGGATCGATCTTTTGCGGAAGCTCGATAGTAAGATGGGGAACAGAGCTCGAAGTGTAATCGGCGGCACTTAGGGATCTTAGCAGCCGTATTAACCCTCCAGAAGATTCATGAGGTGCTTGAATCAGAATATCGATGTTCACGTTGTTCCAAGCTATACGATCTGTTAGTAAGGAAGTGGTTCATAGATATCCGGTGACATACCGGCCAAAGACAGGCTATCCAATTTGGTCAACCAGTTCAAACGATCCACAGCATGTTCAGGTAGTTCAATCAGAGGCGCTCCCAACACAGTAGCTTGTTCTCTGATTGTTCTCAGAAAATCATGACTTTCTGACAATGAGGAATCAACGATCAAGGCCTGTGGGTGCATGTATACATGAATGTGATCTGATAATTCGTTAGAGCCGAAGTGATGCTAGACGGATCTGCACTCACATAACGCACGAATAATGCCATTCACGAGACGAGCATCGGTTGACCTGGCCGAGTTGTCCGGCCGCGCATCTGCCAGCTGTCAGCTCTGTGTCGGGTAGGTATCCAAGGGGCTGCCCCAGCCCAACATACCATGAAATATGATGTGGCAGGAGTCATCGATTCCATTGATCTTCTGCAACTCTTCGATGTCAATCTCGCTTCTGCTCATCAAAGCGAAATGAACGTAGCTCCTTAATTCCATTCCCATCTGGCACGCGACTGGCAGCAATGTTGCTGCACTTTTGAGGCTAGATGCCACAAATAGGATATTCTTATTCAAGGGAGCTCCACCTCTTGTATTCTGGATCGCGTGCAATGAGCTTGCCAGATTGACAAACTTGACTGGTCCATTGTAGTCCCGGGTGGAGGACGATTCGGTGGATGGCTGCTCCTGCTTCGATTTGACCGGTGGCGGTGCTTGTTTCTGCGGCCTCCTCGGTGGTGGCTTGACGACCAGTTCACCGTCTTCGGGTGGAAGGTATATCGGACGGCCACTTCGCGCAGGCCCAAGGTCGGTGGGAATGTTCTTAATGAACAGGTAGACCACAGAGAGGGCCAAGAGTAGTAAGCCCAGTCGCTTGAAGGTCTTGCGCGGGGGCACGCGAGCAGGTTGCCAGGGGCCCGATCTGTAGCCCTTCTTGGTAGATTTATGATCGTCGTCCTTCTTCCCCATCTCCTCATCGCTGAGGAATAGGGATTGCATGTTGGCCCATAGGCGATTCGGCATGCTCCGCGCGAGCTTCGATGGAAGGATTCAAGGAGCCTTAAGCTGCGATGTCGTAGCTAGGGTTGTCTGGGGCGTCATCTCATCGCCGCATTGCTTTGCATGAGAACGAGCGCGCGCGGAATATGGATGCGCTGAGCAAGTCTAAGGAGCTACTCGATTGGACACAGTTGGGAGGTGGCCTCGGGCACGACTCGATATTGTCGGGTTGATCTGGCGGCTGAAAGCTCGTTTGGACCCTTGACACTGGGATCGATCATATAAGGTAAGCCCCCCGGACTTCATGGCAGGTAGCTGCGACCGTGGCACTACCGGCCGCTTGTTCAGGCACCCCTTGTTGATCTCTCTCGGGTGGCCCCACCTAATTGGCTATGTGTCTGTGCGCCTCTCTAGAACACCCCTCCAATCAGGTCTGTTAGAGAAGAATTGATGGAAGAATATTGAAGATCACAAAAAATTCAAGTCCAAACAATTCTCATATTTCCTCACGGACCAGCAGAGTTTCAGCGGAACTTTTGCAGGCGAATTTGCCGATAACTGAGTCACCATGGGCAAATCACGGAGGAACAGAGGTGCTCGTCGAGCTGACCCTATTGCGAAGCCTGTAAAACCTCCATCAGATCCTGAGTTGGCTGCCATCAGAGAGAAGCGGATTCTCCCAGTGATGAAAGACCTGCAGAGCTCGGAGCCCAAGGCGCGAACTGCCGCTGCAGGTGCGATCGCAAACATAATTCAAGACACAAAATGCCGAAAACTTCTACTACGCGAACAGGTCGTCCATATTGTTCTCACCGAAACCCTCGCAGATTCTAGCATTGAGAGCAGGGCTGCCGGATGGGAGATCCTCAAGACGTTAGCAGCTGAGGAGGACAGCGACTTCTGCGTGCATCTATATCGCCTAGATATCCTTACTGCGATTGCACATGCGTGTAAAACTGTATGTTACTGACCGCCACCACGTTTGCTTGTCTAGCTAACAGTTGAACAAAGGTCGTGCAAGCGCTCACAGCCCAGAGTCCGCCGTTTGCACAAACACCCAAAGCGCAGCAACGCTTCGTGTGGGATATTTGTAGTTCAGTGCTCTCACTTGTTGGCGCTCTGGTTGTTGCACGAGACGAGATTGTGGATGCTATCATCAAAAATGAAGATATATTTCGCCTTCTTTTCACTCTGGTCTCATATAACTCAACCCCCCTTGAGGTGTTTGAGGAGACACTTACATGCTTGATGGCACTATCTGAGGATAACTTGCAAGTCTCGCAACTGATTCTGGCCGATCCATCAAACAGCTTTAAACAGCTCATTAAATTCAAGTCTGCCAGTGGCTCGCGAGCAGTGCTGGCCTGCGGTGTGCTTCACAATATGTTCGCAGCCCTTGAGTGGCATGATCACAGTCCAGGACAAGATGGCGCAACTGACGCCGCCTTGATCCCCGCCTTGACACGACTTTTGGAACAGACCAAGACGGAGACGACCACGGCGAACGGGAATGCTTCCATGACTCCAATTGACGTCCTACAGCTCGCCCTTGAGATCTTGGCTTCCATCGCCACAGACCTCCAGGGTTCCTTGGAGAAAGGCAATAAAAGAGAAGAGGAATGGAACGGCATAGGTGATGACACAGAGATGAATCAAGATCAGGAGGGAGAAGAAGATCCAGAAGAAGATGGCGAGCATGGCGAGCATCGAACCGATGATGATGTCGAAATGGACGAAGATGAAATGGAAGCCGACATGGAGATGGTCACAGGGGCAGATGACCATGTCGATGATGTCTCTGGAATTGACGACATTCCTACCCTTCGAGAGCTTATTCAAAAGGCGATACCACAACTCATTCGTTTATCAAATGCTCCGCTATCGTCAGACGAGGCGCTTGCTATCCAGATGCACTCCCTCTCGGCGCTCAACAACATAGCATGGACAGTATCATGCATTGATTTCGCAGATGGCGAGAATGGCAACATCTTCCAGGTTTGGGCTCCGGCCGCGAAGAGAATCTGGTCCAAAGTCATCGCACCAATCCTGGCGACTGATACAGCCGACATTAACTTGGCAGCGGTCGTCGCCAGCTTGGCTTGGGCTATTGCTCGTAGTCTTCAAGGCTCTGTTCCATTGTCTGGTGATGAGCATCGCAAATTCATGTCGCTCTATCAGGCTTCCAAGAAACTCGACCAAGACAAGGAAGCCGCCACACCTTCAGAATCGGACCCCGAAGATCCTTTCCAAGGATTGGGCGTCAAGTGTATCGGTGTGCTCGGCCAACTTGGACGGGATCCTGCACCCATTCCTCTCAATCGCGAAATCGGTATCTTCCTTATCACTGTCCTCTCTTCCCTGCCTGAAATACCTACTGCCGAGGCGATTGAGGCCCTCAACCAGTTGTTCGACATTTACGGAGACGAGAAATTAGAATGCGATCGAGAGGTGTTCTGGAAAGATAATTTCCTCAAACATCTCGAAGAAATCTCTCCCAAGGCGAAGACAATGGCGAAGTCTATTGACAAGCGGGCACAAGGGGAGCTAAGATCCCGAGCAGATGAGGCCGTGTTGAATCTCAACAGGTTCATACAATACAAGAAGAAGAACAAACCGTAGAGTACGGCAGAGTTTATATCAAAACCATTCAGCACAAATGGCGGGCGGTCACAGTATCCAGGGGAAGAAATCCGGTGCGAGGCTTGAGAGCATCGCCGCGACGAGCCACGGGCATAGATATAGGAGCATAACCACTGAGTTTCAACACTGTCACATCAGACGCTTACCATGTTTGAGGACACATATGACGGAATCTATCCGTCTCATCTATCAAGAATGTCAATAGAACACAAGGAGCGGAGTGTGAGACACTAGACAGATCATGCAAACCTCATGTCAAAAAGGCCATAGGCAAAAGTATCGTTGCCCAAGGCACATTCAGCAAAAAAAGCTGCTTGCCATGGCGAGTGCTGAGTTGGTTAGGTCCATAGACTGACATTATCTCTCGAAAGCACTCACGTAACTCCCATACCATAATAATACCTCGCTCGTAATCTAATGTCCCTATCCCGGGGGCCCATGTCGTAAAGCGCGAAGAAAAAATCCCAATACCCTAGAACAGATCAGCCGATGGGCTTCAGCTTCTTCTTCTTCTTCCCCGAATCACCACCCGTCTTGCCCTTCTGGAATTGCCTCCAGCTATCGATACGCTGGTCACGTGTTGCCTCCCAGTCCTGCTCGTGCTGCCTCTTGCGCTTGCGATCTTCAATCTCCTCGTCCTGACGCTTCTGCTCACGACCCTCTTCTTGCATCTGGGCCTTCATCTGGCGGCGGCGCCGGTGCTCGTTGTCAATCAGCACTTCCTTGGTCTTCTCTCGCCACTTCTTGGCGAAGTCGTCCGTCTTCAGCTCCGGGCTGTCGACTGTCCACTTGTTCTCGCGGATCAGCAGCATGCGCGCGTCCGCTATGGCCTCATCTAGATTACTGCGGTGCTTCTCGTCCATCAGCTCCGTCTGCGCCTTCTTCAATCGGTCGAAGGCATCTGGCGCCAGCGGGTTCTTCGTTTTATCAGGATGGATGAGTAGAGACTTTTTACGGTAAGCGATTTTGATGTCGGACTCGGGAATTCCAGGCTTTAGGCCCAAAACGGCGTAGGCATCTAGTCGGAAGGCCTTGAGAATTCGGTCGATCTCTGCATCCTAAGCAATTCTCGTTAGCTGTTTGTCACACCTGCACGGGTACCAGGGACTTGTACCTTCTCCCACTCTTTGCCTTCTGCCTCGAGGATGTCCAAGGCATCCCTCGTGTCGGAAGGGTTCTCATCCTTGGTCGCCATGTTGTAGACTCGTGTCCCGGAGAATGACAAGCAGGAGTGGACTTTGACTGAGTGAGGATGAAAGGATTAGCCGTTATGAGGAGGAGGTTACACCCGCGAGGTAATGCGCTCCTGCAACCTTGCAGCAGGTTGGGGCTGATTGGTGGCGCGATAAGGTACAATCGATAAGACCGATAAGAGGCCCCACTGAAATTTTCTGAGCATGCGACCCCGTGAAGTGACTTTCTGCAGCAAAAATTCCCATGCCCGCTTCACTTCAGCACCTACATAATACACGGTGTAGTGTGACCCGACCTCCACCCGACCGCAAACCCTTCAAGATGCCTCGCCGAGCTGCATCCCCGGCGGCATCTGAGAATGAGGTCGACATTTTCGATTCTCTCTACACAGAGGACCATGAGGGGCAGGATAATGCGCCGGCGGCGGACAATGGATTCGACTTCCTCGAAGGAGGGGATGGCGAGGACGAAGCCGATGGCGACGAAGCTTTCATTGCCTTGAAGCAGGCGGCTTCGTTTCGAAAGACAACAAATGTAAAAGGAAAAACGGGCAAGAAAAGCGGCGGTTTCCAGTCAATGGGTATGCTTCACTCCAGATACTTCACCATCGTTGTCAACAACTGACAAATTTACAGGACTCAATTCCCATTTGCTCCAAGCGATTCAGAGAAAAGGCTTCTCAGTCCCGACGCCCATCCAGCGCAAAGCTATACCACTTATCATGGACCGTAAAGATGTAGTGGGAATGGCCCGGACTGGGTCTGGAAAGACCGCCGCCTTCGTTATCCCGATGATCGAGCGGCTCAAGGCACACAGCGCCAGGGTTGGTGCGAGAGCACTGATCATGTCTCCCTCGCGTGAACTGGCTCTACAGACTCTAAAAGTCGTCAAGGAGTTTGGCAAAGGCACAGATTTGAAGAGCGTACTGCTTGTTGGTGGTGATAGTCTGGAAGACCAGTTTGGCTTTATGACAGGCAATCCGGATATTATCATCGCAACACCCGGTCGCTTTCTGCATTTGAAGGTGGAAATGTCTCTGGATCTATCATCAATCCGATACGTTGTGTTCGACGAAGCCGATCGTTTATTCGAAATGGGATTCGCGGCACAACTCACCGAAATTCTCCATGCACTACCACCATCAAGACAGACACTGCTCTTCTCTGCCACTCTTCCAGCGTCCTTGGTCGAGTTTGCGCGGGCTGGTTTACAAGATCCAAGCTTGGTGCGACTTGACGCAGAAACCAAAGTCTCCCCAGATCTTCAAAGTGCATTTTTCTCTGTCAAGGGAGCAGAAAAGGAAGGCGCTCTACTTCACATATTGCATGATGTGATCAAAATGCCTCTCGGCACACCTGAGGATGCCCAGCCAGAATTCGACAAATCCTCGAAGAAAAGGAAGCGAGGCGAGAACCCCAATGTCAGAGAAAAGCCGAGCGAGCACTCGACAATCGTTTTCACCGCTACGAAACATCATGTGGAGTACGTGGCGACGGTTCTACGAAGTTCTGGGTTTGCAGTCTCACACGCGTATGGTGCACTAGACCAGACGGCGCGCAAGATGCAAGTCGAAGACTTTCGAAAGGGAAGAACGAACATCCTTGTTGTGACGGATGTTGCGGCTCGAGGTATCGATATCCCCGTTTTGGCGAATGTCATCAATTACGACTTCCCGGCGCAACCGAAGATCTTTGTACATCGAGTCGGGCGAACTGCACGTGCTGGACAAAGGGGTTGGAGTTACAGTATCGTACGAGAAGCGGACGCTCCCTACCTTTTGGATCTCCAGCTGTTCCTCGGTAAGAGATTAGTGGTTGGCCAAGAAGCAGGCGAACAGCCCTCATTCTCTGAGGATGTTGTTGTGGGCGCTCTCCGTCGAGCTGATGTTGAGTCGAATGTCGAGTGGGTGAACAAGCTCCTAGATGACGAAGAAGACATCAACACCCTTCGCCAAGTTGCGAGGAAGGCTGAGAGGCTTTATGTAAAGACCAGAAATTCTGCTTCGAGTCAGAGCGCAAAGCGAGCTCGAGAAATCGTGGCTTCTAAAGCCTGGATGCAGCTTCATCCGCTCTTTGGAGAAACAACTGATGATATCGAGTTTGCTCGCGCTGAAATGCTCGCAAAGATTAGCGGCTTCAGGCCACAAGAAACGATCTTTGAGGTCAGTATGACCAGCAAGCCTGTGCATAGCAAGGCAGCAGAAGTCATGAAGAACTTGAGGAAGAAGATTGTACCGCGGAAGTCAGCACATAAGGATGAGATACCAGTCGAAGAATCTGATGATGATTTGCCGTCCAAGAACGCCGACGCATACGACAGTGGGAGCGACGATGAAGACGTTGTGGATGAGGACTTGGTAGTGGCACAGAATGAAGCTGAAGTGTCTGATTTGGATGAGGATTCAGATGATGGTCTTGAAGTTACAGTATCGAGCAATAAAGCTCATAAGTCAACATCATCATTTCAGGATGAGGACGTCTTCATGTCATACACACCGAAAACAATCAATACCGCTGAGGAACGGGGATACGGTGTCCACTCGGGCTCTCACGGAGCAAATTTCACCGAGGCAGCACGAGATGTCACAATGGACCTTACGAATGACGACGGTGCGAAAGCATTTGGCATGCCTACTCGTTCAAAGATGCGCTGGGACAAGAAGAACAGCAAATATGTGTCCACGGCTAACGACACGGATGGTAGCAAGGGAGCCAAGATGATTCGCGGCGAGAGCGGTGTCAAAATCGCGGCGAGCTTCCAGAGTGGTAGATTCGACAAATGGCGCAAAGCAAACCGGCTTGGGAAACTTCCTCGGGTTGGCGAGGCTGAGCGCAACAATACCGTTCGCCAACTAAATAACGGTGGTTTCTGGAAGCACAAGCAAGAAAAGGCGCCGAAGGAGGCGGACAAATTCAGGGACGACTATCATGTGCGCAAGAAGCGTGTAGCCGAAGCTAAGGAGAAGAGAATTGGCAAGTACAAGGACGGAGAAGGAAGCAAGAGGGAAATCAAGAATGCAGACGATATCCGCAAGGAACGCAAGGTCAAGGAGCTCAAGAGATTAAAGAATGCTCGTCCTGCAAAACGCGCCAAGAGGTAGTAGTAGTCTTAGGATCATCACCCCAAACGGGAGACATTAAATACTACAGAATCTCAGAGATGCCAATACTCTCTTGACGTGTTTTTGAATATGTTCGTCTACTCAACTCATTTCACACTTCCCTTGTTCAAATGTGCTCACTCGGGCGACCTCTTACATGCCGGGCGGGCTTACGTCATTGGTCACTAGAAGCAAGATCTGGGCTCAACAGCTCGACGCCTCCGCCATCACTAATAGGACATTGATGCATGAAAAAGCCCGTCTTTAGTCCATCATTTCTCTTATAAGAAGTCTGAAGGGTGCTTGGTCTGCGATCACCGCCTGCCGCTTTTCTTCCAGCTATATTGTCGTGCCAGGGCCGGAATTTGAATACAACCCTTGGTACATAGCATCCACTTACACGCCGCCACCAGCCAAAATGGCCGTCCGCAAACGCTGCCTCCTCTGGGACTGGACCAACACGCGAGACATGCCCGACACGATCGAGCAGCTCAACTTCTCGGGACCCTTCAGCTCCGTCGCGAACTGGAACCCGTGGGTCCCTCCGGAACTCAAAGGCCGGCTGCCCTACCGGCCGACGATCCGCACACCCGCTCAGCTCGAGGGCAACGACTGGGCGATGATCGCCGACTACGAGCGCAACCGCCACGAGGTCGTGCACTACTTCAACGAGCCGGAGCGCATCCCGGGCTGCACGCCCGAGCTCGCGGCCGACAAGTGGGCGACGCAGGTCGTGCCGCTGCTGCGCGCGACGCAGGGCCGCAAGCTGGTCGGCCCGGCCGTGGCGAGCGACGACGCCGGCCGCGCGTGGCTGCGGCGCTTCATGGCGCTCGTCGCGGGCTGCGTGCCCGACTACCTCGGCGTGCACTACTACGGCACCGTCGCCGCGGAGGCTCGGGCGTACATCACCAGCATGCACGAGGAGTGGCCGTCGCTGCCGGTGGTCGTGTCCGAGGTGGCGAGCATCAGCCGGTCAGGACCTGAGGTCGAAAAGTTCACTGCTGAGCTGGCCAACTGGCTGGATGAGACGGAGTGGGTGTACGAGTACGCCTTCTTCGGCTGCATGAACCATTGCGCGGACGACTTCGTAAGTCCTGCAGCTCAGCTGATGGACAAGGATGGCAAATTCACGCCTCTGATGAAGAGGTTGATGGACGAGCAGCCAATGAAGGTTTGAGTGATACGGCTCTTAGGTCGCTGGCGACCGTCCATGACCAAGTCTTGGCTGTGATCATTGTACAAATATCCTTCTAGAGTAGAAACAACCTACATTATCCCGGCGCTGCAGAAGGAGCTCGTGACCTTGCTTATCTTCGACGGTCAATTACAGCTGTGGGTCAAATTAGGAGAAATCAGGGTAATATACAATTACTCTTGGCTATACCCGCGGAGATCACCAAGCGGGTCAGTTAGGAGATAGGTCATCTTTTGTGTAATTCATTATCTCATTAAAAGCAGAGATGCCGCTTCGCCCCCATACACGCGCGTAAATCACCACATATCAAATCGAAATAGTCCTCGCGTCTCTCATAACACCAACAAGCAAACAAACGCAGCGATCCCTGTTGTATTCTTCAAGAGTAATTGTTAATTTTCAGTCGGGTGGGTTTGATTCGTATCCCTACTAGTAGAAGGCATCTTCATCGTTCCTGAGAACTCTGGGCTGTTGAAATTGAGGCCTTATACTTTCTTTGATGCCACATTTCTTCCTTCCCAATTTGTGCCACAGAAGGCAGTTTCGTCTATCAACAGACATGAACCAAAAGAGTAAAAGTAAAAGGAACAGTGAGTAGGTTTAATGTTGATATTTGTTCACCTTCTGGATAAGGGCAACGAAATTGATGATGAAACCCCAACCAGTGTACGCCTTGTGTTGCCCTAATGATCTTTTTCGTGCATATACACAGAAACCTCGATATTACAGGAATTTATACATAGATACAATGAAATACTTGAGTCAAGTGTGGGCTGCGTTGTTTCTAGCAGCATACGCGGGGTATAATGTCAGGAGCCTTACTCCACCTTTGCTGGATAGTCTGCAAACAGCTTTTAGCGAAGAACGTGTCAGAACATAAAACAGGTCAAACTTACACCAAGCGCAAACGGCGATGATGACGTAAAGGCACATGAGAAGTTTTCCTTCAAGCCAATGGCTCTTACCGTCTCCGATGAGATAGTTGACCAGGAGAACAGACACAAACATGACGACGACCTGGAAAACATCGAAGGCAAGGTTCATATCGTCACGTCCCATTCCCCAGCCAATGACGACAAGAAGAGGAATCAGGAAGAGAGCAACTTGCACTAAAAGAGAAGGTTAGCGTTTTTTAAATAAGGATAGCTCATGAGTTGGACGTACTGCTAGAACCAACGGCAACTCCAATAGCCAGATCCATCTTATCCTTGATAGCGACGGTAACAGCAGTAGCATGCTCTGCTGCATTACCGACAATGGGTAGAAGAATGAGACCAAGGAATTCTTCACTGAGGCCGCCCTCTCTCACCACATAGTCGATGCTGTCAACCAAAAACTCGGCGCAGAAGGCAATAACAACAGTCACCCCCACGAGGGTACCAAGCGCAACGGCAAAGCTCAGTTGTGGGTCCTCCCCTTCCTCTTCTGCGTCGTTTGCTCCGGGGTTATCCATCAACATCTTGGAAAGTCTCTCATTGTCTGAGCGTCCTGGAACTGCATGACCCATTAAACCGGCGGGGCCGAGAACACCCGCCTGTATCGCACCGTCTTTCAGCTCATTCTTGCGCGGCCGCATCGGTACCTTCTGGCTCTCCTCGCTGAACACCGCATGATGAGTCTTGAGTTGGAAGTATAGGTAGCCAGCATAAACGAAAAGGAGAATGATGGCTGTGCCTCTCGACAGAGCGGCCGTCTGGGACTGCGCAAGGTCGGTAATCTGCTCGAAGACTGTAGGCACAATGATACTCCCCACGGCCAAAGCCAGCAGACTAGCCGCAGTTTGTGCCACTGTCGTGTTGAAGTACTGCTCCTGTCTGCGCAGACCGCCGAAGAAGAAGCACATACCCAGGACAAGAAGCAGGTTGGAAAGAATACTGCCAATAAGAGAAGTCTGGACAATGACAATTTTTCCTTTGACCAAGGCCATAATGGCGACAATCAGCTCAACGGCATTTCCGAATGTGGCATTGAGAAGACCACCTAGAGTTTCACCAGTCCGGAGAGCGATCTCCTCTGTTGCAAAGCTCAACATAGCTGCCAACGGAATAATCGCCACGAAGTTCACAATGAAGATGGCATAGTGATTCATATGCGGGATCGCGCCGAGGATGATGCCGACGGGAGCAGCAATAAGAAGGATGTTGATCCAGGAGTTCAAGAACGTTCGTTGGAATTGATTCCTGAAGGTAAAAGGTTCCTTGGGATGGATGGTCTTGAATAGCCGGTGCTCTTTCTTCGGTTTCTCTTCAGGCTCATCTTGCGCAGCCTCCTTTGTTGATTCTGGTTTCCTGTTTCTCATGCTTCCCTCGCCACCTCCTGCCGCTGTTGGTTTATGCGATGGGTCTATCGCGGTTTCACCGCTATATTGCTGGCCGTCATTGTTGTCGTCGTTTGAAAAGTCCTTGGCCTCTTGCTCTTTGTGGATGGTGCCGTTTCCATCCTCCTCGGAGAAGCCTCTGGGTGAGTATCGCTCGGGTGCCGTTTCCGCATGGGTCATAGGCACTCCATCATCGGTGACTGCACGCTCACCCCGGCCTTCCTCCATGTCAGGTCCCCATGTTTGCGACTTTTGTTTCCTTTCCCAAGACAAATGCCGAAAAATGTTCCACTTCTCATTTGTTTGGCGGCGGCTCAAGATGTGTGCCTGTCGCTTGGTCTTGGCGTGATTCCCTGAAGAAAACATGTTAATGGTTTGTTTGTGGTGTGGTGTATGGCTGTAGATGGCCGTGAGGCCATGTCCCGGTGCCACAGGAAATTGGCGTCACCAGGTAATCGCGCAGTGGCACAAAGTTGGGTCAACCGCAAAACAAGATTGTTCCAATTGGCTGTGCAGTGCGCGATGAAGAGTAGGTGATAAAGAAGGCGACGAAGATTGACGGCGGTGAAGGGGAAGGTGGGAAAAATAGAATCGAATCAAGATAATACAAAAGAGAAGAGAGGCAGGTGAGGGGAGTGGGAACGTGGGCAGCCAGCAAAAGAATGTCAGGCTGTAATCGACACGGAGGAAGAGGATGGTGAGAGGATGGGATTGGATGGAGGGAAAAGTAGGTGTGTGCTGGTCTTGTTTGTCTGGGGCAAGGTTACGTACAGTGACCCGGGGCCATTGTTGATTTTTTAGCGGCCCTTCTGCGACTAACGTAGGTAACTTAAATTTGGCCAAGCTGGCCAAGATCTCTGCAAATGGAGAGACACGTCCGAGGGCAGACTGCTTAAAAAGGAGGACCCAAAGACCTCCCAAGACACGCTAAGATGCTCGAATAACTGTCAAAGCAGCTGTCTTTTGCTGTTTCGAGCGTCGGCACTGCACCTAGTCTGTCGTAAGGTATACTGCGGTCAAGACTCGTGGCGCTGTACTAGATGATAGCTTCTGCGCGCGCGCGCGAAGACGGAACTCGGTCGGTGCCGCTGGACTGCGTAACTCTGCCTCGTCAGGCTGACTGTTTGTTCGTCTCAAGGGGCTCGGCGAGCGATGATGGCGCTACGAAGTTGGTAACAGTGAGTCGCCAAGGGATGCGCTGGTGGGTATCCCCGTCAGTAAGCCGGAAATCCAAATCTAAACGGTGCTGTGCTCGGCGAGGAGAGACAAAGACGAGTTGCGATCTGCTCTGTCGGAGAGTCTTGTCGCCGACAACGCGCGTGTAGTACGAGGAGAGCGAGAGAGCTGCGCCTACCTGATGCTGATGAACGTTCCGCTGGGAGTTATGGCTGGGTACAGTACCAGAGGCCAAGACCGTAAGAAGGAGAGAAAAGGAGGCGGACCAGGAAGGGAGAGTGTGCGTCTAATATTATTACCATTACGATTGATAGACAGACAGACAGACAGATAGACAGAACACAATACGTAGGTATGAGGGCTTGATACCCGTCTTTTGCCAAGACTCATCCAGCTTGTTTCATCAAAGGAAAGGGGCCAGTGAGCGGGAGTGTAGTGTACAATGACCGACCCAGACTATCAAACCTCATGCCGCCACCAGTGCACCTTGCGCCTGTTGGGACTGCAAAATGCAGCAAGAGGCAAGGGCCTCCGGCAGGTAGGTACCTTCCTTCCCACCTTGCAAATCAGCTAGCCTAGGTAGCTAGCCAGCTAGCTAGCTGAAATGTTATTTATTACAACAAAGATCCCCACAAGGAAGGAAGCTACGAGGGACGCGACTTCCTCTAAGCCTTTGTCTACATGGCTGCTCAAGAGTCATGTTCCCCGTACAGCCTTCCGAAACAGCGGTCGATAAAACTGTCGGTAGGTGAAGTGGCTGGTAATCTGAAGAGCCGGATGCAGTCACAGCGCATCTGGATTCCACGTACGGAGTATGACCGTGAGATATATCGTAGACGACGTAATGCTGCAGCTCCCTATTTTGGGCGTATTCTTGTCCAACGCGAGCTGGCTTCCCGCCAGAAATGACGTCTGGGCCGCCCAGCACTACCCTGGCGCCGTCCTCCTGCAAGACCGCCGTTATCGAATTTGCACGATTGGCTTCCCTTGATCTAACAAAGGAAAAATGGTTATTCGCACGACGATGTCCACGATGAATGTCGATCGTCTGGTGCCAGGTACGCTGCTACACAGTACGCACAATGACGCCAGTCCACAAAACGGAAGAGGGCGACTCAATTCAAGCTTTGCCAATGCTCTGCCAAGGTCATCCAGCTGCCTCCCAAGACCCAAGACTCACCAAGAGGCTGGCCCACCCACGCGTGCACCCGTCTTGTCGCTACACTTGGCATTGCTTGACTTGACTCTGGTCGCACATGACTTGGCACCTGGGGTAACAAAATGTGAGACAGTGAGATAATCCAATTCATCGCAAATAACTGCACTGTCATACCAGTCACTATTTCCTCTCGTCGCAGAAATTACACGAGAACAACAGCACAGTCATTTTTGCTCCATCACAGCGCAACCAACCCCACAATGATGGGCGACTAGCGAGATTCGCCCATTTGGGGGTCGGAGGCCTCGCTGACTCTCCAATGGAAAGGGAGCGGCAACAAAAGCGCTGCTGCGAATCGTCCAAGTGCCGCGTCCTACCCCACTACGTCAGGATACTCCTGAAAGCCAGGGGGGGACATTGAAACAACTCTGACGACTGTGTTCCTCGTCTTCCTATTGAGTTGGTCAGACTTGCGAAGCTGCACGGTCGTGGCAACAGACCAACCACACCTCGCCGCGAACGCCAACGCACTTCGTGTGGCTTTGCGCCTATCGATACGCCTGTCCGCTTCATGGGAAGATTCCACAGGACTCCTGATAGGCTGGCATGCAGACATTGCAGCTCCTTCGACAGGGCAGTCTCGCCCTGGCAACTAGGGACGCTAGGGCCAATCACTGAGCATCGTTTTTCATTCCTCAGATAGTTTTCTACCTGCAACAAGCTATCACAGTAAGCTACCTATACAATAGACATATATTACATAGCGGCTTTGTCATATCCACGTAGTCCGCAAAGGAAGGCTCATCGCCCCAAGGACCCATCGTACTGCACACTGCCCCGTCTGAGGAGCTGCGAAGCTGACAGCGCCGGGCTTCCCAGCCTAGGACTTGGGCTCGCGGCCTGCGCTGCAATCACCGCAGGAGGCAGCCCAAGAGTCGGGATGCTAGATTCAGGGACAGGCTCGAGCAGAGACGACGCGCCCACTACAGGAGTCGAAGTCGCCGAGTGGACTCCTTTCTCCAGAATCTCCCTGTAGAAGGCATCAAGCTGCGTCTCATCCACGCAGAACGTCTCCAACGCATCTAGAATCGATTGTGGATCGGTGAGAGGCGTCGCCGCCTTTGCAGCTGGTCCCACAGGCTCACTTGTAGCCCTCACAACGGGAGATGCGAACAGAGATGGTCGCAGCATTGGCGATGGAATGGGTGTCGCCTCCGAGATGCCATACGGCGTGTAGTTGCCCATCGATGGGCCACGCCCCATCCCCATGCGCTCTTTGTTGGCATACGTCTGCTGGTCATTGACTCGCATCTCCTTCTCCAGCGCGGCCATGGCTGCCCGACTGCTATATAGTCGATTCGCGAGGAGCAGCAGCTCACCCTTGTCGGTGATCTCTGCCAAGATCACGCCTGAGCGGTGTATATATTGTGAGTATTTGAAGTCTGGTCTGCCCCAAGAGTAGGTCACGTCCACATTGCTCGGGAAGTTTGATGCCGCCTCCGTATCAAGGACGAAGTCGAACTTGCGGAGTATGGCTTTCTCGTAGAAGTGTTTCCCTGGTTGAGCTTGTGGAGCGAAAGAATTGGGATCATAATACGTTATGGGCTGTCGATCTGGCGGAGGAAGAGTGAGCTTAATTCGGTACGGTTTGCGGAATGGGTTGACATCGCTAATTGAGCAGGCTTCCGATATTGGTACTTCAACTAGTCGGAGACCAAACCTCGCGGCATCTCTGGACCAATTTTCTACTACATCTTCGATGAGCTTGGCTGTGACATTCATCCAGTCAAGGCGGATATGATAGCAATTGTCAGGGTTGTGAAGTCTGTCGAAGTGAAGATCGATCCGTTCCGGGCGATATGAGCGCTTCCGATGATCAACATCATATTTCATGACCTTGCTCAGAACAACTCGAGGTCGTTTCCCAGTCACGATGGCCGTTGGGGTCGTGGCGCCAGATATCGGAGACGTTTCTTCATGTATTGAAGTTGGTCGAGACATTCCTGCGCGTGGAGAGTCGCGTGGAATATTTTCTGATAGCGGCGTCGATGGAACAGAAGCAAGCCCTCGTCTGGCACTATTGAACCATCCAGGAGGATGTGGTTTTGCAAACTCGTTGCTGACCTGATAGAAGTACTGCCCATCTCTGAATGGATGACGCCGTTCGACGTGGACGAAAAGGCCATGCTCCTTCTTGGCGCCTTCTTTATCCTTGTCCCGAGTTTTATCATCCTCTGACACCATGAGGGAATCACCCAGGGCTTCAGCCTCTTCGCGGCTTTCCAAGTCCTCAAAATTGTCGAGTAGCCAGCTGGTCATGTCGGATCCGATAAAACAGTTGTAATGTAGTCGAAGATGCCATCTGCGATTTTGCATGCGCACCCCGCCATTCTCGACGGGCTGTTGTATAGCTTCTGCCAACGCCGCGACGCTGAAATTCGACTTTTTGAATTGTTCCTTGTTTGTCACAAGCTGTCCTTTTCTAGCACCTGGATCTAGCCCCTCGAGCAGAGGCAAGGTCTCCAGTTCCGCTGCAATAACAACGGAAGGATCTTCTGTTTTGTACACAATATCAAGGGGATTGGGATCTTTCTTTCGGCGAGGTCCTTGCACTTGGAACCGGCGCTCAGCTGGTGGCAGGTATCGGTGTTTGAGCCACTGCTGAGCCAGATATTTGATGCCTTCCAAGCGGGTTTCCTCTTCACTGTCGCCTTCTCTGGAACCAGCAGTGTGCTTGGACGATATTGGAATCAGGACAAATCGTGCACGCCAGAATCTCAGATTCTCTGACATCCTGTCGTCATGACCTGCAATAAAGGAGTCGATATAACTCCAGTTCCTTTCTATTTTCGGCGTGATGATGTCAATTTCAGCCGTCTCGTACCCTCGATCCAATATGGTACGAATTGCGGGCTTGTATAGAGCGGCTGAATCATCTACGTGAGGTAGTGTTTCTGTGGGCTTGCGTATGTAGATTGTGATTTCGACTTCCGTGCTATTGACGCAAGAAAGCTGATGGATTGTGTTTCCTACAGCCATGAAAACACTTGTTCCATCCTCGATGTCACGGTCAGGACGGAATATATCACCAAGTTTCAGTTGCTTTTGGCCAAATGCTTTGGCGATTGCGGGGCCAATGACTACTTGAAAACCCTGTGAGAATCGCAAGCTGATGAGTTCTCGCAGGAACTCCTCACGACTCCTCGGCTCTTCAGCAAGCTCATCGTCCAAATTCTGTGAAATTGTGTAAGGCTGTCTCTGGTACTCGCCATCGAATTGAGTCTGGGTAGGGAAGTACTCCGTAGTTAGAGGCACGGCCGCAGGAGAGCACAACGCCTTCCATTTCTGCAACCTCATTTCCGATGGACGAACGAAAACGTGCTGCCAGCGACTATAGAGTCGCGCAAAGTCAATTTTGTTGGTATTAGGATTAGATGGATTGAGAACCGTCAACCATGGTGACATGGCTGTTGTTGGAGATAATGTTGTGGGTAGCTCAGGGACAGCTCCTGCAAGAAGTTTGGAGTTGTACATTCGCTGAGCATCTTCTGCTCGTAGTGCGTTGGAGAACTTCAAATCTGGATTGTCTGCGATGAAATCGGAACGTTTCAAGGTAGTTGCCAGTACAGAACCAGATAATAGCTGGGATGACGCATCCAAGGATTGCTGTGCAGTTCTGATAGGTAATGGACGGCTTGGCGTCTCCGCGAAGGACTCTGCAATAGAGCCGAAAGCAGAATGCCTAGGGAATTCCGATGATGGTGTCAGAGTTCCGCTAGAGATGCTTTGAGGCGTAGTAGGACGGTGGGACTTGACAGGCGTCATCCTCGAATTCGAGGTATTGCGAGAAGGTGTTGTTGGTATGGGCCCTTTCTCCGCATTAACAGTTTCTGCTTTCACCTCCGCAACAACTGCCTTTGGTGCAGCTATCCCGAAGCCTTTCTGACCCAGGCTGATCTGCCTCAAAAACTTGGGTGCTTTGGTTGGTGATAGATGAGATTTTATGGTGGCAGCATCCGAACCTCTTCTCGCACTTGAAGAGCCAGTCTCAAGGCGGTCAGTATGGAGCCGATGTGGGACATTCACCACAGGCAACGCCTGACTGCTGACAGAAGATTTCCTGTCTGATATCGAAGTACCGAATAGGCCAGTGTCCTCTCGAAGCTGCCTTCTTGTTCCCTCTTCTAGCTCTTTTACGTGTCGAGAGCGCTTAGAGCTACGCCGTGACAGATTTATATGTGACCTAGCATCATCAAACTCTTGCAATTGCTTCCACAGAGACTTTTCTCCTGCTTTGGAATGTCGATCAGGTGTGAATTTCTGAAAGCCATAAACATAGTCGTAGAGAACATCAGGCACCCGGCGGTTCGGAATGACCGCGACTTGTTGGAGATCCATATGATGGCCCTTCTGAGCTAGGGAAGCTTTCAAAATGCTTTCAGGGAACAGCGGGTCTGCGTGAAGAGGAGTTGTTTCGATCTCATTTGTTTCGAGTACACTCCTCATTTGCAGGTCGTACATCCGACATCGAATTGCGAACTCGTCTTCTGATTGATTTGACTCATCCGCTACTGAAAGGGCGATACCTTGATATGAAAGTCCTTCGCCAGAACTTCCCGTCCAGTACGAGACATGCAGCCATTGGGGTAACGCGAAGCACCAATCCTCATTTGCTCGAGCTAATGACCCAGGATCAAGACGTCCTGAAGTATCGCTCCCTTTATTGGGAGAGAAGGCGCTGCCAACACTTGAATAGCTAGCCGCAAGTGGTGTCGTTGTCTTCGGCGTACTTCCGGGCCCAAGCGCCGATTTCGACTTGGAGGAGTGATGGCCGTCAGGGTTTCGATAGCGGAACAAGGGGACAGAATGCAATGGAATCTTGGGCACGCAGACTAGATCGATACCAATCCCGTTCCCAACCAGTGCTTCTGTTGTTCTTCGAAGAGTTTCGTACTCGACTTCAAATACTCCAGCACCAGGGGTGATCACCACAACTGATATACCAGTGCGCATCAAATCTCTATCGACATAATCGTGAGCAAAAAGCGAAGAGGCCATGTTGATAGCCTCCAAAACATTGCCGTACATAGCTCTCGAAGATTCGGCCTTGAGACGAGTTGCTGGGGCACCTTTCCCACTGGCATCATCATCTGTTATGGCATTCAAGTTCATAGCTTGAAGGTGGTAGAGACTTATATCTCGTCGAAAGTAGTTGAACTCCCGTTTTAACTGGTAAAGAATTTTGGTCCATTCACCACTGGCCATCTCACTGACCACAACGCGATAAAAGTCCTTGTACGGACGCCTCTCGCCCGATGTCTGAACTCCGGTATAGTAATCGTTGTGGATAGCTGCGTTACTCAGCTCAGTAGTCAACCCTGCATCGTACTCGACACGTGCGAAGAGAACGATGCTGACAAGGTGTTTTACCTTCAGGGCAGCCCATTTCTTGAAAAGGGCTGGTAAGAAGCCATTGACGACTTTGTTGAACATGATCTCTCCTGAGCCATCAGAGTCAAAGTCCCACATCTCCAGGGCCATTTGAATGAACAGCACATAACGTGCCGACTCACTACGGAAGATTGGCCGAGTGTCTCTCCCGAAGAATGCCGATTGTACCTTCTTTCCGTCGACAAATACTGCCGTAATCTGCGCTTTCACTGTGCCCATGAACAGCATTGGCTGGCCCTTATATACTGTGCGATCTGCCAGCTCTCCGACAGCAATCCTCCACATGTCGGCTCTCGACAAATATTGATCTTTAAACGACAGCTCAACGTGTGAGGCTGCAACCGCCGGATTCTCTGCATTGACTGGTGCCAGAAGGACTTGCGACCCCTTTTTCATGCCAAACGCATCTGCTACCGCCTTCGCAATGTATAGTTCCACAGTGGGGAACCTGGCCTTGAGCTCCTTGGGCATATCCTTCACGATGAAGTAGTAGCGCCTCGTGGCTTCATTCTTCGCTTGTCCATCTGCCGTGGATCCCTGTCTGCTCTTGTCTTGCGGCGCTGCCTTCTGAGTTCCACCTAGTGCAGGCCGGTCAACATCCCTCAGAATGTCAAGTGACACTAGCATGCCGGGTTTGATGTCGCTATCGAAGAGGTCGAGGTTCAACACGATGTCGTCGCGAGCAAAGGACTCGTTCAGCGTGACGGTGCACTTCCGCTCCATCTTGGGCGGCTTCATGTCGCGCACGGTAGAGTTGCTTGAGACAGTATCCGGCGACCGTGGTGGTTCTATCGGGGCCCTGTCGGAGCTTGTCCTACTGAACTGCCGAAGATGGGACGACCATTTTCGAGGAGGTCCCGTGGGGGTTGTCGAGGAGGCATTGCGGGACATTGAGACGTAATAGATTTAAAAGAAACTCCCCTCATGGACATCACCATCTTCTGGCCAATTGAGTCATCCAACATCGAGCTCAATGCTAGATACAAGACCTCGGTGACGTTACCAAGTCTGCCTTATCGTGATCAGCCAGCTCTGTGGAGCTAAGGAAGCTACGATGCGGCCATGACGAGATATTGCCCAATTTCACCGCCTTCTAATTGCGGATGGGTCGACTATCATCTAGGCGTTGCTAGTACCAACCAAGTCACGGGGGTCATTAAGAAGCACGATCCCTTCCTTGCACGCCTTGGGACGCTACATATACCTGGATACCCAATATCCTTCAAAACTGCCCCAACTCGAAGGCACAGAAAGCAGATAGGGAAATTTTTGTCGTGAATCTCATCTTACGGCATCTTGAATGAAGAACGACTTAGGAGGGCAATCACGAAATACTCATCTAGAAATTAGGTCTTGGCAGCAACGGAGTGGCAAAGGTTCTCAACGCTGGGAACTTGGCATCAGTAGACGGCGAGGACAAGTAGGACAAGCTGGCTTGAACAGTCCTCAAACGGCGAAATGAGAAGCCGCGATCTCGATAAAATCATCTCACGCCAAGGAGGCCGAGACTTGTTCAGCACAGGACTTCGTCATTTGCGCTATTTATCGTTACCAGGCTCTTGGGATCTTGGCAAGATATCCATGTGAACACTAGTCAACTTGCTCATGAAATCAATCACATGAGGATAGAGACTAAGACGTCGCGATGAGCTGGAAGTGGATCTGGAACAAGGGCCAAATGTTCATGAGTGGATCCCCCGTTGAATCCGCTGCACTTTGATTGAGTTGATGAAGACGAGTCCACGTGGCGGAGAGGTGCGATTCTATGCAGCTAGAGAGAGCCAGCGACGTGGGGCATCGACGGATTATCGAGAATAGCAGACAGTCATTTCAAGAGCAAAGCCTTTCTGGAGGCTGTTGGGATAGCTTGCTTGATGGTATATCGTAGATGCAAGATCTTTAAGATCTGGTCCGCCCCAGCTGGATCGGGGAAGGGGAGGATGACAAAGCGGCCTGATGGAATCATGGAACGGTCTGGACCTCGCACCTCTCCGGTTCTTCGGCGCCCTGTTTTAGTGGGCTCTGTACCAACCTTAAAGATCTTGCAGCGATCTGAGTGTGCCCCACGAGCCACCAGCTGCACCGCCCCTACTAAAAAAAAAATTCCCCGTAGCACGAGTAGTTACCAACCGGGCGGGTTTGGACACTGACGACATGGTCTCGGGCCCTGACTCTATTATTCGCCTACGGCGTCACCACTTCCTAATTCAGCCTCGCTTTCGCTCCCAGAGATTTGAGATACTGGTACCCTACCATGAGTTACACGGTTCGGAAAATTGCACTATCCAGGTCCGAGCATCCCGCCTGGTCGCCATCACCACGTGTTTTGCGCAGCCACTTCGGCCATGGGACACGGCTTGGCAAGCCCACCGGGGAACTGCTCGGATTTTCAACGGCACGCCTTGGACACTGACAGCCTTGACAGTCGTTGCTGCTACGCATGGAGAATCTTCGGTAGACTCCACGCGCTCATGAATACACATGCAAAATATGAGAGCCCATGTTATCGGTATCCTCCGTTCAGGCACAAGCCAACATGAATCCAGGCCTTCGTGACTCCATGGCCTTCGGAACTTACCAGTCGCCAAGACGCTGCCCAGGTTCTTCTAGAAGCGCACTCAGCTGATGATTGTTTGCACTGAAATGCAGCCTTTTTAAAGGACCCTGTATACTTCGAGAGTGCGGATTATGGGGCATGAGGTGGCATTAATGCCATCGCATCGCCTACCTTAGGAGATCCGCGTTTGAAGTATGGCCAAACAGCTCCTCAGTCCCAAAGAGGCAAATACCATGTATCTCGAAAATCAATAGGATTGACAAGCCACAGCAAGATGGTCGACACGTGGCTGACTTCGTCTAGGCTCGGGGTCTTGAGCCCTTGGTCAACCCCGCCACCGAGAAGTTGCACTGACTCGGGCATGGCTCACCCAGAAACCCGAGTCCCTAGCACAGCGACCAGAAAACCGTTGGGTTTTGCGGGTCCGGGCCCGGAGGCTAAGGGAAAGTCGAATGATTCCCTTAGTCGTTCCTAAGAGCTCCAGGAGCTTGTTACCGAAAGGGGAACAGCCTCCGCGAGGCTGAGGCTTCATACAAGCCAGGAAGGCCGGTGTAAGAGAGAACCAGATTTTGAACTCAGATTCATTCATTGCCATTACAGCGAAAGATTTTCGGATCTTACCATGGCCCGTACTAGGCGGAAGGCGATGAATCTCGCCAGGCTCCGCACAATGGGCTCCTATATAATCGCTCAGCGGCACGGGAAGGCCATGGGTGTTAGTTATGATGGTATCCCATTTTGCCCATCTATAGTCTCAGTGACCTCGGTAATTCTCTTACAACATGGGCAGAAGACAGTGGCGCAAGGCCGTCCTAACAGTAGCATTATGTCTCCCCATTATGGCAATGGGTCTCCCCCACAATGGTGGCCAAGGCCAAGGTCAAGGACAAGGTCAAGGTCAAGGCCAGGGTCAGGGACAGGGGCATCAGAGTGCACACGCTGTCCAACAGACCACAAAAACTGTTCAACAAGATACAAAGACTACACAGCAGACAACTCATAGTGTTGTAAAGGATACATCCTCCATTCGTCAGTCAACGCAGTCGATCCATGTATCTATACAGAGCACAAGCTCTTCCTCTACCCAGAAGACAACCCAAACTTCTCACTCCTCTAGTCTCTCTTCTCAAAAGCAGAGTACACAATCTGTCAGTCAGAGCACACAATCCCTTTATGGGCAATGTGGAGGTCAAAACTGGGAAGGAGCAACTAAATGTGCTTCGGGATCTTACTGCACCTCACAAAACCCGTTCTACTATCAGTGTGTACAAGGCACAGCTGCTGCTGCCAGCACAACTACCACCCAGGTAGCTGTCCAGACGACACGACAAACATCTGCCACATCGACCTCGTCAGTAGCCACGACCAAGTCTAGTTCGAGTCTGCCCACAAGCACAACATCTTTTACTAGCAGCTCAAGTGCCTCAACCGCTAAACCGAGTTCTACTACCTCCATCCAGTCCCTCTATGGGCAGTGCGGTGGTCAAAACTGGGATGGCCCAACTCAATGTACCTCGGGCTCTTATTGTACATCGCAGAATCCTTTCTATTACCAGTGTGTGCAAGGTACAGCGACCTCAGTGAGCCAATCGACAAGCCAGTCGTCCGCACAGACGACAAAGCAGACATCTACTACATTAACGTCGTCAACATCTTTGACATCGTCGACATCGTCCGTACCATCAACAAAATCCAGCTCCAGTGTTCCCACAAGCACCAGTACGTCTTCTAGTAGTCTGATCACCTCAACAACTGCCCCAAGCTCAACTGTTTCGATCCAATCTGTCTATGGACAGTGCGGCGGAAGTAATTATAATGGACCAACCGTGTGTGCCGCAGGCTCATACTGTACTTCAAATAACCCATTCTATTGTAAGTAATGATCATACAAAACTTCCGAGAAAACAACTAACAGTCAATACCAGACCAATGTACTCCTGGAACTGCAACATCGACTACAAGCCTAGCTCAGTCAACGACTAGCGAATCTGTACTAACAACTCAAGGTGTTTCTTCGAGCACGATAGCATCTCAGACCTCAAGCTCAGTGATCCTGTCTACAAGCTCATCTGTAGGGTCGTCTACAAGCGTGTCTTCTTCCAGCAGCCATACAAGCTCGCAGACCAGCTCGGTCATCAGCTCACAGGCTAGCTCTTCAAGCACCTCGACTAGCAACCTGCAAAGCAGCACTTCAGCCCCTCACTTGTCTTCCTCGACCGTCACTCAATCGTCAAGTCTGCAACAGTCTTCAAGCAGCAGCTCCCTGTCCCCCACAAGTACTCAGTCAAGCACTCAGTCAAGCACTCAGTCAAGCACTCAGTCAAGCACTCAGTCAAGCACTCAGTCAAGTCAGACATCAAGTGTACTATCAAGCTCAAGTAACCTAGCGAGTGTCACATCCCAGCCAACGTCGTCGTCGTCGTCGTCGTCGTCGGCCGTGCAATCCTCGTCGCTGAGCTTAGGATCAAGCTCTGTGAGCTCGCTGTCATCGACATCTCTGTCTTCGTCAGGTCTTCCCACTTCTTCCTCCGGCAGTCCTTCTTCCACTAGTCTAGCCGTGATATCCACGATTCCTAGCTCTACATCAACATCAGTAGGACAGTCTACAAGCTCCGAGCCAAGCTACTCAATCCAGACTTCTTCAAGCCAATCTATCTCGACGTCAAGTTCTACTTTAAGTCAGTTGGCCTACACCACTTCGCCTTCTAGTCAGTCTGGTACCAGTGTGAGCCAATCGGCCAGCCTGAGCGTGAGCCAGTCTCCGTCCAGTTCCGTGCCCGCCGATGGTCAATCGTCCTCCAGTACTGTCAGCTCTCAATCCTCGACCTCAACTCCAGGATTTAGTCAAGCTATCACGCAAAGTACAAGCTCCAGCCAGACCTCTAGCCAGCAGACTTCTCTTCAGAGCGTTTCCCAATCGAGCGGCACCTCTTCGGTGACCAGCAGTTCCACAACCCAATCTACTTCTACGGGAATGACCTCTACGGAATCCATTTCCACTCCTGCACTCAGCTCCACGGTCTCTAGCTCTACTGTGGCATCCTCTGCAGCATCTAGCTCTACAGAATCTAGCTCTACGGTATCTAGCTCTACGGTATCTAGCTCTACGGTATCTAGCTCTACGGTATCTAGCTCTGTGGTTTCTGCCTCTGTAACGACGACCTCTATTGCGTCTTCTTCT